ATTAAGTAATATTTATAAAGTTTAAATTTATTATTTTAATTTTAAGTTTATATTATTGCTATATTTAAATATAATTTTTAATAAAAGACTTAAAATAAGTTTAAAGCTTAATAATATATTAATATAAAACTAAGATAATATTTTATTTAAATATTAAAAGCATAAGAGGTATCCTAAGATTAGAAAATAATCTTAAGATACTTATAATATTATTATAAATTTAATTATATTTAACTCTTCTTTATAATAAGTTAAAAATAAATATAAGCTTTAATTAAAACTTTAAGCTAAAATATAAAATAATTTGGTAATATTTAATATAAAAATAAGAGAAAAGATAGAATTAATAAATAACTAACTTATAGTTAATTTTTTATTCTTTTTATTATTAATTAAAAATATATAAGATTAAAATTAAGCTTAGGCTAAATTATTAATAAAAATAAGTTACTTAAATAAATAAAAGATAAGTTTTATTAAATCCTTTTAAAGATAACTTAAGGAGAAGCTTTAATATAATAAAGAGGGAAAATAAGAATAAAAGGGAGTTAAAGAAAGGGAAAAGATAAATATTTTAAAAATTCTTAAAAATAAGAAAAGCTTAATTAAAGCATTAAATATATAAGAAAAGAAAAGAGTTAATTTCTTAAAAGAATATTTAGAATAAGCGTAAAAGCTAGCTTTTTATAGCCAGCCGGAATTTAGCATAATACCATTTCTCACGTAATTCCCTGCACCCGCCAATAATATTATTAAATATAAGTTAAGTATATTATAAGGTAAGTAAGTTAGCATAATAAGGGATTATATAAGTATTATTATTAATAATATAAGGGGGGTATTATTAATTAAAGGATTAAGTTTATAATATAAATAACAAGGAATTATAAAGATATTATTAATTAGCGAAAATATTTTTACTAAATTTACTAAGGCTATGCATTAAGCATAAGTTAAAAGAAAGATAAGGGTAATAATAAAAGTAATTTATTTAATTAATAATAATAATTAAAGTAAGGTAAGGTAATATAAATATATAGCGGCAATAAGTAATTAATGTTATAGCTATATAATAAAGTTATTAAGGAAAGGTTATAATATTTTATAATTATAATATAAAAAAAACTTAAATATAAAATGGCTATATTATAATATAAATTAAAATTAAAGAATTAATAGCTTGCAATTATAATAATAAGTAAATAGTAATAAGCTAAGCATATAGCTAATATGCATTACATTTAACGCATATTATAACATAATGCTAACTTAGCATATTATAATGTTGCAAGGTGTATAAATATTAATAAAGTAAGGTAAGGATATATAGCTTACACTTTCTTAATTAAGCATAAATAAGCCTTGCTATAATTAATATATATAACTTATGTATAATTATAATATATTAATAAAGGATTATATATATAGTAAATATATAATTAACATAAGATTATAAGAGCCTTGGATTTAATTCTTGCTATGCATAATATAAGAGTAGAAAAGGGGGTTATATAATAAGCTTAGGTTATTACTTAAGTTATAATGCATACTTATGTTAAGCTTATATTATGCCTAACTCTTTCATGTAATGGGGTATATACTTAAAAGATAAATCTAAAGTTAAGCCCTTTTAAGGCTTAATTTACTTCTTAAATATTGCAATTTATAACTCCTTTTAAGTACCTTTTAATAAATGCTTAAGGCTAATCCATAATAATTTATTAAAAATTACTTTAAGAAAAATTAAAGAAAGAATAATTAAAAAATATAGGATTAAGTTAAGGCTATTTTAATTAAAATTACATACCTTAAGATATTTAAAGCTATTATTAATATTATTACTTAAATATTTATTATTTAATTAAAGCTTAATGAGATTAATAAAGTTATTTAAATGCTTATATTAGTTTCTTTTATTAAGATTAATAATATAAAAGTAATTAAAGTAAGAAATAAGCTTTTATTATAAAGGGAAATTATTTAATAGCAGTTATTTAATTTATAATATATTAAAATTGCTATTAATTATAAAAAAGGCATAAAGAAAATAATATCTTTAATATAAATTAATTTAATAACTTAATTTTAAATATTTAATATATAATAAGGCATAAACTTTTATATAACTTAAAATTTATTAAATTAAACTTTAATTAAATAAGCTTTTAATTTAAGTATTATATTATAAGATATTTTAAAATTAATAAGGAATGCTTATTTTAATATATATAAGGATCTTTTTTATTTATTTCTTTTAATAATAAATATAAATAAAACTTAAAGCATATTAATTAACTTTAAGTAAAAGAAGTAATAATTAAATTTGCTTAAGGATAATTTAAAAGGCTTATAAATAAGCTAATTAAGTAATTAAATATAAGGTATAAAATTTAAAAGCGGAAGCTTTATAAGAAGTAAAAGTGGAAATTAATAAAGTTAGCATATTATACTTAATATAATAATTAAAAGGAAAAATAAATTTACTTTTTATTTTATAAAAATATTTAAATCTTTAATAGCTATATTAATATTAATTATTAAATTAAACTTTAATAATTAAAAGAATATAATTAATAAATATATTATTAAGTAAGTTTTAAGAATATTTAAAGTTTTTATAAAAAAGTAAAAGTTATAATAAAATAAGTAAGCAAGGGATTAAAAGTAATAATAATAATTAAAATTATAATAAGATGAATTTTAAAACTTAAAGGCTTAATTAAAGATAATAAGGTTTTATTTTAATAGTTTTTATAATATTTATTATAAAGTGCTTAGAAAAGGGTATATTAATAAGGGTAGGGAAATATATAAGGAATGGTATTATGCTGGATTTTAGCTAATTATAAAAGCTAGCTTTTTTATTTATTTTAAATATTTTTTTAAGAAATTAATTCTTTTCTTTTCTTATATATTTAGTATTTTAATTAAGCTTTTTTTATTTTTAAGAATTTTTAAAAATATTTACCCTTTTCCCTTTCTTTAGCTCCCTTTTATTTTTATTTTCCCTTTTTTATTATATTAAAGCTTTTCCTTAAGCTATCCTTAAGAAGGTTTAGCAAAACCTGTCTCTTATTTGTTTGGGTGGCTCGTTTTTAATATATATATATATATATATATTATATAAATTTATATATTTATAACTTTAAAGCTAGAGTATATTTACTTAGCTTTTATAATATGCTTACCTAGCTTTTAACGTTAGCCTATTTAATATAAGGAAATTAATTATATGCGTTATAAAATATTGGTATTATGGGGTTACTAATAAAGCATAGCTATAGCTATCCCAAAGGGGTCTTATAACTACCCCTTCATTTGTAACTTAAAAGTTACTTCTGCCCTTTGCCCTTTGCCCTTTACGCCCTTTGCGCCCTTTGCACCCTCTGCGGCCCTCTGCACCCTCTGCACCCTCTGCACCCTCTGGGGCCCTCTGGGCCCTCTTGCGGCCTCTAGGCGCTTCTAGGCCTTTTAGGCTTATATTTTTAAAGTATTGCTTAAATTAAAAAATAGCTACCTTAGCTTTTTATATATAAGGTAAACTTAGAAAAGCACCTAATCTTATTAGTATAATATTAAGAAAAGGAAGTACTGGGTGGGCGCACGCTGGAAGCTGGGTGGGCGTACTGTGGAAGCTGGGTGGGCGTGCTCTGGCTCGCGTAATATTGACATTGGATCTGGCGAAGGAGTAGACTACCGCATATGGCTGGTGGGGAGACGCCGATGGTTTAATATTTGGAGGTGCTCACATACACGGCACAAGAACAGTGAATCTACGTCCCAGAATACTTGTGATATTCAACTACCTCGGTGTATTTTGGGCTGAACCCCGCCGGAAATGGATCCAAGATCTTGGTTGCATATCCCCCTCTTCTACTCTGCGATGCCGCATATGCTAAGTTAGGGCAGGGCCGGATCCCGGGCCTGAGAATGCCCTCACAGACAAATCGGAACACGCCGAGGCCAAAGCAAGACCAGCGCACAACAGCAGTGCTGTGTCACTTGAAGATATGACCCAATCGGGTCCAAGACCTTCCTCGTGGGATAAATGTACGTTCAGACACTTTCCAAATAGCTAAATTTAGTAGTTGCTTATATTCGTGCCGAAGAAAATGCAATTCTAACGAGATTTCAGATTTCCGATGGAGCACGGAAGGCGTCTCAATATGTCGCAATTATGTGAGAATGTTCTGAAGCACATGAGTCCGGTCTCGTGCCAATTTCAGCTCTGCTGGAAACAACATACGAGCTGCAGCGAACCTTCGATTGCTGCGTTGTGGCTTGCTCCGCCACAGCTGGGGGAATGCGCCGAATTGTTCCACTGCCCGCGATTTGCCCGTGCACCCGGGATTCTGCTCTTGCACGCTTCCACCAATGCTTTTCGGCTCGCAAGCTTCCTCGTGTTGCAGACCGAAAGTAACCCAGCCCAGCCAATTATCGGCAGATGGCTTCCTGTTTCCCAGCCTGCAGTGCCGTGTGGGGGCCCAACCGAGAAGCAGCTGGCCGCCTCATGCCACGGTATCGTGGCGCGACTTTTCCTTTTTGCGCTCGAGATCAAGCGCGAAGGATCGCCGTAAGGCCGTACCAGCGATCTTTTCTGGCCATGTTGATTTATCTGAGGCAGTGTGATATAACATGCATACAGCCACTATCACCCACTCCGGTACTGTCAAGTACGGGGAAATGCATGATCCACTGCGCGATGAGGTCAAGTGAGAGCTTCGCTGCTTCTTTTTGCACAGCAAGCCAAAGAAAAATGGAGGACGTCAACGAGGTTGTGTCGCACAAGAAATACGAGTGCACGTCTGCTTGTCTCTCTTCTAAGTTCCCCCTCCGACGGCTGACCATCATCACTTATTCATAAACCTTCTGCCCAGACGCAATGGCAGCACCGCACGCAGTCTTTGGCTGAGAAATCATACACATCATTCATCCAGGTGTTGTGTACCTCTCCTCACTTCACAATCCACTGTCGAATTTCACTCGCTTAGTCTCTCGACATGTACTTTGGAATACTCCCCAGAGACGAATCGCCTGGCCACGGTGGCAGCCAGACATTAATAATCGCTATCTCTGTCGGGGTTGGAGTTGCAATCGTCGTCTCTGCAACACTCGTCGGACTACAAGTCCTCAGTCGTCGACGCAAGGCCAAGCGACGATTCAGAGAGGCCCGCCTACGCGACCCGAGCCTGACTTGGGACGAACACGACCGCAGGTGCAAGCTCACTCGCTCGCGATTGGTGGTCGAAGAGGAGATGCAACGGCACAAGATTATCCGAAAGACCCAACAGAGCCGGGCATCAGACCGGAAGGAACCTGCCCAAGCAGGCAACAGATGGACGAGACCCAGTCGCTCACGCTCGAAGACGTGGCAGGGGCGGGCAAAAAGCAATGATACGGACGTGGAAGTCGGCCCTGAGCTTGAGGAGCGGTGTCTGGACTGGGGGTCCGCCGAGGCGCACGTGTTGCGGACCTTCCAGGTATTGAATGGGAAGAAACATCCGTCCCACAGGCCGCGGCGAAGTGAAGACGACGGCAATGTGCCTCGACGACCTCCCACCATCCGACTGAAAACCCCACCTCTATTTTCGCACCCGATGTTCAGGACATCAGACCCGCCGAAGCATCTGAGTCTTCCTACCGAGCTGATCCGCATCCATACTGACCCGGGGCCCACTTTCAGCTCGAGTATGGCGGCGCACAAGTCACGAGACGATGTGGCATGAGCTTCAGCACGTGGTTTAATGCATTCTCAATGTCTACTGGCTGGCCAGTGAGACATCAACATAAAATATTCGGACTAATTACTTTGGGTTTTCAAATGCATGAAGCGCGTCTCAGCTAGCACATACTTAACCACACCAAGATTGAATGCATAAATGTTTAGTTTGAGATCATAGAATGGGACAATATTCGAAAAAGATTCCCAGTCACAGAGACTGGACAATGATTTGTAGCCAGCAGTCGAGAATACTTGGAGGGTACGGAGCAGTTCTGCAGTGATTGTTGACATACTGCGGACAAACGATCGCCGGGACCAACCGGACTTTCTGAAAAACTCTAAATTTAAACGTGTCTATATCGACTCCTGTTTCCAAAAAGGTGGCATGTTTTATTTCGTTCTCAATAAAATTCGTCCACGTAGAGCGACACTATTGCTTCAGCGATGATAGGCGCTGTTCGCAGATCTCGCTAAAAGTCTTGGGTTTTTGCAGTGTCAATTTCTGCACGTCATCCGAGATAATCTCGAACTCTCCCAGTGCTGTCGCTTTCGTGAAGGACACCATATCTGAGCTGTTCCAGGGGTTGCCACTTTCGAAAGAGTTAGCTACACTTCCCACTTTGCCACATGCTTTTGCAGACGGAGGTGTGACCATCCACGAAAGCGAAGGGCCCATGGACCAACATAAGGGATTCTGTGCACTCACTTTACAACGAACCCATCAATTGGCTCCCTTGGGATTCCCATGGCATCGAATATCGCAAGCTGCTCGTCGTCCGTCAAAGTTTCGTAGAACAACGTCTTGCCGACCGTCTCTCCCATGATTCTCGCCGCATCACCCCAAGACAACAGCTCGGGGCCTGTGATGTGATACGCTTTGTTGCGGTGGGGAGAAGGGTCGGCGAGAATGCTCACGGCGGGCCCGACGCAATCATCTCGGCTGATGAACGCCATCTTTCCTTGCCCGGCGTTGACGCGCAGCACACCTGCCTTCAGGGCCGGGGGTCCAGCGACATCGGTCAGGGCCTCGGAGTACTGTGCGTCACGAAGTGCGGTCCAGTATAGGCCACTGGCTCTTAACATCTCCTCTGTGAACCACGATTAGTTCACTCGTCGCATGAGTGGAAATGATTGTACGGTTACCTGTAGCCCGATGCTCTCTCGCAACAAGAGCAGTCGGATTTTCCAAATGCGCAGACAGTATAGATGTGTACACGATGTGTGTGATGCCTGCTTTCACAGCGGCGTCCACAGCCGCTTGATGCTGCGGTAGCCTCTGCCCAGCTCTGCTGGTGCTGATGAATAGCATGGTGTCTGCCCCTGCAAAGGCTTCTGCGAGAGAATCCACAGGATCATCAAAGGAACCTTGCCGAACGGATGAGCCCTTGGCGGCGTAGTCTGCGAGTTTCGCTGGATCCCTGGTCAGGAGGAGCAGTGACGACGGAGAGACCCCCTTCGCCAACAGCCCGTCAACCGCGAGGCGCCCATACTGCCCCGAAGCCCCGGTGACGAGGATCCTGTTCTCGATGCTGCCCATGATAGATACGCTCTCCTGAAGTCCAGAATCTTCACTGGAGTTGTTGCGGATTGTATGCTCTACTGTGCTGCGTGACGAGTATGTAGAGATGCCTTTTTCAAGACTGTGGTTCAAGGTGTTTGAACTTTGGACTATCATTTTGACTGGCTTTACATGGCTTTGTTCCTTGTATCACAGTCACGGCCTTGTGGGGCTGACCCACTGTATCGAGTCGTGATGATCCCATCTTCTCGGGCTGTTGTGCTTTCCGGGCTGCGTTGATAATGCGGGATTAATACAGTATGGCCGCCAGCCAATGGGACTTGTGTTGGTGTGGCCTGTAAATCCGATCTCGAGTCCTGATTCGTGTGGCGGATCGCCGGACGACACAAAAGGAGCGTCATGATTAGAGATCTGCCCATGGCAGATCTTCGGCTGCTTTATAGATCCCGCCGAGGTAGTATCCGGGTTTCACGGAAAATGTACCGCTGTGACTACGTATATACATAGCTGATAATTGAAAACCAGAATTACGGCCCACCCAGGCAAGCATCGATGTTGAGGTCTCCATCATTGCTTTCCTATATGAGGAACATCTTATCTTTTGCTTCAGCCGTTGCATACCTTGGTATGCTCAGACCATCATGCTTGTGACTTGCATTGTCAGATGATTCAAGATTAGCTACTCACTATTGCTGTGTGTCGATTTTTTTTTCTTCTTTTTTTTTTGTTGGCGTTGACAAAAGTTTGACAGCGATGCTATCAAAACGTCCAATTGCAGATCAAGTAGACCAAATTGTGAAACTGAGAGAATCAAACTAGGTGGATTGTTATGATTGGGCTAATTTTTCGGTGAAGACATTTCCCTAATGTCCTCATCAAGCCAGTGAGCTTGAAGATACACAGGATACTGTGCTGTGAGAGAAATAGGCCACAATCCTTACGGGGATGAATTCTGTTTTTGGTATGTGTAATGAGTTTGAATACGTCATTCGCTAGTGAATATTGACCAACAGTCCCATTACTTCACGTTTTGATACGTTCATTCTTTCTTGTCTGTGATAATTTGTCTGTAATAACCTCTTTGCTATAAGATCTGCCAGGTCGATGCTGTAAACTGGTGCCTTGCGCGTTAAGTAATTACTGAACTCTTAGAACTCCCTTCAAATTGATCCAAATCAAGACAATTTTTAGACTGAAGGGAACGAATGTACCCGTTTCGATGCTGACTTGATTGCGTTGAACTTCAACAGTGGTGTCAAGTGTGTCACGGTAAGTGGTGACAAGTGTGTCGCCATGATTGACGGTTCTCGTGGTTTTTGTCATAACAATACATCAGTCACTGTACTTTCAACGACTATAAAAGCGATCTGGTTTGCCTCTGCCTTTAATTTACCGCCGCCCCTCCCATTCCAACTTAGTCTTACATCTTTTCCATTTTGGGGCCCAGTAAGTTTCAAGCTGCTTATTACCGGATACCTTCAACAAAGGGTCGAGAGATAGTCGAACTCGACCATAATTCGAAACTCTTTACACGGGATATTATGGCCGGGCAAGGGAGCTACAGTCACCATGGCCATGGTCATGACCCCTTCCCAAGTGATCCCCCTGAATGGTTCTCCAACAGCAGGCATATCCTCGACGTAGGAACCCCAAGCCAGTAAGAAAACAATTCTACTTCACAATTCCAGCCCTTGGTATAGAAGTCTGAAGATCTCTTGTGTCAGAAGCCGAGCAAGATCTCAGGCCACCGGAAGAGGCACCCTTATGTCGCAAACCGTTGGAGGTGCCAGATCATCTGGCGAGTAAGTATCGGCCATTGTGAGCCCTTGGTCATCTTCGCCTGTTCTGTTAACCTCGGTCATGAAAGTCAATTGTTTCTACGTCTGGGCGAGACGGATTCTGAACAAGTCATTCGTGAGAGACGAGAAGATAGACAGGACCGAATGCTTGATTCCTTTGAAGACACAGCAGCAAATCCCGCGTGGCACAACACATACAATTATGTCCAAGACCAGGCCGAGTTCTCCACGAATTACAAATCAGCTAGCGAGCTACCCACTCCTCCTTCCGCCCACCTCTACAGTTCTGGCTCCGGCTCCGGCTCCGGTTCTGGCTCTGCAGGCGTGGGCACTCAAGCTGAGTCTTCCCGTGCAGTACAGATCATTCCTGGCCGACCAACACACCAAATGGAGATAGAGGATCCTCAAATGATCACACATACGCTTCCGGTGGCTCAAAAAAGGCATGGATCATCAACAGGAAGACGAGACGCCCCATCGTCGAGTCGCCATGGGTCATCTGTGCACGGCCGGCCCGTCCAGGCTCCACAGACATATGACACATATCCTGAGCAGGAATACACTCAGGAGCAATACCATCAGGAGCAGTATCCTCTGGAGCAGTACCCTCAGGGACAGTACCATCAGGGGCAGTACCTTGAACAGCACTGCCCTGAGCAGCAGCAGTCTGAGCAACAGGATCTCGAGCAGCAACACGTCGCACCGCGCCGACGTCGACATAGCGCGCACTCTTCAGGTGGCCGTAAAGACTCTGAGTGTTGTGTTATTTTGTGAGGGCCGTTCACTTGGGGGCTGCCACTAGGGTGTGCTCAGCAGCCGCAGTTCAGCGCGTCATGGTGAGACTGTAAACACACCAAGGCGTAAGGCCCAAGTCTCGAAAAGCCGAGGGATTCGTTGATTAAAATGACTGACAGAAATCGCGATGGTTTGTGTTGATTGGAATTACTTGAGGTTTGTTGCGCTACGTCCATACCTGGACGGCACACCATAGTTGAGTTTTAATCCACTTTCTTCAGATCAAGCTGAATCTTCCAATTCTCGTCACCCAGATGGCCCCCGATTGACCCACTGTCCTTGTTCGATTTGAGAGAGATGTTCACAAAAGTGTCACCCCCACCGTTTGTGGAGCTGCCAGGCGCAGCCTCAACCAGGACCAGGTTAGCAGACGCTCCTCCATCGACAGACTCTAGCACTCCGGCCGGCCAACTAAAGGCCCGACTGCCTGCTGGTTCTTCGACTTGTGTCCCATCACGTCCGACGAGAGCATCATATGTCCCCTTCAACGTATCGAATTGAGCCTTGTCCCTGACAAAGACCGACACCTGGTGGACCCCCAGAGCACCTGAGGGATGCTTGACGTTATCTGCCTTGTGGAAAGGTACTCGATTCTCTCTCGGTGTGCGATCAAGACACCAGAATGGCGCTTCCCCGCCGATGAAGCCATCGAGCCCAGCTGCCTCGTCCAGGTAAGGAGATGAGATGATCCACTTCAGCTCGGTGCCGTCGGGCTTGATCCTGCCTCCTGGTGTAGGGCTGGTGTACTGTATGCCCGTGCTGGCAGCCTTGATCCGATCCCTGATGACTTCCAGGTCATCCTCGCTGTGAAGCGTGTTCGCCCAGTCGACAATGTGGCCGGGGCGTCTGGCACCCCACCTGTGAGACTTTCTCTCCTCTTCTTTGCCGGGGACAAACGCAATCAGTTCAAAGTACACGCCGTCTCGAAGGAGTATCAGCTTGTTCTCCGTGACACCGTCGGCGTGGCGTCCTCCTTCCAGGACAGTGAAAGCATCTGTGAGCCAATGTGGGAGGTTGGTGAGGGTCTCGTGTGGCACGAGGATGACGATGTGGTCAAGGATTGGAGTTGGTGCCATCGTGTTGGTCCTCGTGCAAAGCAGATATTCACAAAATGTGGCCAGGTCGTCTAAGGATGCAAGTCTTTTGGCAATGGGAAGCGAAAGCAGGCGGGGCCGTTCATTGAAGAAAACGAAGTCATGCCCGACGTCGGGAGATGTGCCCGCTTAAGTAAGCAAATGCAAAGAACCGCAGCAGTTACGACATTTTGCTCGAGGTTGCACCACCCAACTCTGGGGACGAAATATGTCCGTCTCCGGAATCACACCGGCTCTTTGTGGAGATTTTGCCTAGGTATTTTTGTAATAATTATTTGCATTCACATTATCACATCTTACAGGCCGCCAGCGCCCAGAGTATGGAGCCTTAACTCACCGAGGATTCCTAGACGGGGCCGGACGAAGAGATGAGTTGAACAACACGTTGCACATACGCGCAATTCTCTGTCAACATTCAGTCGATTAACTCAGAGAGAGACATCGATGTGTTTTCTCGATCCAGGAGCAATCAAATCATGCTCAATTCTCCGGACAACAGAAATGATTCCATAGATTAATTCCCCGGAGATGAGCTTAAGCCATGTTTACCTGGGAAAGACTTTTATTCATGGAGTGGGAATGTAGGCTCACTATGAGAAATTCAACCACGGGATTGTGCATTAAATCAGTTAAGCTACCATATTATTTATGTAGACGCACCGTTGACTTCATGCTGAAACATGCAGACAGATGCACATGCTCTAAATTTCACGCAGCATTCTTTCATACGGCGTCTCCGGCCTAGGTTTACGCACATGCCTGTCCCCGGGGGCTCTTTCCCAGGCCGAAGTGCTTTGGTTGGGTGCCCAGAATGAGATATCAGTATCCTTGCTTGGTCGAATTTGAGTGCTGTGATTCCCTCCACCGGAATGGCTGGCCATATTGGGAGCAGCTGGATGTATATGTGTTGTAGAAACGTTGAACCTATCCCTGTGGTTGCTCATTTCCTCGTACCTCCCCGCAGAGCTGCGAGCGCCGCCTTTGATGACGGCCGGTATTTGTTGCTCATTGTATCGTGGGGGATTGTGGTCCACTACAAATCGAAAGATTACTGTCAGTAGGATGCAGCAGTTTGGAGAGGTGAAAGGTAAGAACAGTTCATGCCCCGGGTAATAAAGGAGAGGGGGTGGGCACTAGGATCCTCGATGCTGCTTACCTCGCTTGCGTGTTCCCTTGGGTCTCTTACCGAACCACGAAAAGAATCTGGACATTGATTTGGTGAGGAAGTATCAACGAGTGTGGGTAAAAGGAGTGTGGCAAATTGGGACTGAACTCTAGAATTGGATATGACAAAAATGAAAACCTGTCCTTGACGGCGATGGGCGACCCTTTAAGGAGTGCATTAAGCAGACCAGACTGCAACCATTTTGGACCAGGTTTGTCATCTTCTAGAGATCGAATGTGGTCTCTGACACATCTTGTCAAGTCTAAACAACAACATGAGGCGCCCCGGCCAATATTGAGCCAACCCATCCGAGAGACCGGAATTTTCATAGTTAAGAGCAAAGAGCGTCAGGCTGTGGAGCAGAATGAAGAGAAACAATTGAACTTGGCCTGCTTTGTAAGTAATGTGTCTGGTCCAGGCCTTGGTTTACGGACGCAGACCCGTTTCGGCCGCATTGTGGCCGCGCACGCGACGCCAGTTGATGGATTCATGTAACAAGGCCGGTCCGGGTCCGACCTCACACGCGAACATGGCCGGCTCCTAGGCCGCGGGCACCCTCCGGCGCCCAGCAGGTTGATTTTGTGCCAATAAAAATGTTTACAGATGGTTGAACTGAATAGATTCTCTTGGACAAGTCGATGCATGTGTATCACGGAGGTCGCATACGGGCCCAGAACATGTTGTCACCCAATCACAGGGCACCAGAATGAGAAATATGACCGTGTGGCCACTATATGAGGCCATGTAGCTATGTAATCTCACATAGTACGTACATAAGTGAGTCTAAATCCACCGCTGGGTTTACAATGGTCAATTGATTTCCCCTTTAACCATCTCGTCGTCCCGTCTGCAGGTCCATCTCCTCAGGGCGAACCTTCTTGGTCTTCTTGAAAATCTTCCACCAGAAGACGTTGAGAACGTACACAGGAATTCCGACTGTTGTGTGTTAGCAACCTGTTGCGGGACCTAAGGTGATGCAGTGGAAAAAATGCATGACATGATAGAGGGGGGCACGCTAGGTTGTACTCACTGTAGCTCGTCAGGAACTTGTCAATCTTGAATGGCATGAACGCGGCAAATCCGTTGAAGATGATGACCAACACAGTGATCACGAACGCGATGTACGCTCCCCAGGGCAGCAGCGGGTTGCGGTACGGCATGACGCTCCTCGGGATCCCCTGAGCCTTCATCCCCTGCAGCATGTAGTGGTAGCTGACGAGGATCGAGATCCAGTTCAGCGCGCCGAACACGGTGACCAGCGAGACGAAGTAGCCAAAGACCGTGCTGGCGTCCTTGGTCACGTTCATGAAGCCGAGCGCGATGAACAGCGACGAGACGGCCACCGCGGCGGTGGGGACACCGCGGCTGTTGGTCTTGTGGAAGATGGCAGGGGCCTGGCCGTCCTTGGCCAGGGCCCAGATGGTCCTCGCGGCGAGGTAGATGTCCGAGTTGGCGGCGGAGACGGTGAAGACGAGCAGGAAGGCGTTGATGATGCTGTCCAGCTTGCCGATACCCGCGATCTTGGCCGCGATGACGAAGGGGGACGCGGCGCCGCTCGTTGTCTTGGTGTCGCTGATGAGCCTCTGGTTGTTGTAAGGAACCGCCATGCCCAGGCTGATGACGCCGGCGACGTAGAAGAAGACGATACGCAGCAGTGTCTGCCTCACGGCGCGGGGCACGTTCTTGCGGGGGTTGGGCGTCTCGCCGAATGCGACACCGACCAGCTCGGTGCCGAGGTAGGCGAAGGTTGCCTGCACGATGGAGGCCCAGACACCAAGGAAACGGCCCAGATCTCCTTCGATGCCGTTGTACTGCTTGAATGCACCTGGGTCCTGCCAGTATCGGAAACCCCTTCGGTGGTGGTCTGGGCCACCCCCAAGAGCAATGATGAAGCAGATCAGGATCAGCGCGCAGATGACGATGGCCTTGAGCAGGGACATCCAGAACTCTGCCTCACCGAAGAAGCTGACATGAAGGAGCTTGAAGTGTGGTCAGCTTGACGGTCGAAATACTTGGGGGGCTTGACAGAAAGGGAGTCCGTACATTAAGTGCAATAATGGCCACACCAAAGACGACGATCCAGATCGAGACGTTGAGGTCAGGCCGCCAGTAGCTGATGAGAATACCCGTCACTGTCAGATTGTTCGGCAAGACGATGACGTATTTGAAGAAGTAATTCCATCCAGTTGCAAAGCTATAGGCAGGCTTTTGTCAGCAGAGGGGTCATGGGGGTCAGAGGCCGGCGGAACCAGCACGAAGCCAGACATACCCGAGTGCCGGATCAACAAAGCGAGAGGCGTAACCCGAGAAACTCTTCTTGTGTGGCAGCCACGCGCCCATCTCACCAAGCGCCACCATGACGATGTAGACGATGAAACCCATGAGGATGTATCCAATCAACATGGATCCGGGGCCTCCGTTCTTGAGCGCAGTTCCAGACCCGATAATCAGACCTGTACCAATGGCGCCAGCAATAGCCATCTGGTGAGCATATACTGTTAGTACGTGATTCGATGTTCACCGCCCAGGCAATCGGCTGTGTTTGTTTCATCCGGGAAGGGCTCGACTTGCCATATCTGCAGGTCAAAGTTAGCATGAGGCTCGGAAACTTTTGCGCCAGCTGTTTGTTGCTCGGCCACGTACTCAGCTGTCTTGGTTTCATGCCACGGTGCAGGTCGTCGCCGGCTTCCTCCACCTCGCCGACCTCGCCATGGGAGACGACACGCTCATCCTCAACCGAGGAGGCGCGCTTCTCGTCGCTCCTCACGAAGTCGAGGATTCCCATCTTGGCTGAGAACTCGTCCTAGCAGTCTGTCTAGAAAGCGTTGACCCTGCTACAGACCTGGTCGAATCCTGGCTGTGCCGCGTAAGATCGAAGTTGTCTGCGAGTGCCGGGCAACAACGAAAGGGACAGACAGGAGAGATCAGACCGGAGGCAATGAATTCGCTTGCAAAAGAGCGACGTTGGGGCTTGACGCGGCTTATAACAGAGGCACACCCCCCCACCCCACCTGGGAAAAAGGCTACATACAGTAACATGCCTGGCAAGCGGGCCAGAAATGGTGAGCTAGGCACATTCCTCAGCGAATGACGGGGGGGGGGGCTGGCTGCTTCCTTCAGCTTGGCACACAGGGATAAGCTGGGAGCTGTGGCAACCTTGACAGGCAATAGTGGTAAATCGCCCAACAGAGCATGGGCCTGCTGCGCCGTTGCCCTGTCTCAACGCGCAATCAAATCTTCTAATGGGTTGTCCGGCAAAGGCAGGTCCTGCCAGTGAGGAGCTGGGGAGCGTCGCACCGCCAAGAGATAAAGCGGCGGCGCTGATGCCCCAGTTCGTCACGCCCAGCACCGCCCCCCTGCCCGAGTACTCGCCCGAGGTCAGCTATCGTGGTCCTGCTCCACCTGCGAGCCCACTGGCAGCAGGGGCGGGGACGAGTCGCGTGGTAGTTGACGATATGGGGTCCAAGGTCCAAATCTGGGGAAGTCAAGTGTTTGGAGATTGAATTTGCTGATGGGACCCGTTCTGCTGGGAGTGGGGCACAGCATACAAGGCCTGCAAATAGGCCAACTAATGCAATCGCAGAAAAGACGTCTGTAGATGGACAGACAGACAAGCCTCGTTCCTGAGCATGGCGCAGCCACCCGAGGGTAAGAAGCATCTCTGCCCATCGGGCCTTTGTCTTGGTGTTTCTTAGCCCTTCCTGCTGCTCCGTGCAGTGCAGATCGAGCGATTTACGGGCAGAGCCCAAGAAAACGCCTCCGCAGTTTGCCAAGAGCCCGATGCTGTCCAGCCTGGGTCACGTCCAGGCTGATTACCTTATTAGATCCCATCAGAAGGGTTCCAGAAGCCCGCTATCGCTTGGCTGTGCTTGGCACTGCCGTAGGCGCTGTCAGCGAATCCAGCTCCCGTCTTTCGATACGATACTTATCGGGTCCCTTGCCGACCATGTCATGTCGGGGTCACATGCATTGCATGCAACCCGCGGGGACACCGTCTCGGTCGCATTTTGCCTCCATCGACAGACGCTGCAGGGCCTCGATTGGCCTGGGAGCCTGCAAACATTCCCAGCTCCGTGGAACCACCTCCGAAGAAGCACCTGGGGCTGGCATTCCATCGCTGAGACCACCAGTGAGACACGTCCAGGCATCCGATCACTGCAACATCAGTTGACACAGTCGTATTGGCCAGGCTCGGGCTGAATGAGGCTCCCACTCGCTACGCTGGATCAGGAGACGACGAGAGGGCAAGGCAGGCAATCTAAGACGATTCATGGACAAATCCACCATTTTTGAGACGAGTCAGCACCGGATTTGTCCAGGTACCAGTGGTCGAAGATTGGGAGAATGGCCAAGGCACTCTCGCGTGGCTAAAATGGAAAGATTGGGCCACAGTCCTACTTCTCGAGGCTGTGCCAACATTCATTTTCCTTATCCATCTGATCCAGAATTGGATGAGGCTGCTTTTCATCCCTTGCTGCTTCTTATCTCTTCCGCTTAGGCACTCAAATGGCAGTGCCTATGGCTATGAAGCTCGAACATGGCCACAAGCATGCACCAGGCCCGTTTGTGAGGTCCCTTTCTTTGAATGAAGGACCAATATCAATGCCTTCGACTATTTTACATAAGCTTAGGTAACCCAGCAAACCCAACAGTCGTATCGAAATCCTTTCCCGAAACCAAACTCGAAGCCCTGCCTGCTACAGATTTGATAACAACCACCCGCAGCAGAAACTCCCCTTCAAATATCGCGAGAGACCATGGATCGTAGTTCCCGAAACCACATGACCGGACGCGCCAGGCCAAAAGACCTCTGCAATCACTTGCCGGATCATGATACGGATAGATCTGTGGCCTGCCGCTGTGCCGGTGATATTGAGGTTGTGTAACGGTCTACAGTTGCTGCAGGCCACACTTTGACCGTCTGGGTCTGTACACGTAGTCAGGCAGAGCGGCGCACAGAGGAAATCGTGCGCCGCAAACATCTGGCCTGATGATTTAAGAGATGTCGTACAAACATCATTCTTGCGCGCTTCTGTTACGTGTGCCCCCTGGCCTCTCGGATTCTGCTAATCGAGGTTCGCGGAATTTTCCACGTAAATTTCTTGATCTTTGGCAGACCCCGTTGCTCATGATATTCTGCCCCGGGGGTTTACTTTCTCTCATTGCGAAGACGCATGAGCATATGCACGCTCGCCCGTTCCACTGAGACACCCAACATAATTCCTCGACTGCGTATTTACCTGTGATCTTTGACCCCCCACCTGAGGCAGGAATGGAGTCAACAGACCTTGAGAGCCCCATCCACCTCCTACGCCATTTACGGTGGGCTGCATGTTTGACAGCTACGTGTACGGGAATCTTCCGTGAGAGGAGGCGACTTGCAAGACCAAGGGAGTATGAGGAGCTCGATGAAGCTCTCGACATCCTCAATCAATGCGGGGGGTACCTAGGAAAAATCACAAACTTGGTCGAAGAACTCGTGCTTGGTGGCCGCGGATTTCCTGTGAACCTGCGGATGGAAATATGCGACCAGCTGGGACCGTACAACGACTTTTGGTCGTCAGATATGTTCAGGGAAGATTATGCAGCGTCTACCATGGATACCTTGCAGAAGATCTATGATGACCTCAGTCTTCAAGCGTGCGTCGATTTGGAGAATAGTGTGTCACTTCTGGAACCGATCTCGGCTGACAATGCAGCGACAGCGCCAGCGGAGTTGGCTTCAACTATTCAGAAGCCAGTTTCACTCGAAATCAGCAGAAACCAGCATATTCATCCGTATGACCATCTCCTAAGTATCTCGTCTCAGCTATGCCCGGTCATACCACGCTAACCGCCATAACGAGCCTCGCCTTAGACAACATCCTCGGCTAAATCGAGCAGATTGTGGTCGTAACACACGATATAAGCGAGAGAATGATGCCGATATGGGAGCGGTTGGAACCGCAAGCTCAACTGACTAAGACGACTTCGAGGGTTGGAAACGAAGGGGAAGGGGCTTCCGAATGTTACTGAGAAAGGAAAGCTGGACTGTTGTTTCGATATGGCAACTCTGAAAGGAGGTGTTGCGAGAGTCTCCTTGGAGGCTGGGACAACAAGAGCAGCCACCGATATTTGACATAAACGAAGGCTGTGTCTATATCATTCACATCGCCCTTTCCAGGTAAATTTGAATCACCTGGATCTGACGACTGGTCTCCTTGAAGCTGCGGAATTCTCATCGTATTTTCCCCCTGGTTTTCAAGCACTTTCCTCTCCGCACTTCGTTTATTGCAGTTGGGACGGCAAAACGTTCTTGAACGAAATGCAGCTGGCTACTTCAATCCTTGAGGCTACCCATCAATACGTTGTTGCAACTCTTGCCTTGGAAATTATATTGTTGCCATATTTGATTTTGCATCTCTGCAGTATATTGGCTACAACTGAAGTCATGACTTCGCAGCAATAAAGTGGAGTCGTGACCCGGTGCTGTTTCGCAAATCGCAACGACTGAGCTGCATAGATATAGTGCATACGCCCTGTCACAACGCGTGGAAGCCAAAGTAATATGTATCTATGCTTGTGATCTTTCAGAATGGACCGTCAGAAAAGCAGAAAAGCATCTGCGAACAAACTGCAGGTGACTTGAATTCATGAGCTGAGTCACCCAAGTGCCCAGACCCAGTGCATGCCGAGCTACGATGCCCTGTTAAGGCATCGCTCGAGACTTGATCCAGACGCGCGTCGATGACGCTGGCCGCTTTGTACCAGCACCATTGCTTTGCTTTGGTAGCTTCCAGGGCCCTCCGCCAACTGGTTGAATGTCGTATATGGCAAGAATAGCCGCAGTGAAAGTCAAGATTTCCTTGACAGCAAACTGCCGACCTTTGCACATGCTTACTCCACCACCTACGATATGTGTCAGTAAACCCAAGCTTGGAATATTAGGATCACACTAGAAAGGACTCACCAAAAGGCCTCACGACGCCCATATCGGCGCCAACGGGCCGCTTCTCTCCCTTCTCGTTCGGAGTGTCCCACTTGATATGCCTTTCAATATACCACTCCTTCGGTTCTTCGAAGACATTGGGGTTCATGTGGTTCAGCCCGTGGGCTCCATGGGCGTACGTTCCTTTTGGCAGCAGGAACTTCTCCGAGGATCCATCCTTGTCGCTGATGATGGCGTCCTCTCGGATCACCTTGAAGCTCCACGCGCTGACATCGACCCGCAGACTCTCGATGTAGGCTGCTTTGAGGAGGGGGCAGTTGTTGACCAGCCCCTCCACGTCAATGCTCTCGATCCTCAATGCTGCTTTGAATGCAGAGCCAAACCCGTGTGCTGGCTTCTCGATGACGATGTATGGTGCTATCTCATCCCTGATCCGGGCGAGCAGGACGGCATCTGAGTTGATGCGCCAAAGCAACCAGAATACGAACGGGTTGGAGTTCGCGTTCATGGCCCATGCCAGTCCGAACTCGCAGGAAGCTCGTTGCTCAATGGTCAAATTGTGTTTGCGATAGACGTCGTCCACACGGCTCTGGATGAGTGGGCTGACGTTGTCGATATCGGCCCACTCAGGTGTGGGCTTTTTGCCCTCACGATCCGACTCGAGCGCTGTGTGGAACGCGCGGAGGCACACCATGGCTTCAGACCGCGCCCGGCGAGCAGCAATTGCCTTTGAGATGGGCAGCCAGGCCGGGAGGTCCGCCGCGAGGGCCATAAACCCCTCGTCAAACCTCCACAAGTGCTGCCAGAACCGTGGGTAGTTCTCGACAAAGTCTGTGCCGAAGAGCGAGACGTTGGCTGTCATGGCGATGAAGTTGCGCACGAGATCGTACAAGTCGGCCTCGACGACCTGCTCTCCCGTCTTGTCCCGAACCGTCTCGGCATCCGCAGATTTCTCCCAATCGGTTTGGTCTATCTCGCTCTCGTTGAACGTGACGAAATCAGCAATATTGTGTCGTAGCCGCTGTACGGTCCTGTCGACCATCTGACTGAGGTTCGGCTCGGAGTTCAGCTTTTTGTAGAGCACAATAAGGTCATCGATCATCTTGTCGTACAACTCCAAGCTCGCCTTATTTCTCGGCCAGCCAAAGTTGGCTTTCATCAGGTGCTTCGACGATTCATAGCCGTCAGCAATGTTCACCGGTTGATTGATCAGGGATGCCGTGAGTCCAGGCTTGAATATGACCGTGTGCACGCCGCCGAGGAAGTTGAGCGAGAAAGCACCTCCGGGATAAAGCTTCCGAAGGCCTGCGAGGAAGCCCTCGGAGTTGAGGGCCATCTGGGGGATGTGGCCCAGATAGGGGATCCAGTAAGGGACCGCAGGTGCTACTTTAGCTTCCCCGTTGTGGGAGTTGTTGCCAGGGCGAGCATTGTTGCCACTCAGAACCCGTGTGGAGACGCACACAACGGTGAGTGTTACGGCGAGAACGACCAGGTGCTGCTGCTGGACATGCGACAGCAAGCCCTGGACAAGGGCCAAGAGGCCAGCCATTGTCGCTCTCTGCGACTTGGCGGGCACGCTGCCGACTCAGTCGAGGCAGACCTAAGACTGTCGGGTCACAGGGTGAAGAACGCGGTGGGGTTGAGCAGAAAGTAGCCTTGACTGCATCGCCTATTCAAGGATGCTTGCTGTGTTGAGAATAATCTGTCCAAAACACCCCGACCAGCTCGAGGACCCTGGGAGCTGACGATCGAGTGAGCTGGCGTTGGTCGGAAACAGCGGGACCAACGGATCATTGACGGACCGTGCACCAAGGTTTGGAAGGATCACATTGCGACCAGTGATGGGATGAATCGACAACACCTCATCCGCCGACCATCTCCTTCCGCTCTGATTACATCGGTAGGCAGAGTCGTTTGGGAACTTGTAGCAGGATAAATGATGAAAGTCAGGTAGGTACAGAAAACCGATCCAATCAGGACCCACACCAACCAACCATGTGAAAGTCCCCTAACCCTGCACACCATCACCTCGGGAGTGGTGGGGTGGAGGGAGGGTGGGGTGGGCAGGGCGACCGAAATCAGCACCTGCATTCGGCAGCAAGCCTGGGTCTACTGATTAAGCAGGTACAAATTTCACTGCTCCTGGCTACCATTTTTTCAGAGACACACTTGGGGGAACGAAGCTCGATGAGAACCGAACGGAGCATGCTCAACAGTCACTCTCGTTGACCATGCATTACGCAGTGCCTTGGGGAGTAATTTCACTCCTCTCCTCCCATTCCCGAGGTGCCTGACTTGGGCACGTTCGTCCAGGTACCAATGAAATCGTGATAGAGAGCATATACAATGTATTTTATTCAATAACTCAACTCTACTCGCCACTCCCACGTTCTTAGCCGGGCGGGCCCAGTCTGAAATTGTGCATCACATATGCCCCTTCCGCTGACCCCCATGCTAGATAGTGAGCATCTCCTGGCTTTCAAAGACAGCAGATGGCACCATCGTATATAGGTTGCAGAATTTGTGAATGACAATGCCTGCTCTGTAGAGCCGAGTGCTGGACTTACCCAAATGACCTTCTCAACGTATCGACTGTCAAACTTTGGCCTAGCCGCTTCTGTCCAATTCAGGTATGCAAAGTCAGAACAGATCTGTGCAAATAGTTATCCAAGGCTCGACTCAGCAGCGCAAGAACAGTTCTCGTGGCTCATCTAGAGCTAATAAAACCAAAGAGCACACAAGATGTTTTGTATTTGGCCAGCGCTTCCTATTGCACACACCAAAGGGAAGACCCGAGCAAGGCGCGACCCTAGTGCTAGAGAAGGTGTTTTGCCACGAGTTCGTGCCGGCGAAAGAACCGAGACAGGATAAAAGAACTCCCGGTAGATTGACATTTTGCTTCACTCAATTCTATCTATGCGCCTATTTCTAGGTCGTTGCCGGTCGTGCACGCGTGCAGTAAAACACCCACCTTCCCACATGTAGACCCATCTCATTGTTCTCTACCCCACGTCGAGGGAGCAGAGGATGCCACTGCCTATTACAAAGCAAGATATCCGACCGAGATCCCGGGGCTCTATTTCTCTACCAGGCCGCGGGAGATCGGATGTTTGTCTTATCAATCAAGTCAGCTGCTAGTAATCCATACACGTATCTCGGTGCTACATGTGGGCGCAGGCTGCATAGATGCGTATGGGCCGGCTGCTTCATCCAATCTGTAGGCTGCCAGTCCATGCACTACTTGGCCGATTCCCGAAGCTTTATTCGCTGGCGTGAACTAGAGTTCAAATGATGTGACTCCCTGCGTGGGACGACATCCGGCCGATCATCGGATTTTGGTGTAAGACGTGATCCTCGGGCGGCTGGCGCCATCTGCTTCCCCACCATGCCAACGGCCATGCCTGGTATATAACTCAACCACAACATTGAACATGGCAACAACATGAGACCAGATTGAAGCTCCTTGTTAGCGTGAGATTGAGCAGGGTCTTTTTACCAAACAAAACAAGCCAAAATGTCGTTTGCCGAGTTCATCTCCGTGACTTTCCCCAACGCCTCTACGGAGCTCAAGCCTATCCCAGGGGCCAAGGCGGACCCGGACTTTATCGAGCGTTATTCTCGCGGGCTCGACGACTATGACTTCAACTACACCCTCATCCCCTGTAAGTGATCTTCCCACGCGCGTAGTCGTGCTCTTTTCCTGTCACTTGAAACGTCTTCGAAGCCAGGTCACGACATGCCTAGTGAGACGAGACCGCAGTTTCTTCTACGGCCTAAAGACATTTTGAAAGACACCAGATGAGACACTGCCTGAAGCTATGAAAATGGACATACCTGGCTGAGAATTATTCGACAGATGGATCTGGCGGATACGACCCCTTCACAATAGGGGCTACTATCCTGGCCAAAACCAAGAAGCTCAACATCATTATTGCTCTGAGGCCGAACACCATGTTCCCTACCGTTGCCGCCAAGATGCTTGCCACACTCAACCACCTCGGCAGGGGTCGGGTGGTCGTGCACTTTATCGCCGGAGGCAGTGATGCTGAGCAGGCAAGGGAGGGCGATTTTCTCGACAAGGACTCAAGATACGCCAGGCTCGAGGAGTACATCAAGATCCTCCGCCGTGCGTGGGAGTCCTCCGAGCCCTTCGACTGGGACGGGCAGTTCTACAAGTTCAAGGACTTCTCAAACGCGGTTCAGCCAGTGGGCGGCCCTCGGGCAATCAAAGTCTCGGTCGGCGGCTCCTCGCCCCAGGCGTACCAGGTCGGCGGCTCCCTGGCAGACATCTTCGGCCTTTGGGGTGAGCCCCTAAAGGAGACCAAGGAGCAGATCGACAAGATCTACACCGAGGCCGACAAGGCCGGCCGGGCCAAGGACGACCGGCCCAGGATCTGGGTGACCTTCCGCCCAATCATTGCCGAGTCGGAGGACCTCGCGTGGGCAAAGGCCTACAGGACGCTCGACGCGCTCAAGGGCAACGGCGGCGCCGCGTGGGCCGGGCAGGGCAAGGCGCCTCCGGCTACTGGCACGCCACAGAACGTGGGCTCTCAGCGTCTGCTGGAGATTGCCAAGCGTGGTGAGGTCCAGGACAGGTGTCTGTGGTACCCTACCGTTACTGCGACAAATGCGCGGGGCGCGTCTACGGCTCTCGTGGGGTCGTATGACACCGTCGCGGAGTCCATCCTCGACTACGTCGATCTCGGCGCAGACCTGATCTCCATCCGTGGTTATGACAACCTCAATGATAGCATTGACTATGGACGGTATATCCTGCCGAGGGTTCGGGAAGGTCTGGCCAAGAGGGCAGCAAGCAACGGTCAATAGGGTTAGAGCCTATTATCGGCGGTACTATAGCGTACCAGTCCGAGGACTATATCTCTCCAAATATCATGGTATCCACTTGTACATGGACTGCCTGTGTTCCAAAACTCCACACCATAAAGGTCGATTTCCCATGCCCTGGCTTGAAGCAAAAACGTGGATGTCAAAATCAGGGCATGTAGCTCCCAAGGCTTGCTTTAGCTGGTGAATGGTTGGAGGTTGCTAGCCTCTTGTCAGAACAGCCACATGACAGTCCCTTTCTTCACAATTACGGGTGTGTGGCCACCTTTTTACAACATCGTAATGGCGTAGCAAAGGTCTAAGTTCGTCAATAATTCTGTTCTCTATTTGGTTGACCGATACAGATGTAGGCGACGGGTGTATTCAACGGATTAAGATGATGATTAATACCTTACCCCAGTGGTACTACAATCTCGGAAAGACGTCAAGGTTGGAATGTTTCCATTGAGGTAGATCTTGATGAACCTCGGAATGTTCTCTTGTCAGAGCAATTTGTTAATTAATAGTAATGTATATAGTAGTAGTAGTGACTCTCCCATTATCTACTTTGCACCGAATCAGGCTCGGCATAATTGTCCGTTCTCGACAACCTTCCACGCCTCAGAACCAACTGCCTTGGTCGAGTACAAGAGTCCGCTCGGGTCGTACTTCCTCTTGATACCCAAGAGAGTCTCGTACTTTGACCCGAAGAACACGTCCTGGAAGTTTCGCTGCTGGAAGTCTCCCTCGTTGAGGTACGCACCAGAGCCAGGTGTCGCAGCCTCGATGACAGGAATGACGGTGTCGGTCATGAGCTGCTGGTTCGCGAGCATCTGGTCCCAGTCTGCCGGGTCGAAGGACCAGACGGTCGTCAACGTGGCGTGCACGAGAGCGCTCCGCCAGGCGGGCAGCACGGCGTTCTGCTCGTCGGTGGCGAACTTGCTGACGTCTGTTCCAACACCGATCCAGGTGACGCCCTGCTCTGCGATGGTGCGGGCGGCTTGGTTGAGGGCGGTGGCGTCGCCCTCCACGACCGAGCGAGGGATGAGCCTTCCACCGTACTGGGCGATGCCGACCTGAATATTACCGACGGGGAGCGGTCCGAAATATTTATCGTAGTGGTCGTAATATGAGCTGGATTGGTTGTATGCGGCCGTGTGCGTGATGTTCAGCTCATCGAGCTTCTGGACGAAGGGAGCCAGGATAGCCTCGACCTCAGCGGCCGTCTTGTTGTAGGCTGTGAGTGGCGCAATCTGGAAGAACTGTGGTTGTGTTAGACAAGGTTCGAAGTAGATCTATACCACTAATCAGAGGGGGACCTTACAGTGGATGTGAAGTAGTAAACAACCATGGACCCAGCGTCCACCATAGCGGGCAGCGCGGCGTGGAAGGCGTCGATACCCTGGTAGAATGCGTCCTCCGTCGTATCAGCCACATAGAAGGCGAGAGTACCTCCTCCAACATACGAGTCTGGGAAGACCTTGACTGTCATTGAAGTCACGACGGCATAGTTGCCCGCGCCGCCACCGCTGAGAGCCCAGTAGAGGTCGGGGTTCTCTGACGGAGAAGCTTTGACAATCTGGCCATCAGCAGTGACAGCCTCCCACTCCAGGACATTGTCTGCAGACAAGCCATAGTTTGTGCTCAGGGCAGAGTGTCCACCGCCCTGGGTATAACCACCAGCAAGTCCGACAGTTGGGCACTCGCCACCGACCACGACAAGGCCGCGGGCTTTGGTGGCGGCGAGGATCTCGTAGCCCTGCACGCCTGCACCGACCTTGACGGCTTGTCCGGTGTAGGTGGCATCGCTCCAATCAAGAAACTCGATATCCTTGAGGTAGTGAGTCCACACTGACAGTGAACCAGCTCCAGTTGAACGGCCGATATAATCATGTCCCGTGTTTCGGATCACGAAACGGATGTTGTTCTCCTTCGCAAACGCGACGGTAGCAACTACATCATCTGCGTTTGAGACATTGACTGCGTAACGGACGTAGTTGCCAAAGCCACAAGGTTTGTCCTCGGCAGTGAATGGATCACAACTAGAAGTTCGGGGGAAAGGGGGTTAGCCACTCAATATACTACTCAATGACGCCCGCATCTCAGCCCGGCACTTGTGTGCTTACCTCTGATTGGCAAAGAAGGGGGCCATCACCGACGACGGGTCAGACATGCTGTCGACTTGTTAGCCTGGTTTCATCGGAACGTGTTCACCAAGAGCTCCAACTCACTGCACCGATGGAGACTGCCATTCGCTCTGAAGCGCTGAGCAGGTGGCATTGTCGAACTGAGGGTCGTGGCAGTTCTGAGCCAGAGGAACAGTCTCAATGAGTCTTCCTCCGACCGTCGCGTTTAGGGAGCTCCAACTCTCGGTGGACGGCCAGCAGCTCTCCCCGGGGAAACACTTGCACTTGCAGGTGGCGTTCGAGAACGCCAGAGAAAGCGTGGGTGTGGCGCAGACGCCAAGAGACAGGAGAGAGTACCGCATGTTGTTGACAGCCGACGGGAGACACTGCGAAGCTGAAGGAGGAGAAAGGAGACCACTGGCGTACCCAGCGTTCATTTCATCGTCTTCCACTTGCTCATATAAACTTGTCAGACCGCTTTGTGGCTCATTTAGTCAACGTCTAGAGTAAATCAACGCCAGTCCATAAGGATCGCGATATGGGGGCCCCCTAGACTCGGACGATGGAAAGGGTAACGCGCAAAAGGTGGAGTCGGAAGGAGGAGGGCCCACCGCGGAAATCCCTGAGCTAAGAGGTTGGTAGCATAACACAAGCCCCAGGTGGCTGCAGACGCCGGGACTTCTACGCGGCAGGACCTGCAGGGCTTAGATCTGGTGATCCTACCGCCCAGGAGGGAACGATTGCTTGCCGAAGCGCATCTATAGATTTGCTAGCCGAATGCCCCAATCAGCATTGTTGGGTAACTTCGTCTGCTCGCCACAGTCTTCTCGATATCGCCCCCTTCACCCCCGTGGCCGAGTGGTGGACCGAGCCAAGGCTAGCCAATGATCTCCTCGAAAGAAAAACAAGGTTTGGGGCCCCTGCAGCTTGTAGACCCTCGCCGCGGGGACCTCGGCACTTCCCCGGTGTGATGTATCACTATCAAGTAATTATCCAACGGTTGGAGAGTGTGGTGCCCAGGCGGGATGCCATGTTTTGCAGTTGCAACCCGGGCTATTATCAACTTACCCAGGCACCTGGTAAGTATTTCTTGATCCCACCTTGAGGCATACCGACGCCCATAAGATAAAATAAGGTGCAGACTATTGAGAGTAGGAAGAGGGAGTGGCGCGCGTTGCTGATTCTGCCACGTGGGCGTCCTCGTAGCTCTCGTACAGGCCAGCAAGAATCTGCGAATAGTCGAAATACACCTTCCCCAACCAGTCTAGACCATTCCGACCCCTGCCCCCAAATAGCGCCGGCCAACCTGCGCGGAGTGCGTTTGATACATCGTCCCATTCCGCCTGCATAGCCCAGTTTCTGAGTCCACTCCCGACAATATCGCGGGCGGAGTATGATTGCTGCATCGGATGAACACTGCCGAAGGGGTCGTCTGCCCCGACAGCCCAGGTTCCTGGGCCATGGTACAACAAAATCCCTATTCGCCCTTCGTGGCTAATCATCGGCGATGTGGGTCCGGCTCCGGCTACGGGCACCGTATTGAAATTGTCTTGCGAATTCCCAGGAATCCTGCCCAGACTAATCCCTGGCATACCTCAAGTAATTATTACAACCCTCGACGACAACCGTCGGGCCAACCGCATCAAGCAGATTAAGCTCCCTCCTTGAGACAAGCTTTGTTCTAGAAAACCTGTCCCTGAATCTAGCGTGCTAGAGTGAACGGAATGGTTCATCCAGGACGGTCACCGTTCATGAGACCTCCACCAAGAAGTTGGCACTCGGAGTGGCCACCCCCTCGTGTATGCAACCCATCTCGCAAACACTGCTTCCGAACAGGGGAAGCCTCGGTAAAGTGCCTTGGAATCCCCGCTGAACAATCGCCGGTGACAATCTCCGTCGAGCGATGACCAACCTCTACACAGCCGGAGGAAAATCCCCTCGTTGCACACTGCAAGACAGGCAGTGCACATTTTGACCGTTGAGCTTCATGCGGCTCAAAAATAACAGAAATACGCCTGGAAAATACGAGAATGCAGAAAAAGGTCCCATTTGAACGCTTGTCTGGAAGGATTTGCTGCCATTTTCATTGTCAGGTGTGGACACGTCGTTAGCACAAACCATCTCGGCTGAGGAGTGGATACCTCTACCTGGGCATCCACTGGAGCGCTTGGTTTGGTCCAGGCTCATGCAGGTTGTGTGAAGTGAGCAAGGGCCGCAGCAAGCTGGCAATCTTGAGGTATAAACTGTTCCAGCTGTGATTCAAGATGTTGTTCAGGGCGATCCGGGTCTAGATTGGGTTGCGTCCTTTCGGTCCAGTCTCTCATATTTGAAGCTCATCCACTTTCCAAAATAGCAGATCGGAGTCTCTGTGGGTTGTTTTGCTCATAACTGGTCTTCCCTTTCACACAGTACACATGTGCAGGTCGTTCGGCAGACCGCTTCGTTCCGGATCTGCATTCAGTCTGATCTCAAACTGAACCCACATAGCAGCCATAGCACACCCTGCACGATCTAATCGACCTTGACCCAGCCCGGCAAAATGGGGTGGACCTTCAACACCGTGGACCCGAACGCACCGACAGATGGGCCCAAGATCTCAGCTGTTGCCATCGTCATGACAACATTGGCCATGGTGGCCGTCATTCTGAGGGTTTATGTTCGCCAACGCATGGTTAAGGCCTTCGGAGCCGGTAAGATCAAAGCTTGAATGGACCTATTTTTTCAAGCTATCGATGCTAACAGCAAGAATTGCAGATGACTGGGTGATTGTCTATGCTTGGGTGAGTTCATCCCTTAAGCTTCAAGTGCGGCAAGCCCACCGATAGACTGCTCACACTCCTCAGCTTTCGTCTGCAGGATTCGCAGTTCTGTCTTGCGTTCGTAAGGACGATGCCCTTTTCCATGTCCAATATAACATCGCTGGTAACTAATAATGTCAACTCGCAGAAACACGATGGGGTCTTGGACTACACAGCATCGAAGACTTGCCTACCGAAGACATTTATAATTTTGGCCTGGTGAGTCATGTCAATTCCTCTAAAGTCATGGTATTGGAACTGATAAAAAACGTACAGGTTCAATACATGGGGGCCCCATTGTAAGCCATCGCTAGTTGCGCGATGAGTGCCATTGCGGCTTCACGGTCCAACCTGACTGACACATGCGCGGAACAGTTATATAACAAGCATCTTGGCCTTCAAACTCAGCCTTCTGCTATCATATCTGCGATTTATGCCCAAGGGCGCCTACCGTTATACTACATTTGTCGTCATACTGCTCACTGTCCTCTTCCACCTGGCCTTTCTTCTGGTGCAGATCAATCTTTGCCAGCCGGTCAGTACCATATCCGCGGCTCAAGTTACACAACCCGTCACTGACAGTCTCCACAGGTCCAAGCCCAATGGGACCCGAGCATTGTCGATAAGACATGCTTACCCAGTGTGCCCGTATACACAGCTATGGCCTCCCTGACCATTTTATTTGATGTCACTGCGTGAGTCGCCCTGGTCTGGCATCTTGATGGTGTTGTCCGTGGTCAATCTGCGCCTTGCTGCCAGGCATGAAATGTGCACAAGTTGAAATGTACTAATACATATCGTTTGATTAGCATGGTCCTCCCATTCCCTGTTTTGATGAGCCTCAAGATGCAAAACCGCAGAAAGGTTGTTCTGCTTGGACTTTTCGGACTGGGCATCTTCATCACGATAATCCAGATTATCCGCATCCAGACCGTCAAGCGGCTAGTCGTCTACACCGACAGTGCGCCGTTGATCATGTGGTCGGCAGTCGAGGCCAACCTGGGGGTCATCGTCGCCAGCGTCCCGTGCCTGTCTCCGCTTATCAAATACTTCAGGGAACGAAGCACGACTGGCTCCAAGGGAAAGTCTGGTGGCTACCAGGTTGGGTCGCAATATGCTCTGCGCACCTGGAAGTCGACAAACAATGCACGGGATACGAACATGGGGGCCTCGCTCTCCGGCCATCGTGCAAAGGCCGAAGCAACTGTCACAAATCCCACCACGGACAGCACGGAATACATATTGGAGCCGACCAAGATCATGGCTAAAACGGAGATCACGGTAACGAGGGTATAGGCCTTGTGCGATGGGATGGATGCGTGTTTTGTCAAAGTAACGAGCCACCTAATTTGCTGATCTTTTTAACATCGATTAACATTTATTTTTGGAGACGATCTCCCAAAGCTGTCTCGTGTGAAGGAAAAATTTTGCGCTCTGGTCTTTATATCCCTTCCTGAACACGAGTCTCCATTTGTTCAGTAAGACCTGGAAGCTGCTCGTAGACCCAAGTCCTGGCAGTGCCATTGATCGCCATGATTAATATTGAACCCCGTGTTCTCGATATGAAGTACCCAAGACTGCTTTCAGGCTCGACTAGGTCACTTAGGTGCGTGCAGAGTCAGAATTGCGGCTGCCGTCTTGAGCATTTGGGCGGTCATGGGAGCAATGTCGGTCATCTTAAATTGCTCAGTACTGTTATTTGACTACTAATACGTTATGTGCATATTGCTTAAGAAGCATATGTGTACAGATTAAAAACGAGACCACCTTGCGTTATGCAAACAATGGCGGAGGCGAGAAGTATTTTGGTACACTACCGACGGATGAACACCGGGCCCGTCCGCTCGGCCATGATTACCTATAGCCCGGGACGATATGCTATTGGTTGATCATGGATCCGAGCTCTTGGTCCTACGAGCAAAGGGAAAGACTATGGTACTCTTTGAAGTATGAATGTTCTAGTATGTTTCACTGGACACCTCCACTCGGCAAATCTCGTGAGTTGCACATTCCCACACCGTCGAGCTTTGCCGTTCGAAACTGCTCTTCGAGGTGGGTGTGGCCGAGGCGGACACATGTCGCCATCGGCTCAATCCAGTCTCCTCTCAACGTGATCTGGCCGTATCGTGTGCCGGCACATCCTTTTACGGGCGGCAGGAATACGATAGGAAATGACCGCGACGACGCAGGAGGTATGGGGTAGTAAGGACGACATGATGGCATTGTTTGTTAGCAGCGCAGCAATAAATGAAATAATGCCATTGGAAGCATAGACTATAAACTCTGACCTAAAGTCATGAGCTATTTAGTGGACGTTCATGCGACTTGTCTTGCGCATTTCGCTTTCCCCGGACCAGATTCAAAGGTCCTACATCATTCTTTGACGTCTGATGCGTGTTCCCTGATATGAGTCTCAGCCACATGTGTGCCATTCCATAATACCGCATTTCGCGCGTAGCCACGATGTGACCTCTTTTGAAAGCAGCATGAAGTGCCTTGGTATATGGGACGACGGGTCACAGGGCTGTTGCTGCTTGCGACAACCAGTCGCACTGCAGCGCGCTTGGCGACGACGGCCTAGTTCCAGGTGCCCTTGGGCAAATCAAGCCCAGGAGTCACCCTCCACCAAGAGGAGCCCCCTGCCTGCCCTGCCCACCACCAAAATCCACAGGTAAGACCCAATGAATGAGCTGCAGCCAATCTCACAACTAGTCGAGTGCTAGCGCATGATGACGAACGGAAAGCTGAGACGTCTGCCACTGTGACAGGTGATGCCCTTGGCCGGTAATAAGGGAAGAGGTTTCGCCACATTACATAGCTATCTTACCCCTCAAGCCACACCTTCCCACCTCATTCCACCTCGGCCGCGCTGCCTGCATGTCTTTGACGGGAAGTCATCAATCCACAAAAATACCCCTGATCGATTCTGTTCTCGTCCTGCAGGACCCGCAGTCGTGAAGCCTTCTACAGCAGTGGCCCAGACCTACTTGCAAACTCCACTCAGTGATGGAAGGCTTGAAGCTTATCGCCCAGTCGACGTTCGACAGGCATCAGAAGTTCCGGAGTGGCGCTGATGATTCCCAGCGCTACAACGTCATCGAGATCGGCGCTTTTGAATCACCAAATGCGCACTCCCCCACCACGGGCACAGCATCAAACCGACAGTCTATCGGGAGCACACCCAACGCCCACTCTGTTTCCGATGGCAGTACAGGCAAATCACAAGATGATGCATCCAAGGCGTCTGCGAGCGACGCCGGTGGGAATCGCACCACCTTTAATGAATGGACGGTGCATGAGGAGGACTTGGTTGCGTTTATGAAGATGAGGCCTGTCGAATCTGTTGTGGTGAGCCCGAAGCGATCTGCATCACAGCTACAACAGGCAGATGCAAAGATACCAAAGGCGCAGGTTCAGGCAACAGATAGCGGGACGGCCAGCACCGCGGGTCACTCGAGGAGTGTCAGTCTGCAGAGTACCAAGACCGCTAGCACATCGGCCACGACAGCCACGACAGGCACATCGCCTGCCAAAGCGAGCGACGAGGCTCCAAGAAAAGCAAGGCAGGAGGTGGAGGCCGCCGCGTCGCTGAAGATAGTATGCATCCAACGTGCGGCCCCCGACGAGGCCTCTGGTGCGGATACAAATACCCTGGCCGTTTCCCGCGAAGCCTTCCTTCATCTCTATGTAGACACCATGGACGCAGATCACGGCGCACTATACTTCATTGCTCGCGACTACGACGGCTTTCACGAGTACAACGACACGACCAAGGGAATCGTGACGACCTTCATCGGCACGGCCGACTACGCGCTGGTGTGGACGTTCAATCGCCGTAGTTTGGAGACAAGAGGGCTGCTCATCGACCGCAAACCTCCAGAGCAGCCAAGGGATCCCGATCCGGCCCCAGAATCCACTTCCGGGAAGAAGAAGCAAAGCAAAGCAGGGGCGGTTATCCCGAGTGAAGCTTGGGTGGGCTTTAGGAACATGTTGAAGATGTACCGTGGCTACATATTCGCGCCGCCTTTGCTGAGCTTCGTCTCCTGCCTGCACATGCTCCACTCTTTCGACGACCAGCTCAGCGCAAGCGACCTGCCGCATGTCAAGGACATCGAGAGAAAGGTCGGCAACGGGACAACGGAGGCAACGAGGGCCGGGGAAGTGGCGAGGACGACTCAATCCAAAAGCCAATCCCTCTCACGGCAGTCGTCCTCCTACGCGACAAGACTATCCACAGAGCCGAGCTTCACCGACTTCTCACCAGGCACACCGACGCAGCAGCAGAAGCCCTTCAGCATGGACAGGCTGATATCCTGGTCCCAGGCGTCGGGCGAGATCGCCGACAGCGCGGCGCGCAAGCTGCGGCAGATCAAGATGGGCAGGGAGATCCTGGAGATGATCTCGCGGGAGCACGAGACCGTGGTTGCGGACGTGGTGGCGCCCTCCTTCCTGGACCGGTACCACAGGGCGATGCAGGGCATGATCGAGGCGATCCCCGCGGTCGAGAGGCACATGGCCTCGCTGGAGGAGACGCTGGTGGACCTCAAGGCGCGCACGGAGAGGCTGAACGGGCTGGTATGTGCTCTTCATTGCCTTTCGGCCTATCATCCTCTTCAAGGGGGGTTGAAGCTCACAGCGAGTGCGTACTAGATATCTGCGCTGTTCTCGCGCGAGCAGGCCGGCTCCGAGGGACACCCGATGGCGTCGTCCTTGGATTTGGCGTTGACGGGTGGCGGCCGAGAGGATCCGAGCGTGAACCGGGTGGCTGTGATGAGTACGACTTTGATGCCGATTACAGTCTTTGCCGCTATCGTGGCCATCGCTCTCATCAGATGGTCTGTAGTTGTGCCTTGTATGATTTTCTTCTTTATGGGCTGGTCAATGGTTACGCAACGGGAATGGGTAAAAGAAGCGTCGAGGCATTCCCATGAGGAGGATGAACGCCCATCGAGGCCCGGGATCATAGGTCAGGTGTCGGAGAAAATGCTACAGTCCTGAAGTGTTCCGTAGCGTTCAAGGTATGATAGGTACCGCAGAGCCGATAACCAATGAGGAACGGGTTCTAATATTAAGAGACTATAATAAGTGCCACATACAGCGCATCTATTCTCCAAACCTGCATTCAAAATTTGTCATGTGCTGAAATACCACTAATTTACTTTGATCTTCCCTCCTATGTTCGGCAGACTAATAGGTCTCTCTCCCAAATGTGAAAAGTAGGCTGCTGCAGGCACCATCATCTCCTGAGCGCTGAAAGTTTACTCAAACTTATTCATTCCAGACCCGACTGTCCCTGGGACTGGATCCGCAGGCTTCGTCCACGAAACATCCAGGCTTTTATAATAATCCACTGTTGGCATTGCAGGCTGCCTTAGTGACTGGACCCGACTTCTGGCCTTTGGTAGTAAGGTGCTGGCGATCCACTCCATGGTCGGTACATATTGAATCTGGTCTACGATGGGCGCGGTATCCTGATCCGGCCTCTCGAACATCTGAAGAAGTTCTATTAGCTCGTCAGAGTACACCCTCTCCGCCCCGTATTGGTTGCAATTCTCTAATGTCTGGCTGTCTGGTCGGTCTAGCTCCCACGATTCATCCTCATCGTCCTCGATCTCGTCAAATCCATCGTCATCTCCGTCTTCCATTTCTTCGTCGTTAGCCGAATAAATGTCCAGATCCACATGAGCCATGCACAGGAGCCTGAGGACGCAACCAAACTGGTGCACATCGGTCCACTCTCTTAGTTCTGGACTAATTGTCGAAGCCGGGGGTGTACCACCTTGCAAAACTGCTGGGTCATCTCCATATATAGCTGCTTCTCCCCAGTCGCCCAGCACAACCCGTGGGAATGCGCGAGCCCTATAAATCTCCATCTTGGACCGGGAAGTCGTAGGGTAGTGGAGGAAAATGTTCGAATCAGCAATGTCCCGATGATAAACAGGCTCCCAGCCCTCTAGCGGCGTACAGGCATCAGGCCCTGAGGTCCCGCGTGGTCTACCGAGATGCGTGTACACAAGCGCCTCGCCAATCTGCTCAGCAACAAGCCAAATAAAATGCTCTGGTACGTTTCTTCTGATAGCTTGGCCAGATTCTTCGTCAAAGTAATCGAAGTGCTCTTGTATAAATTGTTTCAAATTCCCACCGTTGTAGTATCTGTCCGTGATGCTCAGTTATGAAAATTCATTAAACCGGAAATTAAAAGGCAGGAATCGGTTTCTCACTCGGTGAGCCTGGAGTACTGGGGTAAGGGTGAGGGAACTCACTCTGTAAATAATGTCCAGTGTTCTCCGCTCCACTGCTGCCACCCAACGAGCTTTGGGAAATAGTCCTCCTTGGGTAATCGTGCTAGCGCCTGTGGACAAGTGGAAACGCGGACCTCTGGTGGGATTTCCGATTTAAACCCTTCGTCTTCGTCTTGGCCATTTTCACCGTCTGCATCAGCCGTTCTGTGCAGCGATTTCCGGACATAGAGCCGGTGATTGCTAACACATCGGACCACTTCAAAATCGGATCGTAAGCGACTTAAGCGTGTAAATCCTCTTGATCCGAATTTGTTGAGCCGTGGGGATAGTGACGCCCACTCATTTAGAGCCTGCGAGGTGTTTGATGCCGACATGAGTGCCTGCTGATTTGGTTATCGATGCTGGCGGAATTATGAATTCGTTGCCGTACAATTCTAATCCATTCTTGCCTCCTTACTCTGCCAAATGAGGGAAGCGTCGTCTTTTCAAGGCTCCATTAAACCAGAAATTGCGTGTCAAAGAAGTGGGAGGAACGTTTCCATTGTTCAGAGTTCTTCGAAGTATATGGGACACTCACACCGAGAAGCCCACTACGACGGTAAGGTGAAAGAAAGTCATGACGGTCCAGATCTCTGTCTTTGTGAATTACCTAGAGCCATGGCTGCCGCATTCGAGTTTCCGGACACGGGCTAGCAGGAGGCACCCCAAGTGTTTCAAAAAGCAATAATTGGTGTTCCCGACGTCGATGGATTGGTCAACATTGCTGGCATTCATGATTGAATTTAACCACTCTGTCCGTGGGGACTTAGACTTCATGCCCTTTTGGAAGGTGCCTTGATAGTATAGATACGCCAATGCATGCGCAATCTTTGTTATGAAGGATCAACGACCAAGCCATAGTTGACCCGTGGACGCCCACACCAGTAACCCATTAACGGTCGGTAACATTGAGGGAATACTATTTGTCAGTTTTATGGCTGCTCTCTGATATCCCGGCTTTATCATATTTCATAACACAGTGACGCCGAAATCAATGCGCCAAAATTGTGGAAATTAGGCTCGCAGGTGTCGAGGATATTCAGATGGGACCGACCTGTGCGACTTGCACCTCCAAACCATTGAGAGTCAGTTTTTAATGACTTTACTAATTTGGTTGTGGCTCCGCAATCTCTGGAGAAGAATCCCATTTGCCTTTTTATAACTCAACTAAGTTTCTCACTGCAACGGCTCCCAGGAAGGGGTCCATTTGGGCTTGGTTGCGGGTATGGCAAAATTCGACCTGACGGAATTTTGGGCTGGCGAGGACGGCAAGGATGCAGACATGAATGTTACGTTCAATTTAATTTACTCGTAGTTGCATGAATAGGAGAGCTCAAATAACTGGGTGACTTTACCCTCTGATGGCTCAGAAGTGCTGTTCATTGCAATGAGCTGTCGATTTGTGCCTTCCCACGGAAGATGAAGGAAAATGAGGAAGCTGCAAGCCCAGAGTTTTGACCTGCAAATCCGTTAGTGACGAGCTTTCTTGGGGCTCCGAAAGCGCAGCTTTGCCTTCTTCGACCTTCCCAAGCACCGATCTTGGGGCTTTGTCAACACCACTTCATCTTTTTGCAAACCATCAGAGCCCATACTGAATACCGAATTATCATCCATAAGCTCGACGCCATTCGATCAATTCTGCAAGATCGGCGACCTGCCTCCACTCGAACGGCCGCAAAATCTTCCGCGCCTCGAAAAAAAGTGTTGACTGGCACGCCTGCCCCTCCCTGCACCAGAAGCCCGCGTGCTGCACTCGAAAACATGGCAACACTGAAGGCGACAGACCCAACTCTCAAATCCGATGATCCCACAACCGAGGGTACCAATTCTGAGGATCCAAAGCCTGAGGATCCAGAGTCAGAGAACCCCCCGGCCGAGGAAATGAAGCCAGAGGATCCCAAGCCTGAGAGCCCCCAGACCGAGGAAATAAAGCCTGAGGAAGAGGAGGGCCAGGGCCTGCACGCAGCCACTATGCCGAAAATACCGTCCCTGCCAACCGCTGTGGCATCAGATCGCTGGCAGACCAATCTTGAGACTCTCCTACGCTTCCCAGGCATGGTACAGCAAAGTGAACTGAGGATGTTTCGTCCTGGCAACCAGATCGCCTAGATCGCCCTTGCGCTGGGTGTCACCGACTCAGCCTACACAATCATTGAGTCTTCCTGGGTTAAGATCGCCGAGCGAGTCTTCGAAATACAGACTTGCTGTCTCATGCATGCCAAACACATCACTTTCGATATCGCTGCAGACGGATGGGTTACCTGGGACATTACTGCCGAGTGGTACGACCGCGTCCTGCAAGATCTCCAGGGCAAGGGGTTCCGCACTACTTGTACGGCCATGATCGCTTTTGTGGCGAGATTTTACTTGCAGTCTTCGTCTTGGATCAGGTTTTCCCGATCCAGAGGCAGGCAGAGGCATAAGCGAATCATGAACGGTCTTAAACCCGATCCCAGTGCTGCACTGATCACGCGTTGCTCTTCGCTGGCCAAGGGCTTCACCAACATCGTTATGCAGTCCAGGAGGCGCGCAATCAAGCGGGCAGAGAAACAGCATCCGTAGCGCGAAGCTCCGCCTCTCAGCGAAAATGCCGTCTCAGAGCAACGAAAGCCATCTGACATTGGTCGACGCCGAACTGTATCGATGCCCGCTCTTTGAAGACTTTGTACCATGGTTTTGGAATCGACCGACCGTGGGCTCAAAAGCGACAGCGGCTGTGCACTTTCCATTCCCTCTTCAAGAGAACTCACACTGCTCCAACACGTCATCACCCTGCGAGCGATCAGGGCCAGGATTCGGTCTGCAATGGTTTGCAAAATGCGTTCGTCGCGGGTCTCTCAACGAAAGAGGCCTCTTGTGCCGCTCATGAAGGGTGTGGGATGCGGGCGGGCGGCGTGTCACAAGACTGCCATTGCCCGGTATGCTGCCAGATGGAGCCCGTCGAAATGGACATTAAGTCGGCAACTGTTGAGGATGAGGAGTGCTTTCAAAAGTTTCGCAGAGTCTACCAAGGCAGAAAGTAGACGAATGGGGAGCACAGCGTTTGGAACACGAAGCCCACCAATGTCAAAACAAAAAACATCATGTATGAGTAAGCATAGATCAGTGTTACGAAAGGACGCTTGGTCACAAAGCGAAAAATAAGATATCTCCGAGTAGGATCAGCCCTTGCAGATACAGTGGGCTCCATGAACATTCTTGAGAAGGTCACGATCGAGAGCCAGCGCCACGAAATTCAGTATCTAATTATGAAAACAGTACGAGAGACGCAGTTGTGGTCCACTTCCAGCAATCGTTTTATCAACATCCATGAATTTACAAGCCGTCCTTCCCACAACCACGTCAGGCAGCACCCTCCATTTCCAGCCTCTCCTCCTCCCTCGCCTTCTCAATCTTCAGGCTCAACTTGACCGGATTAGACCCTGGCGTCTCGAATATGGTGTCAATCTCCTCCAGGTTAAGCTTGCTCGTCTCAGGAAAGACGAAGTAGGCCGCGACCAATTGCAGAGTATTATACACGATATATACGACCCAGATTTTATAGCCAACCTTCTGAATACCCACACTAATCCCATAATTCTGCACCACGCCAGCAGCGCCTTGAACCATGTTGTAGAACCCCATTCCCTTGGCGCCCAGCGGGAGTGAGAGGATCTCGACGGGATAGAGGTTGTGCATTGTAGCGATTAAGGACGCGCTGCAAACCTGGTAGATGAAGATCCAGACGACGGTCAAGACTGCCGTGGCGTGCGACCCATGAAGCGAATACTGCCAGCTCGTGATCGTCGCAGCAAACTGACAGAGGATGAAAGTGACCAGGCCCGCGAAGATTAGCCTGCGTCGCCGGAAGATATCGACAAGGAAGGCGCCCACGAACTCGAAGACGAAGTACACCATCGTCGAGCCGAGGTTGATGCCGAGCTCTAAATCTGTGTTAATCACCTGCTTTGGGTCCTAAAGTGATATATACTGGAACATTCTAAAGCACAACAATAGGGGAACCATGGTAAGGGAAGAGGTGTACTAACGGTCGACAGCAGCAGTAATCCCAATCGTGTCGAGCGCGGGCGAGAGATAGTACGAGATGATGGCACCTCCATGCTTGTGAGAGTGACGGCAACGCCCTATCCGTTTCATTGTAAGGCTGAATCGTGTCAGCGAGTTCGAATGGGAGATATATGAGTTCCTGGACAGCATACGTGTGCAAGATGGCCAAATTGTGCTGCGAGCGTTCTCCGGCGGACAGCACAGCAATCAGCTGGCTCTCGTCCTTGGCGTGAGATGCGATGATGCTGGCAGGAGCTCCGTCGAAGCCGTTGGGAGCTGTCTTATTGTGAGCTCTTCTGCCTGTACCATAGCTATTGGTGCTCAGACAACATTCCGAGCATCGGACCCAGAAACGGCGGCGGTGGACAACGTCAACAACGCACTCGAACAGCCATGGCAGACACTTCTTGACAGGCACGTCGCTGACTACAAGTCTCTGTTCGATCGCGTTAACCTTCGAATGTGGCCAGATGCTTCAGACATCTCGACAAATGAACGCATCAAGGACCGTCGCGATCCAGGGCTTGTCGCTCTGTATCACAATTTCGGGCGATACCTTCTGATCTCGTGCAGCCGCGACTCCTACAAAGCACTGCCAGCGAACCTGCAAGGCATCTGGAACCCCTCTTTTGCACCACCGTGGGGGTGCAAGCTGACTATTAACATCAACATAGAGATGAACTACTGGCCTGCGGCTCCATGCAATCTGTTCGAGTGCACTCTGCCACTTGTTGACTTGCTGGAAAGAATGGCAGAGAGAGGCCGCACGACGGCGCTTACAATGTACGGATGCAGGGGATGGTGTGCCCATCACAACACAGACATCTGGGCAGACACAGACCCCCAGGACAAGTGGATGCCGGCAACTTTGCGGCCTCTGGCAGGAGTCTGGGTCTGCATCGATGTGATGAAACTGGTGAGAGAACGGTACGATCGGAGCATGCACGGTAAGCCCCATTCTTGTCCTTTCACGGATCGACGTCTGTCATGCTTTGGAATGGTCCAGAATGTATCACATCAGGATCCGTAGCAGGTGATTAACAGGTAGCAGAGCGCCTTGCTCCGGTTCTCGAAGGCTGCGTCGAGTTCCTCCTCGACTTTCTCGTCCCATCCGAGTGTGGAAAATACCTTGTGACAAAACCCTCGCTCTCCCCTGAGAACACATTCGTGTCAGACGGCCGACCAGGTACACTCTGCGAGGGGTCGACAATGGATATGTCGATTGTGGATATGGCCTTCGAGTACTTCTTGTGGACGGTCGAGAAGCTGCACGGAGGGAACCATCCGCTGGCTGATAGAGTCGAAGAAGTGACACTGCCACCGGTGCAAATCAACGGGAAAGGCCTGATACAAGAATGGGGCCTGAAAGACTACGATGAGCTCGAGCCAGGTCATAGACACGTTTTTCATCTCTTCGGGCTATATCCAGGCAACACGCTCCGCACCCACGAGGAGATAATGGCAGCCAAGAGAGTTTTGGAGAGAAGGGCGGCCTATGGGGGAGGGCACACTGGTTGGAGCAGGGTATGGCTGCTGAACCTGCATGCTCGCTTGAGAGATTCCGATGGGGCGGGAAAGCACGTGGAGCTTCTTCTCAAGGACTCAACTCTCGACAACATGCTGGACAACCATCCTCCGTTTCAGATCGACGGCAACTTTGGTGGGTGTACAGGCATCCTGGAATGTCTCGCGAGACGCTGGGAGCCGACGCTGTACGGGGCTGGCGTGACACTACTGCCAGCTTGCCCAAAAGAGTGGGAACGTGGGAAGCTGACAGGACTTCACGTCCGTGACGGTTGGACCGTCTCTTTCCAGTGGAAGGACGGCAAAGTTGTTGACCCTGTGACGGCCCATAATTCGGTGCATGATGGTTCCACGATGGCTGTCAAATACCCAGATGGGAAAGTTGCCGTCGTTCGAGGGTTTGGTGAACATCACATAAGGTACGACGAGCTGACAGCTGGAGAAGGGCCATGTGGGGATTTCAGATGATGAGCCCCTGGGGGAGACGAGAGAATACGAGCCTTCCATTGTGGATTGACAAAAGCCAACGCACGCACCTACCTCTGAGCACAGAAACCTCGAGTGCTCCGCGCGGCGGCACGCTATTGGGATGATGTCGCCTTGCTCCTGCCGGCAGACCCATATTGATTGCTGTGGCGGGCGTGCGGACCCTTGAAAGCTTCTTGTGCAAGTACTGTACTGTATTTGAGCTCGCCCCAGACCTGCAGTTCATCCGAACCGGGTCACAGCCGTTTGATGCCTGAGCCTGGGTTTCTTTGGCTGGCTCTCTGCTCTGCCAGCTTGGCTGTGGACTGATAGACCGACCCATCCTTGCGAGAGGGAGAGGCACATCTCCTAAATAGCGAGCATAACATTATAGAACAACCAGTGGGAATGGTGTTGCAGCGCGCTGGGACATGGTGACGTGCATGTGAAGTGAACTGAGGGTGGTTACATAGTAATCTTGCATCGTGGGGGATGCTCCTGCATCCCCCAGATGAAGCTTCCGGCAGATCTGAGCTCTGCCGTCTCTTGATTGGCTGCATGTCATGTCGCTGGACCGTGCACGGTTGCCGTGACAGCAGACCTTACCATAACTGGGCTAGCACCATGCCCGCGTCAGGAGGGACAGCGGGAAGTGGCCCAAGAGGCAGGAGTCAACAGGGGGGAACCAACAAGTGCAGGCGCGCACGTCCACAGAAACAGAGGCGACTGCAGGCCAGGGAAACACGGGCTCTGCCCTCTGCTGGAGCTGCTGGAGCAGGAGCGTTCCTCGTCATTCCAACCCGCGACACTTCACCACCACGCACTGCGACGAGGCTTCACGACAGCCTGATGCAGCGTGTCGACACGGTAGGTCATCCAGCAGTCGAAAGACCCGACCGACATCACACCTGACGGCCCGGCGACGACACCGCCCCTCTTCGACCGACCGCTTCCCTTCTCCAGCTGAGCGCGACGACTTGCCAACCTCCTTGGGGCCCTCTATTTTGCGCATGAACCACACGCAAACGGAGACCAGAGATGATCCTTGGATCTGACTGAAACAAGGCAAGGCACCGCCCACCACCTCGTCGCATCGCATCGCACTGCATTGCAGCAAGGAGGAATCGGTTCTTCGTCATCGCCGTCGGCTTCTTTTTTGTTTTTCCTTCACTCATCCTCCAAGCGAGTTCACGCCGACGATCCTTTGCTGCCGACTCACCCCTTTTCCTTATCAACAACCCAAACCACCGACCCTCTTTTACCGACCACCAGATCGACATTTCCGAGTTTGACCAACGATCACATGCAACCTTTGTAACGCGTGGCGCATTCCCGTCACACCTCACGATTTTACTTCTTCGTCTATCCAAACCCCCATCAAAATGTTGGCGTCCGAACCGCCGTCGTCCCCGCCGGGCGAAGACGCAGCGCCGGAAGAGTCACTCGCCTGGTACAAGTCGCAATACGAGCAGCTAGAAACCGAACTTGCCGAGTTCAGGGTTTCCAGCGAGGAACTCGAGAAGGAGTTGGAGAGGGACCTCGATGCTGCCGAGAAGAGGGAGAATGCGCTCAAGGAGAAAGCAGAAGGCCTCGTCTTCGAGGTCGACGAGTGGAAGGTAGGCTCACCGCTCCTGCAGTTGCGCTGCCGCCTCCAGAGGACGATCATCGCTGACTCCCGCCCTTGCAGAGGAAGTATAAGGAATCGAAGACCGAGGCGAACGCGGCACAGAACGCACTGGAAAAGGAGATCACAACCTTGAGGGACACAAATCGCACCTTGCAGCACAAACTCCGCGACATAGAAGTTGCAAATGATGACTTCGAGCGACAAGCACGGATCACAGACTCCTCCCTCGAGGACATGGAATCAAAATACAATGCGACAATCGAGAGGGCAGTCATGATGGAGGAGGAGATCAAGATCGGTGAACAAGAACGGGAGCAGCTCAGAATAGAAGCGCAAAGGCTACGGGAAGAGTTGTCCGACCTTAAGATCGAAGCCGAGATCCTCCAAGACAAGTTCAAGAAGCAGGAGGAGCAGCGTCACCTATCCACGATATCCACAGATCTTTCCATTCCCGAAAGCCCCATGTTCGACAACAGCACCATGTCAGGTGCCAGCTCTCCACTCGTCTCAACGCCACCTGGATCAGTATCGTCGTCGAAAACTCCAGTCCATGAGCCTCCATCGCCACCGATGTCGGATGCGTCTGCCCCGATTCCCAAGTCAAAGCCCAAGGGCCCTCCCGCGATAGCACCCGCGACTGCTCCTGGGAAACCAAAGAGATCGAGACTGCCTTCGATGGACTCGAGTGTCACCTCAAGGCCGCGGGTGTCCTCGACAGCGTCACGATCATCCACCAGCACTCGACCCACCACCGCGAGTGCCGCACAGCGACCCACACCAGCCCTCCGTAGAACTACGAAACCCCTTCCCTCCAAGGCGCCTCCCAAGAACAAGATACCCCCGTCGACGTCTCTCACCCACATCCGAACTCTCACTGCCCAGATGCAGCGTCTCGAAGCTCGTGTTCAATCTGCCCGTTCCAAACTCCCCGCGCCTACGGTCACGCCACCGCGTGCCTCTCCTAGGTCTGTCGCTAGTAATAGCAACGTCACGATAAGGACCCGCAAGCGAGGTGTATCGTCCGTGTCATCCGCTGCCACTAGCACGACGCCAGAGGACGCAACGCCGACTGGCAATGGTTTCAACAGGAGCACCAACGGCGGTCGACATCTGCCCCGACTTAGTATATCTGGTGTCAGCAGGCTCTCCTTTGGTCCCCTCCCAAACCGCGGCCCCATCGATTCCGGATCCGAGGTTAGCCGCCCCAGCAGCCGAGCTAGCACCTCGAGCTATGCGCGGCCGGTCAGCCGGGCCGACGGCAGGAACGACAGCATGATAGCGCCGCCACGGCCAGTGAGCCGCGCAGGTGGTGCGAGGACACCTCTGGGCCGGCCAATGAGTAGGACGAGTTTTGGCAGCAGCTTACACGGGCACTCGGTGAGCAGTCTTAGCCTCAGCACGGCAGAAGAAGTCGAGCCGGAGGAGCGATCGTATAAGACACCTAGCAGGCGCGGAACCTACAGTCGATTAGAGGGCGGCAGTGGGATCCCAACACCAAGCGGCCTCCCTATGCCAACCTCGAGACGACAGAGTTTAGCAAGCGTTCAGGCCGAGCCAGTCAGGAGACCGAGCATAGGGCCGGCACTGATCAAGAAGGCGTCGACACAGCCTTTGGGCGATCTCGGCGAAACCTTCTAGGAGAAACGAAGCGGCGAGGTGTGAGACCGGCAAACGGGCTCAACCAGCGCGCTGCATTATATATTACCTTCACATTGACACCAATATTCTTTTCATTTGTCATCATACCCATTTCTTTTGTACACTACGAGGGCTGCGATCATTGCGATAGGGTCATTTACACGGGCGAACCGGTTCGGCGTGGCATGGCATACGAAGGGTACGGAGTTCATCGCATTCCCGCGTGACTGGAGGAGCTTTGGTTGGGTCAGAAAGCATCCTATTTCAGCGTTAGAGTGAGACTGGTTGCTGCCCGGCTTAGGCTGCCCGGCTCGATTGTGTGAGTGATGGAAGGCGTGAGACCAAATTGACGATGGACAATAGACGTGCGGAAGGAAGTCCGAAGTTGTCCGGAGATAGTATCACCACCGGGAGAGTAATATATCCTTGAGGTATCATCGACCGACCATATGAGCTTCACGACCCGGGGAATGATCTCGTATCTGTGATAATGTTCTGATAAGGATTTGTGGCCGTGCCCAGCCATGGTGGGACAGTGGTCGTTCAAATCGTTATCGCATGGTAGAGGTGTGATGATAGAGCAGATAGTGCGGCTTGACCTCACCGGAAGCCAGCCCACTTGCGTTGCGACGGTCCCATCGGCCATCTGGGAGTTTTCTCCCGAGCGTGAGCACGGCCAAGGGGTTGTTGCCGAGCGATGGCGTTCGGCCGGGTAGGCTGTTGCCGCTCCGGATCCATCCACGGCCGAAGTGATGATGCGCTGTCGGTTGCTGAGAGTGGTACGACGGGGCGGAAATGAGGCCCTCGGCTCTTGAGTCGCGATGGCGGCCTCGAGAGGTGGAGAGCTGTGGGGGTAAGGCTGAGCTTAAATGGCTGCCCAGGCCAGGTCGGCCAGGTGATGTTGGAGAGATTGGAGAGGATCAGTTTTCATGTTGTCCTATGACTTGAGGATGTCGTGCGTCCCGAGGCCGAGGGCAAGATCCACTCGCTCTGGATGCCGGACAACCAACCAATTTCCCCATAATGAGCCAAAGAGAAACATCAATATCCATGGCACAGTGAACCTGCAGGTATTCTGTTACGCGAATATAGATACATAGCCGGCTGGGCTGCGGCGGGCTGTGTGAAAACATGCGATACACGCCACGACTCGTTGTGCCTGAGCAATATTGCTCGGTGCTCCCATGGCCTATTTCGGCCCACTCCACGCCCTGCACGCCACCAAACCGCCATCCAGGAAGGCTTTGATGCACCGTTTCAAAGCCTCCTGGAAGCAGCCGTCGATGGTTTCACGACTGGCAGCCCCTTAGAATGACCGAGCATTACAGCCTCACGTGCCATGTACGTAGGTAGCAGTCCAAGATTATCGGCTCTTTGGTCTCGCCGCGGGCGGACAAGATGTTGGGGATATGCGGGTGGAAGGGCGGACCCTGGCGCTAGCGACCTGAATTCCCACCCCGCTGGGAAACCTTGGAATTCCAGGACAGGGGTCACCACGGGGCGGGCAGCAGGACGCGCTTGGAGGAGGGCAGCCTCAACAATTGGGGGGATGGACACACAGCTCATCTCTTTTCCTGGCAGAAACCGCCTGCCATCAATGCAGTGCACTACAAAAACAGCGCGGGTTCTGCCGGGAGATGTCAAGGGAAATGCCCTCAACACAACTAACGACCGGATGAGCGGAACTCTGATCGTGGCCGACCAGCCCCGAATTAGTTATCTGACATCCTGCTTGTTGCATCGAGGCAAAGGCAAGAGTCTGGCCAGTGCCGTGCAGCTACAGCTTGGTTGTGCTGTGGCTGTCACAAAGCTCCGGAGATCCGCTAGACCAGGGGGGTCGGCGCCGCGGATCTTAGCGAGACGGGAATGTTCGATTTGGTTGAGGTTCCTTTTTTTTTTCTCTCGCTCTCGCAGAGTGCAGGAAACAACGTGGGGAAAAAGCCTCGATTGATCAATATCGATAAGGAGAGGGAAGGAGTAGGCGGTTCGCCCGCGCCGTCGCATTCCTTGCTGCGAGGCTGCGAGGCTGTCCCCGGCCTCGACTCCCCTGGCATTTTGCATTTCCATCCGGGTTGCCGACGGAGACAAAGAACGTAGACATCGGCAATGCTGCCAGAGAACCAGCTCGAACAAGAAACATGCCTCCGGAGTCCGGACAATTAGCCGCTGGGGGCGCTCGGTAAGTTGCACGGTGATGCAGTCAGAAAGGTTGGATTGCCGAGCACACGGGCCCGAGATGGAATCAGCCGTGCGTGGACCAGCACCAGCCCAAAGGGGGGCCTTTCGGGCACCGAAGGTTTGGGCCGGGTGGCTCTGGGCTGAACCGCACAGGCGAGCTGAACATAACCCCCGTTTTAATCATATCCACCATTACCGGGGTGTAGAGCATCTGTTTTTGACACGAGACAGTGTGTTTTTCTTCTGTCTGATCTACATGAGAATGCGACGCGGTGCATGTCATGTCCGGGAAAAGGGAGAAAGGGAGCAAGGAAGACGGGACTATCATTTTTATCATCGACATGGCACTATGGGTGAGCGGGATACACCCACCGTTTTCCCCGTGAATCTCCTAGGTGAATAGATGCATAAACGCCAGGACCCCCACCATCCCACCAAAGATCCAGAGGTCCCCCAACGAGCCGGCGCGGCCTGGTGATTGGGCGCACGTAGCTTCCCGCTCTGGTTGAATGATGGATGATGCAGGACCGACCAGGGGGTGGGCACGAACCTTGTCCGGTGAATCGGGGAAGGGGTGGAGGAGCGAAACTGCTCGCTAGACAGCAATTGGATAGCAACTGGATGGCATGGAGCTGGAAAAAAATAGAGTCAGTCCGTCTGTCAGTCTGTCTGTGTCTCGGGCCTCACTGGATTGCAAGTCCTCATCCCCCCCCAGTCTACGATCTGATCTGTGTCCACCTTTGTCCATCCCCCAGGGCCAACATTATATCAATCCCGGACTGCCCATACTCCGCGAGCTGCGCTCACAGTCCTTGACCGGTTGAACCTTTTTTCTCTCTCCTGCCTTCCTGCTTCTCCCTTCTTCTGCTCGAGCTACCAGCTACGCGGACCAAAGACCTAGACGACCACAAGGTCCATCTGCAACCCAACGAGCCAGCATATCTCCCCCCAAAGGTCCTATAGAAGACCACAGTCCGCATACCGCTCGCAGGACCACCACGCACGCAGCTACTGCAGTCTTGCTGTAAAACATAGAGTGTGTAAGTTCGAAATCTGCCTCGAGCCTGCCTTTCACGGCGACTTGCCCTTCCATGCATCGCCGGACGTCGCTTGCCCGATGTCAGCACCGTAATCATGTGTGACTTGGCGAGCCCAGCCCGGACGACCCGTTGGTGGATCGCGACGGCGGCTTACTTGGATCCTGCCCGCTGCTGGCCCAGCATTCGCAAGACCCGTTATTCGAATCTTGACGCTGATCCTTCTACGAGAAAACAGGCGTTTCGAGCTGCTCTCCTGCCCTGAATACCAGCCTTCAGATACATACCGGCTACTACTTTCTCACCGACAAACGCCGCGCTTTTGCTAGCTTCGGCGCTTTACACGACACATCTACATCCTACTCCTACCACCTCCATCCTCTCAGCTCGAGGCCCGACAGCCCGAATCGAAGGCCCGACGCTCTCTGCATCATTAATGACCTAGATACCCTATCGTTGCCATCTCCAGCGACGGATTCTTCCACCCTCAAAATGACCGAAATAGCCAGCAGCGCGCCCCGGAATGGCGTCGTCGTGCCCCAGAACAATGGCAAGCAGACATACGCCGAGCTGCACCAGATAGCAGACCACTTCATCGGAGGCAACAAAGTGGAGAACGCGAAAGATTCGAAAGTAAAGGATTTCGTCATCGCAAACAATGGGCACACAGTCATTACGAATGTCAGTATTTATCCGGTACAAGGAGACAGATTGGACAGCAGGAGCTTTGGCTGCAGAGCTGGGATTCGAGCGACATCGCTCAAACATATGAGGCTGACCTGGGCGCGATGAATAGGTTCTGATTGCCAACAACGGCATTGCTGCCGTCAAGGAAATCCGATCGGTTCGAAAATGGGCTTACGAGACGTTCGGCGACGAGCGCGCCATCCAGTTCACGGTCATGGCCACGCCCGAAGATTTGCAAGCCAATGCAGACTACATCCGAATGGCAGACCACTACGTTGAAGTGCCTGGCGGCACCAACAACCACAACTACGCCAATGTGGAGCTGATCGTGGATATTGCCGAGCGGATGAACGTCCATGCAGTTTGGGCTGGCTGGTACGTCTGAATATCCATCCATAACGCTATATGCGAGCCATTGTTCGGACCAAAACTGACCACTTTCTGCGAACAGGGGCCACGCCTCAGAGAACCCGAAATTGCCAGAATCTCTGGCTGCCTCGCCGAAGAAGATTGTCTTCATAGGACCACCTGGCTCTGCCATGCGCTCTCTTGGTGACAAGATCTCCTCTACAATTGTTGCACAGCACGCCGAAGTGCCCTGCATTCCGTGGTCTGGCACTGGTGTTGATGAGGTCACAGTTGATGACCAAGGCATCGTCACCGTGGCTGAAGACATCTACATGAAGGGCTGTGTCGAGTCCTGGCAGGAGGGTCTGGAGAAGGCCAAGCAGATTGGCTTCCCTGTCATGATCAAGGCATCCGAAGGTGGTGGCGGCAAGGGCATCCGGAAAGCCCTGAGCGAAGATGGTTTCGAGCAGCTTTACAAGGCTGCGGCGAGCGAGATCCCCGGCTCTCCCATCTTCATCATGAAGCTTGCCAGCAGTGCCCGGCATCTGGAGGTTCAGCTTCTGGCTGACCAGTACGGCAACAACATCTCTCTGTTTGGCAGAGATTGTTCAGTCCAGAGACGTCACCAGAAGATTATTGAGGAGGCACCTGTCACTATTGCCAAGGCTCATACCTTCAGGGCGATGGAGGACGCTGCAGTCAGACTTGGCAAGCTGGTCGGTTATGTCTCTGCGGGTACTGTCGAATACCTTTACTCCCATCATGACGACAAGTTTTACTTCCTGGAGTTGAACCCCCGTCTCCAGGTCGAGCATCCCACCACCGAGATGGTCAGTGGTGTCAACCTGCCTGCTGCTCAGCTCCAGATTGCCATGGGTCTCCCTCTGCATCGGATCCGCGATATTCGACTTCTGTACGGCCTGGACCCTAAGGCTGCGACAGAAATCGACTTCGAATTTAAGAATGAGGGCAGTGCCAAGACACAACGACGACCGACTCCCAAGGGCCACACCACTGCTTGCCGTATCACCTCCGAAGACCCTGGCGAGGGCTTCAAGCCGTCCAACGGTGTCATGCACGACCTGAACTTTAGGAGTAGCTCCAACGTTTGGGGTTACTTCTCCGTCAGTACTGGCTCGGGTATTCACAGTTTCTCCGACTCGCAATTTGGCCATATTTTCGCCTACGGAGAGAACCGACAAGCCTCACGAAAGCACATGGTTGTCGCCCTCAAGGAGCTCAGCATTCGTGGTGACTTCCGAACCACTGTGGAGTACCTGATCAAGCTTCTGGAAACCGAAGCTTTCGAGGACAACACCATTACCACGGGCTGGCTGGACGAGCTCATCTCGAACAAGCTGACGGCCGAGCGACCTGACTCGACCTTGGCCGTTGTCTGCGGTGCCGTCACCAAAGCGCACATTGCTAGCGAGCAATGCTTTGCCGACTACAAGGCTGGCCTGAACAAGGGTCAGGTGCCTTCTAAGGACATCCTCAAGACCGTGTTCCCTGTCGACTTCATCTACGAAGGCTACCGCTACAAGTTTACCGTAACGCGGTCGAGCATGGATAGCTACCATCTCTTTATCAATGGTTCCAAGTGCTCCGTCGGCGTGCGTGCGCTCAGTGACGGTGGGCTGCTCATTCTGCTGGATGGACGCAGTCACAGCATCTACTGGAAGGAGGAAGTCGGAGCCACCCGTGTGTCTGTGGACAGCAAGACCTGCTTGCTCGAGCAGGAGAACGACCCTACCCAGCTCCGGTCGCCCAGTCCTGGAAAGTTGGTTTCATACTCGGTTGAGAACGGCGAGCACGTTGCCGCCGGTCAAATTTTCGCCGAGGTTGAGGTCATGAAGATGTACATGCCGCTCGTGGCACAGGAAGACGGTGTGGTTCAGCTCATCAAGCAGCCTGGTGCCACTCTTGAGGCTGGTGACATTTTGGGCATACTCGTCCTTGATGACCCCAGTCGTGTCAAGCAGGCTCAGCCCTTCCTCGGCCACCTGCCTGAGTTCGGTCCCCCAATGGTGGCTGGTGACAAGCCTGCTCAGCGGTTCTCCAAGCTGTACGACACCCTCGGGAACATTCTCGAGGGCTTCGATAACACTGTTGTCATGCAGTCAACCCTGAAGGACCTTATCGAGGTTCTTAGGAACCCTGAACTGCCCTACAGCGAGTGGAATGCTCAGTTCTCGGCTCTGCACAGTCGTATGCCACAGAAACTGGATGCACAGTTCGCCCAAATTGCCGAGCGTGCCAAACAGCGCACTGCGGAATTCCCAGCCAAGGCTCTCGCACGTGCCTTCCAGAAGTTCTTGGACGACAACGTTGCGCCTAACGATGTGAACACACTTCGCACCACACTCGAGCCTCTCACGACCATCATCGACCTTTACAGCGAGGGCCAGAAGGTTCGTGAGCTCAAGGTCATTGCGGATATCCTGGAGAAGTATGCCGAGGTGGAGCGCCTGTTCTCTGGCAAGAAGCAGCAAGACGAGGAGATTATTCTTGCACTTCGAGACGAAAACAAGGAAGATGTGTCCAAGGTCGTCACGACCGTCCTGTCCCACAGCCGTGTCACTGCCAAGAACAACCTCATTCTCGCTATCCTCGACGTATACCGTCCCAACAAACCCAACGTTGGTAACATTGGCAAGTACCTACGGCCTGTACTCAGGACACTGGCGGATCTCGAGTCTCGTCAAACGGCCAAGGTCTCTTTGAAGGCGCGAGAGATCCTCATCCAGTGTGCTCTGCCGTCGCTCGAGGAGCGAAAGTCCCAGATGGAGCACATCCTGCGGTCTTCGGTTGTTGAGTCCAAATACGGAGAGTCCGGTCTGGACCACCGGAACCCTGCCTTGGAGGTGCTCAAAGAAGTTGTCGACTCGAAGTATACTGTCTTCGATGTGCTGCCCCAATTCTTCGCTCATGAGGACCCTTGGGTCGGACTAGCGGCCCTTGAGGTATACGTGCGCCGTGCTTACCGTGCGTACGTGCTCAAGCAAATCGAGTATCACGCAGATGAGTCGGACAACCCATGTTTCGTATCCTGGGACTTCGTGCTCAGGAAAATCGGCCAGTCAGAGCTCGGCTTGCCTATTGAGTCTGCCGCGCCTTCATCCCCGGCCACCCCGGCCACCCCTAGCAAGGGTGATTATGGTTTCGGACGCATCAACTCTATCAGCGATATGTCGTACTTGACTCGCAAGATCGGCGAGGACGCGGCGCGACGCGGTGTCATCGTCCCCTGCAAGTACATGGACGACGTCGAGGATCTTCTAGCCAAGGCGCTCGAAATCCTCCCTCTCTCGCAAAAGAGCCAGGCGAAGAAGAGCAGCCTGATCCCTGACTTGGCCGGCAAAAGGAAGCCTCCCGTCCGTCGTGATTCTCAAGACGAACTTTCGAACGTGGTCAACATTGCTGTTCGCGATTCGGAGAGTGGCAATGACGCCGAGAATTTGGCCCGTATTGCGGAGATCATGGAGCAATTCAAGAGCGATCTCGTCGCTCGCGGTGTCCGCCGTGTCACCTTCATCTGCGGACGGGCTGACGGCTCTTATCCCGCCTACTACACCTTCCGTGGCCCTACTTACGAGGAAGACGACAGCATCCGACACAACGAGCCTGCACTGGCCTTCCAGCTGGAGCTGAACCGGCTGTCCAAGTTCAGAATTAAGCCCGTCTTCACCGAGAACAAGAACATCCACGTGTACGAGGCTGTCGCCAAAGAGAACGAGGCTGACAAGCGCTACTTTACACGTGCGGTTATTCGGCCTGGCAGGCTTCGTGACGAGATCCCCACAGCTGAGTACTTGATCTCCGAGGCAGATCGAGTTATCAACGATATCTTCGACGCCCTGGAAATCATCGGCAACAACAATTCTGACTTGAACCACCTGTTCATCAACTTCACTCCCGTCTTCCAGTTGCACCCTCGCGAGGTTGAGTACTCGCTCCAAGGATTCCTTGATCGTTTCGGACCACGAGGATGGCGTCTCCGTGTCGCACAGGTTGAGATCCGCATTATCTGCACGGATCCCACCACTGGCACGCCGTACCCTCTGCGTGTGGTCATCACCAACACTTCTGGATTTGTCGTCCAGGTCGAGGTGTATGCGGAGCGCAAGTCTGAGAAGGGCGAGTGGGTCTTCAACTCCCTTGGTGGAACCACCAAGATAGGGGCGATGCATTTGCTGCCCGTCTCTACGCCCTACCCAACCAAGAACCAGCTGCAGCCCAAGCGTTACAAGGCCCATCTCATGGGTACGCAATATGTGTACGATTTCCCCGAGCTTTTCCGCCAGGCCATTCAAAACTCGTGGGCCGAAGCTGTCAAGGTCACCCCCTCGCTGGCCGAAAAGCAGCCACCTGTGGGTGACTGCATCGACTATAGTGAGCTTGTCCTTGACGACACCGACAAGCTTGCTGAGGTCTCTCGTGAGCCGGGAACAAACACCCACGGTATGGTCGGTTGGCTGATTAATGCCCGCACGCCCGAGTACCCTCGTGGCCGGAGGTTTGTGCTGGTCTCGAACGACATTACCTACCAGATCGGCTCTTTCGGTCCCAAGGAAGACCACTATTTCAACAAGTGTACTGAGCTGGCACGCAAGCTGGGCGTTCCCCGCATCTACCTGTCTGCCAACTCCGGTGCTCGTCTTGGTGTTGCGAATGAGCTCATGTCTCACTTCAAGGTTGCATTCAATGACGCCAACAAGCAGGAGGCTGGCTTCAAATACCTGTACCTGGATGAAGAAGCCAAGAAACGTTTCGAGGGCTCGGTCATCACGGAGGAGATTGTCGAGGATGGTGAGAAGCGTCACAAGATCACCACCATTGTCGGCAAAGAGGATGGTCTTGGTGTCGAGTGTCTGCGCGGCTCTGGTCTCATCGCTGGTGCAACCAGTCGGGCTTACAACGACATTTTCACTTGCACGCTCGTTACATGCCGCTCTGTTGGTAAGTCGCACACTCCTCCGAATTGTGGTTTTGTCAATTTACTAATCCAACCCAGGTATTGGCGCCTACCTCGTCCGCCTTGGTCAACGTGCTGTCCAGGTTGAAGGTCAGCCGATCATCCTCACGGGTGCTCCTGCGCTCAACAATCTGCTCGGCCGCGAGGTCTACACCTCCAACCTGCAGCTTGGTGGCACCCAGATCATGTACCGCAACGGTGTGTCCCACATGACCGCCGAGGACGACATGGCTGGTATCTCCAAGATTGTCCAGTGGATGTCCTTCGTGCCCGACAAGCGTAACAACCCTGTCCCGATCGCCCCCAGCGCCGATACATGGGACCGGGATGTCGTTTTCACTCCCGTTCCCCGACAACCGTATGACGTCCGCTGGATGATTGCCGGTAAGCAGGAAGGAGACGACTTCCAGCCAGGCTTGTTCGACAAGGACTCTTTCGTCGAGACCCTTGGAGGCTGGGCCCGCACGGTCGTCGTCGGTCGTGCGCGCCTCAGCGGCATTCCCATGGGTGTCATTGCTGTCGAGACCCGGTCCATTGAAAATGTCACGCCAGCTGATCCTGCCAATCCTGACTCGATTGAGCAGGTTAGCCAAGAGGCTGGTGGTGTCTGGTACCCGAACTCGGCTTTCAAGACTGCTCAGGCCATCAACGACTTCAACTACGGTGAGCAGCTGCCTCTGATGATCCTCGCGAACTGGCGTGGCTTCTCTGGTGGTCAGCGCGACATGTACAACGAGGTCCTGAAGTACGGTTCGTTCATCGTGGATGCCCTCGTCAAGTACGAGCAGCCCATCTTCGTATACATTCCTCCCTACGGCGAACTGCGTGGAGGGTCTTGGGTCGTCGTCGATCCTACCATCAACCCAGTTGCTATGGAGATGTACGCTGATGTCGAGGCCCGTGGTGGCGTTCTGGAGCCCGAAGGTATCGTCGGTATCAAGTTCCGCAAAGACAAGCAGCTCCAGAACATGGCCCGCAACGACGCTGTCTATGCTTCCCTAAAGAAGAAGCTGGCCGAGGCGCAAGCGAACAATGCAAGCAAGGAGGAGCTGGAAGCCATTCACAAGGAGCTACTTGCCCGTGAAGAACTGATCCTGCCTGTCTACACCCAGATCAGCCTGCAGTTCGCCGACCTGCACGACCGATCGGGACGCATGAAGGCCAAGGGTGTGATCCGGGAGCAGCTCGAGTGGGCCAACAGCCGTCGCTTCTTCTACTGGCGTGTACGCAGAAGACTCAACGAGGAGTACATCCTGCGACGCATGGCAGCCGCCACGAGTTCCGTCGGCTCCGCCACCAAGGACCCTGCCAGCCTCCGCAAACATCATCTCGCCAAGCTGCAGGCGTGGAGTGGGGTACCCGAATTCGACACAAAGGACCGCGAGGTGGCAGTTTGGTATGAGGAGCACCGCCAACAGGTCAACGACAAGGTCGCTGCCCTGAAGGTGGAGGCTACGCAGGCGCACATCGCGGAGCTGTTGGTTGACAAGACGGCGTTTGAGGGTGTGCGTGCGGCGCTGAGCACACTGCCTATCGAGGAGAAGGAAGCTTTGCTTAAGCAGCTTTCGTCATAAGCGGGATTGTCGGGATTCAGTTGTGTTTTCTTTTTGAGGAGTTTCATGGGTGGCCTGTACGAAAAGATGGGTGGCTACTTGTCCTTCTCGCGTGGCGTTTCTGTACAGGCTCGTGGTTTCTTTTCTGCACAACAGCAAGCTTGACTTAGAGTGATGGAGTTCTAGTTCTAGAAATGAAGCATTCCCACGATGGGATCTTATTTAGCCTCATTAGAATCTGCTCAGGTTGAATTGTACAACTAATGTCAAGGAGAACTCTTCCGTCCACGGTCGTCCAAATGCTGCTGCATTGCATGCGTGAAAAGACCCGTGCTGTTCACCCCCAGTCTTGCCTGGCATCCTGCCTATGTGCAAGGCCAGATAAAGCTGCCGCATTGCTAATTCACAGGCTCTGCCACAGTTACTGAAGGAGTGAACAGCAACAAGCGGCCATGAGCAAGCCCTTAGTGGGACCCACCGGCCATCATTGGTAACTTTGATAAGATACCTTGGGTTCTCCTCTCAGTCACAAAGTCTCAAATTTTTCATATAATATGTTTCTCAGCCCACTAACTATAACCATGTGGTTTGCACAAAATGGGTGCAAAACCAGAGACTGTGAATTACGCTGGAAACTAAGGTCACCTCATGAGTTAATCTACTACTCTTGATACTGCCACTATGACTCTACTGCTAATCCAATGTCTTCGACCTTATGCCAAATCCCACCGCTACCAACCTCTGACCAACAGAAAACTTCAAGGAAACTCAAAGAGCCACGCCAGAAGCCAAGCAGCCGAAGTACGAACAGGCCGGACTCTAATCAAGCATCTGGGTTGTAGAGATTGAATGTCTCTAGCGTCTGTAAGACTCGCCGCTCGGCACGACCTGATGCCAGTGAGTACTCTGCCGAGTCTGCTCGATATCACAGGGATATGAATCAACTTACTAGGTCTTGCGGGTGGAACAGCTTGGTCCACGACAGTGAACGCCCGTGATGCCTTTCCACCCACAGTGACGACGCAGCCCTGGTCTGGAACCAGGGCATTGACGCAGACTGTAAAGGTGTACACGCCCGGCACCGGAATCGACATTCCGGTAAAGATGAAATAGATCCATCTGTGGGGTTCCTGGCGGCTGCTGCTGCCACCGCCGTTGTTTCCGCCACTGTCGGGGTGTACCGTGACCGGCTGTCCCTGCACGTTGTAATTCCCATCCAGGAGAGCAGTTACGTCGGCCCCATTGCTGGCTGTAAGCATTGCAGTCCCGAAGACACTCTTCCTGCCTGTCAGGTAGTCGTCAAGAAGTTGCGGGTGGTCGGTACGAGCTACCACGGGTGGGATGAGCCTTCGTCTAACCCCGACCGTGAGAGGAGGCTGAACCACGATCTCGACTTTGACGTTCTGTCCAGAGGACTCAGGCGTGTTAGCTGCTGCTTCATCTGACATGGCGGGATTGTGATTGTAAAGAAATTGTGCTGTCTATTAAGTATAGTGCTAATACGAGAGGATGGCGTCGGGAAAGGCGTATATGTGTATATCGGAATGATCTTGGGGGCAACTGAACATGTAATTTATCTCAGAAAGAATTGCCGCTGGGACAAATCGCAAGTGGAATATTGATAGTCAAGAGATGAGGTCCAGAGTACAAAGGGACGTGATTCACACGGCGGCCAACGCCCTCACCGGATCAGAGTTGGTCACTCACATATGTGACCGTTGCCATCTTTAAACAATCATTCAGCGCACCAACTGATTCATCGGTAAAGACTGACGGTCTATGTGAAATAAGTCACTTGCCCAAGTGGCACATGCGTACGTAAGTGGATACGAAAAAAAAAAGAAAAGGCAAGGGCAAAGGTGTTCGTTCCCAACATGGGCATTCGAGATGACGATTTGGAATTTCAAGAGAGGCACGGGGAATATATCCATATAATAAATAGAGCCCTGTGAAGGAATCTGAAAGACACCTGAAGATTTGCAGCCATTGATATGCCCGAAAAGTCTCGGATGATCTCACTGCACATGGCTGAATACCATTCCCAGTCTCACACGCCTCTGAGCAGAGCCGCACCGTAGAGTGTGGATCGCCTGTCCCCCGTTGAAGAAACCCAATCATGGTCTCTCTCTCGCACTCGTTAAGCTCTAGTGGCCGAAGCGGAACACCATCCGTTACATGAAGTTCCGTCACGGCTCTTCGGCGTTGGGCATGACCATGTTCTCGACTTTTTGTGAGTAGTACTGCATCTATGTGTAAAGGGTAATGCATGTGGTCCAACGATTATTCTACGCGACCCTACCTTCTCTTGTCTGCTTTCCGGGGCACACGCATCGGCTCAATTATGTATTAAGAAGCAGTTTAAAAAGTTACACATTCCACTGCCTTTATTTCGCCACAGACTATCGCTCACGACAATTTAAACATTGAGAAACATATTTTTTGGGACTCAGGCTCCCATCACCATGATGACTTTGTGATAGAAGCCTTGCGAGTGCCTTTTCGAAGCTTCTCCACACCCTGAATTCTTCATCGTCTCATAATCATGCAAAGCAGGAACACGACATTTTGAAAAAGTAACATTTGCAGATAAGCGGTGACTCGCGGAACAAACCCGCCGGGCTGACACGGGACGCAATCCGCAGGAGTCACTGCAGGTAATGGCTTGGTGACCCAGAGAGGTAATCGTGAGTGCAGAAGTAAAGATCCGGAGTGACTGACCAGGTTGGTGGTAATCAGGGCTGACGGTGGCTGGCGCCTCGCCGCTTTTTTCGGGACCCAACGGTATGACTGTGGATAAGAAGATCCCGCCCATCGCATGATCTATGAGCCAACCGAACACCTGGGGCTAGCCCAAGCATTGGCAACGTCCTCTCATCTGAACGGCTTACTGATGTGAATCTGCGCAAAGTAACCATTGTGAAAGTTTCAAGGAAACCACCTTTTTTTTTGCTAACAATGACTCACTAAGATACTTTAGACGAAGACTACGGGTTTGATCATACCTGATAAGTAAAGCCCAAGCCTTGGGCCTGGTGAATTTGTTTCCGCATGCAGCCCTTAACTACAATGAACTGAGTCTATAAAACCTGTCTCTACATATGAAGCAGAACGGGTCTAGAATAGTCAAACAATGTATAGAAATTCTGACCTGCGTTGTCAATACCGCTCTGGTGAGTGTGATAGGCCTTTCCATTCGGGCAAGGGGGATGGATCAGTAATCAAGAAAATCAATCCATGGGAGCACATCTTGCATTCTGCCACAAGGCCGGCGTGGTACCCTCTGACGACTACCCGCAGACAGACAGCTCGGGACAAGGGCCTGGCCTGGCTGCCTTTGGCGCCGAGACATACAGGCGTTCCAGGGCCCACACATCTCCTCTGCCAGATCCTGCAGAGCACAAATGTCAGATGGCCACGCTCGCTTGTGGCTGACGGCTGCATATGCAGGGTCCAGAAACCCCCACCGCGATCGAGTTCACATTGGCCCCCCGAACCGGAACCGGTCTGGCGAGTACTAATTATTCTGCTGTCGGGAGACCAAGATGGAAAGCAGCCTGACCAAAAGAAGGAAGAGTATCATTACGCGACCAGCCAAGATCTGACATCACCCCAACCACCAACCACTCTTTTGACCGTGGCGTTGTTTTCTACGGCGGTTTCCTACCGATGTATCTTTGGGCCGTGACAGGTGGCATCGATGGGACCCGATGCCAACATTGGAATTCGACATCGCGTGTAACCGCCATGATTGCGTGTTCAGGAGAGCTGCCACCCGAATGGCGTCGGAGATGCTGGCTCTGACGCCCGTTACACGATGCGGCATATGGCTGAAAGTGGTGGACAGTCGGAATGCCGAACACATAGCACTGAGTTTTTCCACGGTCACCAGTTTGGGGGAGTCTATCACAATTTCCAATACGTCTTGGACACAATCAGGCCATGAAACGTATACAACTTGAGGTTACATCTACTTCCACACACCTTGCAAACTCGTAATTAACTGAAGAGAAAAGGTCAGCCAAGATCATGTAAAGCATGGAGGATTGCCTGAATCCCCAACTTTAAAAGCAAGAGAAGGCAGTTTACCCTCGATGAAACTGGATCATCCCCACTTGAGCAGTGACTATAACCGCTGCTGTCCTGGCACCACAGCTGAACCACGGTAGAAACGATTCATAGGTCTTTCCCTTCCAACGGGGTTTGAAAAGAATGTGTATTTGTTACAGCTACAACAACCAAAGTCTCCTAAGCCAAACCTTGGGGGTTCACATGGACTCGATCGCCTCAGACAGCTGTCCCCTCTGTGGCCAACCTCATTCACCCGTACAAGTGTCTCCATTATACGTTAACAAACCTATACGGAGGTAGACAAAGTGATTAGCCGACAAGGGCTTTTCCAGCTCGAGGTCGCTTTGTCACACGCATGACTATCACCAGTAAACATTGGGCCCTGTGTTTCAGAAGCTGCAGCTGCTTCACAACACTATTGTCTCCGTTGTCTGTGCAATTAACAAAGGAATCCAGCAAGTATCGAATCTACTCGGAGCATAAATACAGACTGATCATGCTCACAATTATAACTCACTGACTCCTGGTTGCCATCATAATTAATAGTTGTCGACCAGCTTAAGAACGACCAAACGAATTGCGACCAGACACAGCGCTAAACATTTTCAGGCATCTTACAATCCTCAAGAGAACAGCGACCAACCCTTCAATCATCTGATAAGGACAATAAGATCGCATCAACTCTATTCATACTGCAGAGAGTCATCATGCCAGAGCGAGAGGAAATCATATCCCCAAGGGAGACCACCGGTGAGCACTCCTATCAGACACGCATTCACTCTCCACAGCCTGTTAATTTAGCAGCACTGCGCCGTCTTGAAGCGATCCTGGACATTTGTGACACATCCATTGGTAATAGCCCGATTGCAGCAGGCGGTTTCTTACCGCAGGTAGACACTGCGAGTCTGCATAGAGAATTCGCCATCATTGCTGCTGCAAACTCGGCTGCGACCTCTGACGGCGGCGTCAAATCCCATGATCTTCTAGAATCTCCGCCTACCCCTTATCCCAGCACGGTCAGCCAAGACAACACCAATCTGGAACTCGAAGAGGACTCGGCGCAGACACCAGAACACATCACGTTCTGGCCGGCACTTGAGCGACATCTTAATCATCCAACGCTCCCGCGCCCAAGGCCTATTTGCACGGTTTGTTTTGACGTAATGCCGGTGCTCGGACTTGATCAAGCTGTCAGGGAAGACCCCAGCTATGACTATGAGAGGTGCGTCGTGCTCCTATGCGGACATCTGATTGGCGAGCGCTGCCTTGACGAGCATGTATCGAAGCACGTCGAAAACGAAAGCAATCGATATTGGCAGGGTGAAGAACAAGAGAGCTGGTTCATCCCTACACCTTGTCCTACTTGTAGAGCGAGAGTGGGATGTCGTAGGTGTAGCCAATCGTACGAAAGTGCCCGCCTTCCTGCTTCTACGGAAGACGAGTTGGTGGACGTGTCACTAATTCTGACCTGGTCTGCAGAACCTCCAGAGTTCTGCGAGGACTGCTCAGAGTACCTCGAGGAGTAGACTTTCGTGGAATTGAAGACGTGGTCTGCTGCTAGTTACCGAAAGACGAGAACAAAGATCTCATTTTTTTTTTAAAAAAAAAAAAAAAAAAAAAAAAAAAACATTGGTTGTGCATTTACGGCTGAGTTCCGTGGACCACCAGGAGGAGCATATGGTGCGTCGGGTTTTCAATTAATAAAACAATACAAATTGGAATCTTTACTGATTGACAAATGTGTACTTCAGGGCAAAACTGTCGAAATGGCTGATATCGGAAAGGATACTAGGGATAGAATTATCCCGACATCCGTATGAATGAAAGCTCAAGAAAAAAAGCGTAAAAGTTCCAGGGCGTTGGATTGGGTTATGCGTGAAGAAATCTGGATGTTGTCTTCCGATTCATTACTCTCAGATCATCCCTCATAAAGGTCTCCGTCAGTTAGGATGAATGAGGATTAGTAAGTAGAATAAAGCCCCTGGCCTCTCCAATCTAGACCACAATTGTCTGTGTTGGCAAGTACGACCCTCGCACTTAGAAGGCTACTTTAGTTATCCCCTCCAGAGTACGTAGCCTCTTAGAACTTAAATAAAACAACATTAATACATAATTGCTTCCTACATAATTATTATATATATAAGAGACTTATTAATATTAATTAATAATCATAAGTATTATAAATTAATAAAGTAAAAAAGGCAACCTTATAAGAATTTCTTTAACTTAAAAATTATATCCTTCTTATTAATAAATATTATATAGCAATAATTACTTTTTTAAACCTCCTTATATTATTAAATTTCCTAAGTAAATATTATAAAGATTAAATAAATTAAGTAATATTCCTTATAATATTTATATATATATTTATTATTATTTAAGAAATATGCATTTATTATATATAAAACTTTATTAAAAATAAATTTATTTTTAAATTCTTTTTAAAACTTAATAAAATTTAATAAAGCTTTATTTTATTAATAAATAAAGCTTATAATTATTATAATTATTAAATAAATAAAGCTTATAATTATTATAATTATTAAAATTAATATAATATTATATTATAAGTAAGTATAAGTTATATATTATACTTTTAGTTAATATAAAAGGACTTAATAATAAAAAAAAGCCTTAGCTTTTAAGGCTTAAAGGAATTAATAACTTTTTCCTCTTAATAATTATAATTTACTTATTATTAAATTATTATTATTAACTTACTTTTAAATATTACTTATTTTATTAATATTTTTTTATTTTATTAATCTTATTCTTTATAATATTTATTATAAAAACTTATAAGTATAATTAATAATATTAAAAAGCTATTAACTTTTATTAAAGAGTATATAATTAATAAAATGCTTACTTAAACTTTAATTAACTTAGCTTATTATAAATATATTAACTTAAAATTATAATTTATAGCCCTTATATAAAAAGCATTAATAAAATATTTAGTTATTTACTTAATAAGTACTTTAATAAGCTATATATAATAAAATCTTTATAATAATAATCTTTTTATTACTTATTATAAGGATTATATAATATAAATATAAGTAATATTTAAAGTATTGCTAAATTCTTATTAATAATACTTAAAAAATTTTTTTTAAATGCAAGGTATTTATATAAAATATAATAATTAACTTATAGCATTATAATTAATTATTATAACTTAAGTTAAGGAAAGATTAAAATAAATTAATAATAAGCTTTATAATGCTTTATTAGCCTTAAAATTAAATATAAATAAATATTATATATAATTTTAAAGATAATAATTATAAGCATAGCCCTTATAAGAACTATAAGTAAGCTTTAAATAATAATAATTATTAAAAAGATAATTCCTAGGATAATATTTATTACCGCTGTTAGCTTTAAGTACGTAATTATAAAATTTAAATTTAATAATATAATTTATTAAAAACTAATATAATTAATAAGGCTTATTATTATTAATAAAAAAATAAAAATAAAGCTTATATTAAAAATATATATTATATTTAATATAATTTTAAGCTATCTTAAAAATGCCATTATTAAATAAAAAGTATAATTTATATAAAATTCTTTTTTTATAATATATTTTTAATAAATGCTTAAATTTAATAGAGTTAATATAGTTTATAAAAACCTTTAATAACTTTTATAAATATATTAAGGATTTATATAATTTATTAAATAATAAAATTAAGATATTTTTTAATATTTATTATTATGTTAAAATTTAATTAAGTTAATTTTATATAGTTTTTCCTTAAATACTTAAAGATTAAGCTAAAGCTTATTATTTTTATTTTATAAATTAAATTAATATATTTATAATAATATATCTTAAAATTAAGATATATTTTAATATAAATCTTAATTATTAATATTATTATATAAATTAAATAATAATAATATTTATAAAAATAAAAATATAAAATTTAAATAAAAACTTATATAAGGTTTTATATTTAATGCTTAATAAGCTATAACTTTATTAATAAGCATTAAGTTAAGATTATATTAAAAAAAATAACTTAAAAATAATAATAATTAAAGCTTATAAAGGAGTTTTTAAGTTAAAAATAGTTTTTTTTAAATTAATTTAATTATATAAAAAGTTATTTTTAAATTTAAAATTTATAATAAAAATATAATTTAGCTATATAATTATAATTTATATTATAAATAAAGTTTTAAATTAATATTATATTAATTATAAATATAATAACTAAAAGTTAAGAAAAGGATAATAATTATAATTTTAAGCATTTTAAGAAAATTAAAGATTTAATTAATTAAATTTAAGCTATTTAAGCTTTAAGTAATTAAGATTTTATAATATTAATTATAAAGCTTAAAGTAATAATACTTATAAAGAAAAAGAAGGAAAATAATTTTAAAAGAAAAGATATTATATTTATAAAAAAAAATGTTAATTAATTAAATATTTAATTAATAAATAATATTTAATAAAAAGAAGCTATTTAATATAATATAAATATAAAAATTATAAAAATAACTTTAATACTTTTTTAAATAAATTTAAGGAATATAAAATAAATAATAAAAATAAATTTTATAAATATAGAGATAAATAAAATTAAGATAATAATTATAATAATAATACTTATATAATAAAAGTAAAATTTAATAAAAAGATTTGTTATATAAATATTAATTTCTTAATTAATAAAGTATTTATATATTAAATTATTAAAAATAATATTTTTTAAATAAAAATAATTATTATAATTAATTAATTTATTTTAAAAAATAAATATAATTAAATTTATTTTTAAGAAATTTTATTAAATATAAAAGCATTATTAATATTTATAATTAAATATAAGTAATTCTTTATATTATAATAAAAAAACTTAAAATATTAAATTAATATAATTATTATAAAAAAAGCTAAAATTAAATTTAATAATAAAATAATTATTAATTTACTTAATATAATAAAAATTTTTATTTTAATTAATTATATTAATTTTTATATTATTTAAATATAAACTTTATTTTTACTTTACTTAATAAATATAAATAAGCTTTAAATATATTATAATAATATTATAAATAAAATAGTTTCCTTTAATAATATAATTATTATATTAATACTTAAAAAATAAAGTTATTTATAGTTTTTCTTAAATTAAATTATTAATATTATATATTTCTTTTTAAAAATAAAAATAAAAATATTTTATTATTACTTTAAATATTTATTAATAAATTAATTATGCTTAATATTTAAAAAGGCTAGTAATTTAAATATTAATAAATAAGTAATAATAAAAATTAAAAAGATATATTATTATTATTAAATAAATAAACTTATACTTAAGCATTTTAAGTTTATATTATATAATAATTATAAATTTAATTATAAAATCTTAATTAATATAATATATTTAAATAAATGCTTAATTCTTTATATTATAAATTAAGTTATTACTTTTTAAAAAGTAAAATTCTTAAAATTTATATTTATAAAGATTATATAATAAATATTATAAATGTTTTAAATTAATATATATTAAAAATTACTAAATATTATTAAATATAATATAAAAATAAACTTTATATCCTTAAAATTTTATTTAAAGGTATGAATAATGGGAATTAAATATAAATAAGTCTTTATAAAAGCATATTAATTTATTAAGAAAGTTAAGAAATATCATTAAGCCCTTAAATAAGCATATAAAATTTTATATATTAAATTATATAATAATATAAATAATAATATTATTTTATAAATAGCTATAAAAGCTATTAATAATATTATTAAATTAAATAAATTAATCCTTATACTTTTAATTTTTAGTATTTATTTATAAGTATTATATAAGTTATTATTATTATTATTAATATAAAAGTAAGCGAAAGCTATTTTAAAGGTTATAAAAATGCTATAAAAAACCATAGTTAAATAATAAATATAAGATATATTAAATATTAAGGTTAAACTTATTTTTAATATAAAATACTTATTATAATATAAAGTTTATATATAAAGAGAAAGAAAAAGATAAAAGAGTTTATATAAAGTTATTATTATAAATAACTATAATATAATCTTAAATATATTAAATAAAGCCGCGATATTTAAGTTAATAATTATTTAATTATATTATTAAAATAATAATAAGGAAATATAATCTTTATAAGTAAAAAACTTAGCTATAAAACTTTAAATATAACTTATTATATAATTATTATTATTAAAAATAAAAAACTATATTATTATATAATATATTTTAAAAAAAGAAAATAAAAATTATAATTTAGCAATTAAATTAAAATAAAATAAAGTTATTATAATATTAAGCTTATTATTTAAAGAATTTAATAAAATAAAAATTAATAACCTTATTATTAAAAGTATCTTTTAAATTAAAAAGTAATTAATAAAGCAATATAATAAATATTATCTTTTTAAGTTTTATATAATATAAGAGATAAAAGGTAAAATTATAAAATTATATAAAAAATCTTAATTTATTATTTAAGGTTATAATAATAATAAAAAGGAATTAATTTTAATATAAAGCTTAATTATTTAAAAAATAAGCTAATAAATAATTTTTATATTTACCTCCTTATTAATTTAAGAAAAAGACATAATTTGTATACTTTAAAATATTATTTAAGCTTACCCTTAAGCAAAGTTAAAATTATATAAAATAATTTTTATAAAGCTATTAAAGAAATTAAAAAATCAATACCCTTTAAGTATAATTATTTATATTATTTAACCCTTATATAATATAATAAAATCCAGTATTTATTAATTTAATATATATTAAAGATATTATTAATAAAAGCTTAAGATAAATTGCTTTATATATAATCCTTATTTAATAATTATAAAGCTTATATAACCCTTTAAGATAATAAATATATAAATAAATAATATATTAATTTTATTTATATTAAAATTTTAAGATAAGAAGGAAATTAAGATAAAAGCTATAAAATTATAAAGAAAATTAAAATAAAAGCTAATGCTTAAAAACTTAATAAATTATAATAAGGCTTATATAATTATAAATATTATTAGCTTAATTACTACTTATTAAAAAGAATAAGCTAATAAACTTATAATTATTAATGCAATAATTAAAGACGCTTCCTAAAGATACCTTAAATAAAAAGCTTATAAAATATATATAGCTTTAATTTATTAATTAAAAGCTTTATATAATCTTTTAATAGCTATATAAATATAAAACCTAAAGATAAAAAATTATAAAAGCTTAAATATATAATTATTATAATAAATAAATAATATTATATAAGGAATTAAGTATATACCCTTAAATCTTAAAATAATAAAACTTTTTATATTTATAAATAAATTATTTATAAATAACTAAAACTTAATATCTTAACTTAAATATATTATTATTTTTATAAATAAAACTTATAAAGAAATTAAGGAATTTATAATAATAAGTAATATTTTTTATTAATTATTAATAAAGTATAAATATATTACTTAAAGCATATTAATAAGCAAAATTTATAATATAATAAATAAAGTAAATATTAAAATTTCCCTAATTATAATAATTAAAATAATTATAAAATAACTCTTATTATTAAATATACCTTTAATTATTTATATAAACTTATATAACTTATATAAATACCTTATAAAGCTAAGAATAATAAAGGAAAAATATCTTATAATTAATATTATATTATTATAAAAGTTATATAAAATAAAAGAAATTGCTAAAATAAGGTAAATAAATAAGAAAAATAACCTTATTAATATAATAATAAAATTAACTTTAAATAACATATTATAAAAGCTTATTAATAATAATAAGCTTTATATATAAGTAAATAAGTTAATTAAGAAACTTAAAGTAGCTTTTTTTTGCTAAGAAAAGAGTAACTTATTATTAATACCTTTTCTTTTTAATCTTATTATTATTAGTTATAAAACCTTATACTTTTTAAATTTAAACTCTTAATATAAACTTTAACCTTTTATATTTTAATTAAAACCTTTTTAATATTTTATTATATATAAAGATAACTTTATAATTATTAATATTATTAATAATTATTATTTTAAAGTTAACCTTATTATTATTGTTACCTTTTGCTATTATTTATTAATAATAATATTAAAATTAATTTTTATTAAATTTATTTATAACTTATTAACTTTTCTTATAATTAAAAAATAAATTAATAATTATTATATAATAATTATAAAGTTTTATATTATAAATATTTATTTTAATTATTAAATTCTTATAAAATCTTTTTTTTTATTATAATAAAAAATATTAATAATAACTTGCAAAAGTTATTTAATACTTTTATTAATATACTTTATAAGGATAATAATAATAAGTAAAATTATTTAATAAATATTATATTTATTACTTATATTAAGAATATATTTAATATAATTATTATTATAACTATTATTAATATAATTAATATTAAAGGTAGCCTTATTGCAACTCTTAAATAAAATTAAGATTTTTTTATAAATATTATAATTATAACTTTAATTAATAAAATAAATATTATAATTATAACCTTAATTAATAAAATAAATATTATAATTATAATTTTAATAAGTAATAAGATAAAGATTAAAATTATTATTAAGGCTATAAAAAGAGTTAAAATCGCTTTAATTAATAAGGATAAAGATAAACTTATTAATTTTATTAGTTTTTATAATAAGATTATTATTAATAATACTTATTTAATAAATATTAATAAGGATGTTAATAATAATAATTCCTATTTATTTAATATTAATAATAATTTAATTATTATTAATAATAAAGATAATTAAAATTAAATTAATAAAATTTTAATAAAGATTATAAAGATTGCCTTTAATTTTACTTTTATATTAAGCATTAAAAAAAGCAAGCTGCTTATTAAGGTTAATTTTTATAAAATTATTAAAATTAATAAGCTAAAGATTATAATTATAGCTTAAATTAAAATATTTTTCTTAAATAATATTATTATAATAATTATTATTTAAATTATTAATAACTTTTAATATTAAAATAAGTAAATATTTTTTAATAATATAATTAAAAAGTTATATATTTATATTAAAAGCATTAAAATTTCTAATATAAAATTATATAGTATTTTTAATAATAAGAATTATTAAGGTAATTATTATTTTAAATATTAAATTATTGCAATTTTTATAATAAATAACTTAATAAAAATTTTAATCTTAAGTATCTTTTATATATATTAAATTAAAAAGATTTAGCTATTAAAGGATTAAATTATTATATTAATTTAAGTTTAAAACTTTTTATATTAAATTATTAATAAGTATATATAAAGCTTATATATAAAGAGATTTATTAAAAAATATATATTATTGCTTAAGTAATTTAAATAAAAAATAATTATTAAGGAAATTAAAAAAAATAATAAAAAATAAAAGAAAAAATTAATAAATAATTAAGCTATTTATAATGCTTAATTTTAAAAAGATAAAAAATAATTAAAGGAAATTAATTTAAAGTAATATTAAATATATTTTAATAATAAAAGTAAAGATAAAGATAATAATATTTATATTATAAAGATATATAATAAAAATAAATATAAGCTAAAAAGTTTAATATTAACTTTATAAGTATTAACTTTTTTTATAAAAAAGAAATTTAAAATTAAGGCTTTTATATAAAAGTTAATAATCTTTATAAAGAAGTAATCTTAAAAGCTAAGTATTAAGAATAATAAGTATAATATTTAAGGAATAATATAATAATAAAGATTATAAGTTTAAAAAATAATATAATAATAAAGATTATTAAGATTTACTTTAAAACTTATAAGTTATAATTTTAAGTTTTTTTAATAATGCTTTTTTATAATACAGATTATATATATATAATATATAATAAATTATAATTTTAAATTAATTATAATAAGGATTATATATATTTATTAAAAGAAGAAAAAAACTATAAGTATTGGTAAGTATAATTTTTGCATTTAAAAGGTTATTTTAATTATTCCCTTTAGGGTATGTAGCCTCTTAAAACTTAAATAGAATAATACCAATACATGATTGCTTCCCATATGATTATTATACATACGAGAGACCTACCAACAGTCTGCCAGGCTTTAATTTAACTAAAGCTGTAGAAGCATCAACATGATATCTCATGCAAATCACCCTCAAGGCGAGAATGGTCTTGCCCCCTGGCCACTCGCTCTTAAACAAGTTTGTCCCAAACACCCCCATTATTACTTCCTACTTTGACGCCTCCTTCTCATCTTCATCCGGTTCAGCCGGTGTCCCAGGCACGCTCGAACCTGCCAACGAACCCTGCCAAAAGAAGATTCCCAAGCCAGCTGTGGTAAATACGATGGTAGCCCTCAACAGCCAGCTGACTATCCTTCCGTACGAGAAGATCCAGCTCGCCAGCCACTTGACGACAGGCGTCACCAGCTCATCTCTCTCCTTTTCCAGCTCGGGGTTTATCGTACAGATCAGGCCGATCAGCGTGAGGAGGACCAGGAACAGGAAGACACAAGTCAAGACTTCGATACAGGCGAGGAGGATGGATATGTCCTTGGTTGTCTGGAGGACCTGGAAGCCTGCGGCCACCAGGGGTGTGACTTGCTCGAATGCCTTGTTGATCTCTTTGGAGTAGGGAATACCCATTTCCGGGAATGGGCCGCAACGCAGTGCGGAATTTTCAACGAGGATATTAACAATTAGAAGTAATATTCAAGAACAGGTCTTTTCGGCATCCTTGCCGAAAATTTGGGAAAAGCCATAGAAACCAACCCAAATCGCTACGTACAGGACGCAGCAGCATCTTATAGCACGCTCCTCGGGTTGACACGCGCATACGTATCGGGTGATGTCATGGCGGTGCAGCTTGGGGCTGGTGCATGGCAAGCAGGCGGGCCTCGAGGTGCGATTGGAGAAAGGCCGGCGGTAGCGCCACACCTCTGACCCTGTAACTGTTCCGAGTGGCCGTCCGACATCAGACTTGTTACGCTTGGCCTGGCCCGTCACTTGACGTTGATGTGGCTGTTGACGGGATGAAGAAAATCAAGGAGTGAAAATGCAACTGAAGTCCAAGTCGTTAAGCACGCGTTGTTACGTGGCGTGGGATCTGGTGTGGCTTGTGAGGAACCTCGTGGTTCTTGTTACTCGATTAGATAGTCTACATGTTCCCTTGCTCCCCCTGTCGCCAACAACAGGCAGAGCAAAAGAGAGCCACCACACCCATCTGCCCGGCCCATCATTATGCACGCGGGCAGCTCTGCGTCTTCAGAAAGTCGATGCGGACCTCGTCCTCCCCTCCAGCTCCCAAGACGAGGTCGAAGCTCGTGCTCCAACCGCTCGTCGCGAGCTGCGTCCGGCCCTGGAACACGACGTAACTGCCCGCGGTCCCGCCCGTGGGCACGAGCTCGACCGTCTCCGCCTCAAGTCGGCGGTGGACGACGCCCTGGCGGCGCACGAGGCGCACGACGTCCATCGTCAGCGGGTCGGCGGCGCGGTCCTCGCGCACCGCCGCCGTGACGGTGAAGGTGCGCTCGTTGGCGACGCTCGTCCGGTTCACGCACGACGCCGACGCCCGGTATAGCAGCGCGTCGTCCAGGGGGTAATGCCCGCCGTCGCCGTTGCGGTGCACCGCCGTCGAGCCGGTCGAGGGCGTCGTCAGGTGGACCAGGAACCCGCCGATGCCGCTCGCGGCGGGGACGGCCGCCTCGAACTGGTACCAGGCGAACGTCTCCCCCCAGAGGCCGTACGTGGCGCCGCCCGCGTCGAGCGCCGCGGTGATATCGACGGCGCCCCCCGCCGTTGCGGTCCGTGTAGGTCAGGTGGACGGCCAGGTCGCCCGCGTCGCGCCCGGTGCCGTCTGTCGTCCGGACGCGCACCCAGCCGCTGAACGTGATGCTGCTCCCGTTCCCGGCGGGCGCCAGCTCGACGTACGGCTTGACGTCGACGGCCTCGATCGGGTCCGTCAGCCGCACCGCCGCGGGGACCGTGTCGATCATGCGCGTGAATACGTCGGCGCACGCCGTCCTGAAGCCGTCGTTGGTGCGGCCGAGCTCCCGGACCGTCGCGTTCCCGTCCGACGCGAAGATGCGCCCGTCCGAGTTGAGCGTCGCGTTCCGCCCGGCGACGAGCGGGTTCGTCGTGTTGCCGCGCAGGTACTCGGCCGCGATGCGGTTGTCGAAGCTGTCGAAGGTGCTGTCGAACTTGGTCACCGTGTCGGGCGGCGGGTCGAGCCCCGTGATGTGCGGGTTGTTCCTGCTGTGCACGCCGCCGAGCGTGTGGCCGCACGCCACGAGCGCGATCATGTCGGCCCCGCTGAACCCGGCGCCGGCGAACCTGGCCCGGGTCGTCTCGAGCGGCGTGTCGGGCTCCGGCACGCCCGCGGGGCCGGCCTCGAGGGCGTCGACGCGGCCCGCGCGGAACGGCATCCGCGCGCCGCCGCAGCCCGCGTTGGCGACAACGACGCTCATGGCCAGCAGGTCCGCCGCCGAGGCCCGGATCGAGTAGAGGTTGGCGAAGAAGTTGAAGGTGCTGTTGAAGGCCGAGCCGCCGTTCTCGGCGCGGTCGAGCTCGAACCAGATGGAGCCGTCCAGCCCGCCCGTGCCCGCGGCCACGTCCGTCGTCGCGACGTCGTGGAAGGCGGTGCGGATCCATTCTGCGGCGAACTGGCGGCCGGCATTGTTGCCGCCAAAAGAGCACGGGGTCACGCCTGTTTGGCTTGCGTCAGTCTGGGCGTCTGGCACCGGCGGCAACCCAATAGCTGAAGGGCGTTGCTAACCTTGGACGAACCCCCTGCTGCGGTATCCCGTCTGCAAGGAGAGTATGTCTTCGATCTCATCGTACTGCGACGGCCACACGTACGCCGCCTCCGTGACTTGAGCCAACGCGGGGATGCCGCCGATGATGGCGACGGCTCCTCTCTTCATCCCGCCCGGCAAGTTCCAAGGTTGGGAATCTTCCGAGTGAGGAAAGAAAGTCGGACGAGCGACAGGGTGGATGGAGCGAGAGAAAACCCGTCCCACCGAACCTCAATCTGCGCAGGCATGGACGGCTGTTGCCGTCTCTTTAATTCGCATCACCGCATTGGACCCCGTTTCCACCGTTCAGAGTTAAAACGAGACTATTGACTCCGTCGCGTGGGGAGCGAGTCTCTTCTGGCCGAGTGCGAGCTGAACAAATAACAAAAGAACTGAGATCCAGTATCGCCAAGCCGTAAAGACGGATCTGCTGCATCGGGTCCCTGGCCCAAAGCAGCAGCCCTGCCCGGTTTGTGGGTTGTGGCCGTGTCTCCCGGCCGGCCCGCTTGCTCTCTTTGCACTCCGTACCGCCGTCAGGTTCGCAGCCCAGACTTGTGGATGAAGGAAAAAGTTATCTGATGGAGCAGGGGTAGGTAATGTTAAAGTGTACCCGCTAGACTTGTGGGGAGAGACGGCTGCGCGAGTCGAGAGACCAAGGAATAAGCGACAAATTCGGCCTGGCCTTGTGGAAACGGTTGGTCAACACGGTGGTCTATGGGCATGATAGCAGTCCACGCCCTAATAGCCTTGTCCCAATATTACGGGCTCTGCGAGAGGCAGAACCTAGAGATATTCCCCTACCTTCAGGGCAAACTTGAGGGATATAGAACTATACAATGTGGCAATGATCAAAATGAACATCGTCCTTACTGACCCCAAGTATTTGACCAACAACCCTATGTAGAAATTGAATAAAGTCAAGCAGACCCATCAAGCCCATGTCCCATTGCTGTACCAGATCCCTGCCCCTGAATAATCTAGAGCAATCCCCTTCTTCACATATCCAAAACGGAAGTATTCAGGCAAGTCCGTGTCCGAATTTCTCTGCCACGTGAATCTATCCTCAGAAGGCGGCACCTCGGCAAAGAACGACCGATATCGTTCGACATCGTTGACGAGGATGCTGATACCGTCGAATGCAGACCCGACTGGTGGCTGGGCCCAAGCGAAAGAGATGTGTTCCATATCCACGGCGGATGCTGCGACGGACGGTATCAAGGAGTCAAAAGCACCGTCCGAGCGGAGGGAATCGGGGGTCTCCAGGATGGATGCGAATCCCCATCTGGCAATACCGTTGACGAAGAGGCCAAGTAGAATGCCCTGGTAAAGCAGTGAAGGCCGTGTCTGAATGCTCGTGCCGGGCAAGAGCAGTAGTGCAAGAACGTAATGATGGAGTCGAAACTCGACGCCGGGTATCATGAGGCACAAAAGAATCCCACTGATGAAGGCTGCGTAAATGCCGAGATAGCGCATGAGACGGCCCTCTAGCCAGAGCGAGTATGCCTGCTGAACGACAATACACGAGATTGCGACGATGATGAAAGCAAGAGCTAATTTCGCACCAGATCGTTGCTCCAAGTCGTGAGCTGTGAGGCGCGTGATGGGGATCCACTCGAAGGTCAGGTTGGACAGCGCTCCAAACCAGAAGCCGCCGAGCCAGAGAGCAGTCTTCTCGAGGGGTGCCTGGATGTTTGTCAAAGTCCTTGCCACGATGAATCTATAAATCACCATGGCACAGAAAATAGCCGGGAGAAGTCTGGCAACAGTCTTGGAAAGGTGGTCCGGGAGGGTCGAAGTGTTATAGGTGGAGGCGCCGGGCGGATCCGATACCAGACCGACGTGCATAAAGATTGCAACAAATATGAGGAAAAAGTGACGCTCAGATGTAGTAAAGATGCAGAGCAATGAAGTAAACAGTATTGATACGAAGAAGAGGAATCCACGAAACTCGCCTGGGCCACACTGAATGCCCGGATCCTTGGACACGGTGAAAGCCACGGGGAAGTAGGAGTCGAAGGCAATAGACTCGATGCCCTGGCCCTGTGAGCTTGGGAAGGCCTCGCGCCTTCCTATTCTGTCGAGTCGGCCACAACCACCGCCTGCATCGCTGATGATGCCAGCGTGAATGGCGGATGCGCAAATGAAGGAGTCGCCGCGGTAAGCAGGGCCCCCAATAACCAAGGGCTGGAATATAACCTCGGAAGCCCCGATGAGGCGTGAGTTGAGCACTTTGACGTCTCTACATCCCACTGGACATCTGAAAGCAAGGGTCTTGTTGGAGAAAGGGCGACAGTCTATACCGTTCAGCCCACACTCATTCTTCCACTTCCATAGAGTGTCGATACAGTCGAGGTTCACGACTTCTTGGCCAGCTTCATCCGTTGTAGGGAGACTGCTCCAAACCAGGGGAATGGTGAATAGAAGTAGCCATATCGCAATGACAGCGAACTGCATCCGCCTCCTGGCCCGGGCGGTAGGGCATATGCGGTTCAGGAACCTGGCCGGAGACGACTGAAGATCGGGGAAGATTGGCAGAATGGCCTGTTTTCGCAGTGTTCGGGGACCTGAGAGCCAGCTCCCCTTGCTCAGGTCACGATTTGATGCGTCGTCCCCCCTGCGCCTTGACGGCTGCACGTCCCCGTCGAGCTCATGGCGCGGCAGCAGGCGAGCGCCTTCCTCAGCGCAGCCATCGCCGCCGCGGCTTTCCCTGAGCTCGATGTCGTCGTGACTTGCGGATCCGTTGTTCCAATCCGTAGATACAGCCATGGGCAGCGACGATGGCCTCAGGGCCGCTGTGATTCTATCGGCAGTTGTCCTGTTCCTTGAGGTCGAGGATTCTGCGAATTTTAATGGTTGGTAGTGGATGAATGCTACCCTGGGGTTGGTTGGCGTATGAATCTGCATGTTGCATCAGGTCCGCTTATCCAGCCCAGGGGCCCAACTGACTGCCCACAGCCGCCAGCCTTGACTGCATCGGACAGCGTTGGGAACCACACACCAACCATTTTTGTCCAACTGCAAAGTCTAAGAGTGGGGTTTAAGACCTGTGTAGAGACCCAAGTATTACTCCAGCTTATTTCACTCAAAACGTCGAAAAGTCTCTATGGTTATAGGCGGGAATTTCTCGACCAAAAGCTGGAATCCCTCATGAGCAAACCGTTCCGCATCATGTCCAGCTCTCAAGACAAATCCTGACAAACTTCAGATCATTGAACAGACGCTCGATGAGCCGATCAGTCCGTTATCTCATCTCCGAAGCACAAAACCGGGTGTCAAGATCGAACTCAAAATCGGAAGTGGTGAGGTGGAGTATGAATGGCTTCCTATCTCCACGCGTAGCTACGAGGGGCGCGGCCTTCGCCCACGCCTCGGCGGTCTCCTGCTTGCGGTCCATCAGGTTCAACCTGAAGATCAGAGTGAGCAGGATGTGTAGGGTCGAGAGCCCACCTTCTTCCTCGCGTGCACCACTGGCTAGCCCCGGCAGGCTTTGGTGAGAGTCGGCAAGCTGGAGCGCCTCTCTTAGCAAGGCGAAGCTGGCGTCCGCGTTACCGGCCCTCCACTCTAGCTCCGCCATCCAGAAGACTTGGCCCGCATCACCTGCTGCGTCCGAGTCCCTAAGAGCTGACGCTTCGCCGAGGAGTTGTGTGGCTTCTCCTGCCCTCCTCTGGCGTAGTAGAAGCTCCGTAAGGGCTAGCCTGATTTCCTGCGCGACCGGCGCCGGCGAGGCGTGGGATGCTGGCTCTGCAAGACCGCGCCGCAAGGCTTCCTCGTCCCAGTCTCGGGCGTCGCTGGTAATATATTTTGCTAGGTCTGTCGAGCCGATATTGAGACTATTTTTGCTGCCGTAGAGTTTCTGGCCCAAGGTCCTGAACGACTCGAGGTAGTGATCAAAGAGGCCCGGCTCGGGCCGGGACTCGAGCACCTCAATATGTGACGACCAAACGCAGTTCAGAGGATGAGAGGGCCCATGAGTCTCGAGGTACATCGCAGTCAGGCACCTCGTAAGCAGGCGGCAAACTTTGAAACATATGTCAGACTGTGGGTACTTCTCGAACGAGGAGAAGCGCGCCACTAGTCTGTGATAGATTGCCGCGTCGTCTAAGGCGACCAGTCCTGTCAAGTGCTCGAATGCCTTTCTAATGTCTGCAAATGCCCTGTGGGGCTCGTGATCGCGGGAGAGATTTTCTAGGCCGCCAATAAACAATGGAAAAAATTTGTCGTCTTCCCCAAGCTCTGCTCTGCTGGCCAGCCATGCGCTGCTCCGATTCATTGTGAAGTGGAGGTAGACCTCGGCATTGTAGAGCGTCTTTTCGAAATTCTCGAGACCATCAGGGGCCTTGAGACGGGCTGGGCTGGGAACCACCTGTTTCTGCCGCGCAGTGGATGCACCTTCAGGTACACAAGGGCGGCCTTGCTGTTGTTTGCATGTCTGGTTCCGGATGTCATTTTTCAGATGACGAGCAATACGGCGTTCATAATCATGCTGCCTCGTGTCCGGCCAGAAGTCGCACGCCGTCCCCTGGGCAGATGCTATCTCTCGGGCTTTGAGAACGCTGAGATTCTTTCGGATGCCCCATTTTTGGAACCGGCCCTTATATTGTTTCTTCCTGGTCGTCTTTTACTTTAGCATATCAACAAAGGTAGTCAGATGTGAACATGGGCAGGCAAGCATCTTACGTTGCTTTTAGGCCGTCCTCACGCCTCATGATCTCCTGTACTTGCTTAAGCGGGAGATTCTGCTCCCAATATAGCCCAATAATCTTCTGGCGGCACCACGCCCATTTGTGCTCTTCAGCGTCCTTCTGCACAATGACTAGCTGTGGAATTGAAGTGTCGTTCCCACTGGAGAGTTCCATAGGGGCCGAAGGCGGGCTGTCACGTAATCCGGCGGCCATCAAGGATTTGTGGAGTCAAGACAGTGTCCCGCGTATGCGGCCGAGACGGGTGAACTGGTTTCCTTGCCTATTTGTGGAGCTTCTGCTAGGCGTACGTTTGTCTTTCGTAGCGACAATGGGAGACGTTAGTATAATGCAGCAGCTTGGAGTGGGTCCCGCTGTTAAACGTCTTGGTGTTGGTCGTCATCTGGGCTTCAATATGGAAGCGTGGAATCGCGAAGGATTCGGGCCGAGCTTGGTCTTGAGGACTCCTCTCTACTGCATCAAGACGGCCTCGACTGTTGTTGGTCCTGCGAGACGTAGTCAGCATCGGAAGGGCCGATGTAAGGTCCTTGGAAGTACCATTCGCACCAATAGCGGGTGTCAGCTCGCCCAATTTCAATTTAACATGCCCGACGTCCCGTAAGAAGTAGAGGAGCAACAATCTGACCTCATCACCGCCAGTCGAATGGATGGTATCCTAGAGCCCACTGGCCTGGCTTATGTACGGTGAAGTGGCTTGATTCGTTCAGACACCAGCCACTGATGGGTGGGTCTGGGGTACGCCCCTATGGGAGGTTCCTTGCACCAGACTTCTGGAGACATTGGGTAGATCATCCGACGACCTGCACGCCGCTCTTCAACATCGTTTCGACACACCTGTATATCCAAAGGAGTTACCTGCTGCCGCTGGGTCTTAACAATGAGTCTGTAACGACCATAAATGACCAGCTTTGATACTATGCACGATCGATAACTTATCAGCCCAGCAAATATGCCTTTGCACATGTGCAAAGGATGCAATGGCTTGTAGTTGGACCAGGCTCGACGGCGTTTAGCAACGGAAAGCGACGGTTTACTAACTCACTCCCACCACTCAGTGGACATCAAGTAGAGGCCTGTCTTTTTCATCCGTGCTCCATCAGGCGACAGGCAGACTGCAATGCAGTCACAGGGCTGAGCTCTAGCAGACTGACACGCAGCTGTGCGAGGAGACTGTGCGTTAAGTTGTCCATTAGGGAGGACTAAGGACGCAGCACATTGCCTCTGCCGCTGCAGTAGTGGTCTAATATTGCCCCTCGTAAAATGCAGCCAGATGGGTTGATTGCGCCGATTATGACTGTTAGGAGCAGGCCCCCGGGCAACGGTGTAACTGCTCATGCAGGCTGCATCGAGCAAAGCTGAGTTTGTGGTCCGATCACCATTGACCGGCCGTATGCGCAAGGGATGTCGCCAAGGATATTGAATTAAACATTGGATCCTCCTTTTGGCCCCAGCTGACACTGTTGGCTGGTTCCTAGCTAGCGGTTCGCGATGGCCTGCCAGCCTGCCTAACAGCCATGTGAGTAAGATTTCGCAATGCCCGGGCCGAGACTGCAAATGGTCTTGGGTCAGCCGCACGCCTAGAAAGGTCCGTGATAGTGCTATTCGAACGTCAGCAGGAGCTTTGATCTGGTGCAAGATGGTGCAATCGACACCAGTGGCCACGATGGCGATCATCTTCGATCGAGACAGTGCCATCGCGGGCAAAGAACGCGAACGCGATAGAGGCGACGGCTCGACGGCTCGGGCGGCTGTCGGTCTGTAGGCGACCGGACCGGAGGCGAAGGTGTGGGCGACAGGACCGGAATTGCGTGACCGGGGGTTCGTCCCACCGCAAAACGGTCGACTGTCATCGGATTGCAATTTTCAGCATCGTGGAGACAGCAGTCCTCGCGACGCGCAAGTGAAGCTATCACGCCATCGACCTTGTCGCCGCCGGACATGACACAGCACACAGAAGCAGCTGAGGAGAGCAAGAAACACATGTCAGCAACTTGGGTTGCCTCTGGACCAACCAGGCTCTGCGCCCCCACGGCCCTTGATGTGCTACAGATATCACCGTGCCAGGCGCGTTATCTTGTATCCTCTTCCCACGTGCTGTGATCGGACTGTAGGAGATCCGGAGTTCGAAGGTGCAGTTCCGAGAGCTGGAGTCGAGTGTGGGTCCTGAGACTGGGGCAACAATCGACAGGTGATCTGATCTGGCTTTCCACAATCCTGTAGCAAGTCTGCCATGGTAGACTACTCCTGCATTGCTAATGATAATAATGCCTGCAATATTACACGCAGAAGAGAATTGTCTGTTATGTAATTAAGGCCCAGATCTGCTCTATTGAGTATCACATTATGTACGCTGTAGTCAGAGACTGATGAAAATTGTCTCCAAATACCAGACATCTGTTTGCCCAGGCCAGGCCATCCCACCGCCCGGCATCAGGGGACCGAGTACGGCAGGCGGGCGGGCGAGTGGAGCTGCAGATCTGTGTTCTTCATGTCTTTTGTTGAAGCGGGGTCTCAGCTGGTCGAGCTATCGTTGGCACATCGACTTCACATGCCGCTTCCGATAGCTTCTTCGTTGAACTGGAGGTCAGGTAGATATCACGCATCACGGATATGCTGCCCGCATGTTCACTGATATCTCAACACAGATAAGATCGTCAAGGGTGACAGCCCCTTCAGGGGCGGATATGCAGGCGGAACCGAAGGGGCGGCTCGCGGCAGTTAGTACGAGAGCCCTGGGGGTGGATCCTGTCAGGCGGCGGGTATCGGGGCGGCTGATCGGGCGGCTCAACGGCTACAGCAAGGCGTGATTTTGGAGACGAATTTGCAAGTGGAGCGGTCACGTCAGCCGTGCAAGTCGCGGAGACATTTTGACTCATTGGCAGGCAGAGTTTGACTCTGGCCAAAGACCATTGCTCGAGGACACGGCGTGCTCGGGACGAGGCTGAGGCAAAAGCTGACGAGAGTCGCAAGGCGATGGGGGAGGGGACCAGTGTTTCCCCGGGGAATATCGAGACGATGCCGTAAGATCTCGGGGTTGTTCTGTACCTAGGTAGGGCTGGATGCAGTCGTGAGGAGCACTGCTGGGTGCTAAGTACAAGCGACTTGTGGGGAGGCAGGGAGGGCAAAATAAGGTAAACAGGGGGGCCGATGATGTGCTCCGCGCCAGGCTTGTCCCGACGGGCTCGACGGCCGATCCTAGATTGACAGCACTGCATTGGTGCTGCTGTAAAACAAATGAGGACCTGTTTGGCCTGAAGGGGCAGGTTGGGAGCGGCGATGGTGCAATCCGGGCTGGCGAGCAGCAAATGCCCAAGCCCCCATGGATGGCATGGCGTGGCATGGCCTGGCTCGCTCATTGTCCAGTCCGTGCTGGGACGAGTCATCGCCAGAGGGGCCCAGGCGATTGAGTGATTGAGTGATTGATCGGTTGACTCAGAGCTGTAGAACGTAGAAGCATCTGGGGATGAGGATGGTGATGAGAGCAGAACAGCCAGACAGACTGCCAGACGAGTCAACAACACAGAGGAAGTTGCGATGGCGGCGTGTACTGTATACACACCGCACCAACGACCGACCTACCTACCACTTGGGAAGGAGGGTGGGCAGGTGGCAGGGCGGCAGGGCGGCAGGGGGCCAGATTGGGGGGGAGTAGACGGTACCGGGCCATTCGTATTGCTCGGCCTCCTGCCCGTCTGTACCTAGTACCTGCTTGGATCTAATCTACTTACCCAACCTGTACGCCCGCCGCGGCGTGGTACATGGACTACTGCACTCACGCCCTTGCGAATTCGCCATTTTGCCGCTCCATCGCACCTCCCAAGTGTCTTGTCCTTCCCCAGATTCCACCACAGGCAAGGCAACTTGCACAGCAGCAGCACACACGCCCAGACAGCCAACAAACATTGAATCCTCCTCCTTTGTCTCTGGTCTCCACCGCCCGCCCACGGCGATCCCTCGTTACCACCAGCGACAGACAGATATCTCACTGCCGACCCGACCACCGACGCAGTCATCCACTCTTCTGCTGGACTCTCCTCGCCGTCTTCCACCGCAATTCGCGAACATACATAGTCCAAACCCGTCTGGTCTCCACCGCAACTCACAACCCCCTGCCTCGACTCTTCCCCAGGCGTTGGACCACCCGCGACGTTGAACAAGTCTCGTCTACATCGCACGACGACAGACAAGGACAAGGACAAGCACGGGACAGGGACAAGGCGCTGCGTCACATTACAGTACATCGATCGCGGCACGACACCGAAGAGCCGGCAACCACCTCCAATAGCACATAGCACCTACAATACAGTCTGGCCGCCTCCTGATTGCGGAATGCGGCCTCTGCCATTGCGTGCCCGAAGCTCAGACACAGCACAGTCCATCCATCGTCCTGCGCCGCCCTCACCCTGACTGCCTAGCCAAACCATAATAATACGCCTGCCACCTTCCTCCTCCCCGGGCCAGAGACGACCAGCGCGCCCGCAACATCGGCAGTGAAGGTCATCCCGAGACAGGATTCGAGTTTCATTTCCCTTCTGACCAGCCCAGTCTACTCGTACGACGCCCAGCGGCAACCATCCACCCCCCCCTCCCAGCACGCCATCTCCAGCTGTACCGATCTCACACCGTCTGCTACGTACCTGCTGTCCAGTCCCTGCTGCAGGCCTCTCCAATGGAAGCATAATTCGACAACTGGCGCAATCTTCTCTCAAGAGCATTGGACAGGAACGTCCCGCAGCCCCTATCCTGCACGACCGTTCCCCAACCTGGGCTTCTCGCACAAATACCATGGAACCTCCATCCACTTCTCTGACGAGCATTCCACGTCGTGCCTCGCAGAACAATGACGCCTCCTTGCGCCCTGATGGCGCCAGCAATCCAACCCACAGCCGTCCTGACACTCGCCCACGTTTCCCCACGAGTCCACCGCACACCGAGGACGGTGAGGTAGAGTCCGCCTCAGAGGCCAACGTTGCAAAATTCAACAAGCTCCTCAACTGCGACAGGAGGCGCCCAGAGGAGGAGCAGGAGGACAAGTCCCGCCTCGTCAACATGTCGTCCAGTCTGGTTGGCCAGACAGTCACCCCCTTCCTCCGGGAACATGTCCCGAGCTTGTACGCTCCTGTGTCCAAGATCGAGTCAGCCTACCCAAACGAGCCATCGAGGCAGAAGGAGTACAATAGCAAGTACTGCTACCGACATCGACCCGACTCGAAATGCCGGAAGGCTGCCGACGAGAACAAGATGGCCATGATCCAGAGTGTAAGTCGTCCCGCCCGCCCACTGACATGCAGGGAGGGAGAAGCACAAGCCTTACTGACGCTGGTACAGGAGCTCGAGAAGCTACCTCAGGCGGACCAACAAGCCATCACACATGTCTGGAGTCTCTTTTCTGCTGCGCCGTCGAAACACAGAGAGTTGATGATCCAGGGCATCCTGTCTTCGTCCTGCTTCCCTCAACTAAGTCTTGTCTCGAGAGAGGTCCAGGCTCAACTCAAGATCGATTTCATCTCCGCGCTGCCCAATGAGATCTCTATCAAGATCCTATCCTCCCTTGACACGGTATCGCTCTGCAAGGCGGCCCAAGTATCTCGCCACTGGCGAGTGCTGGCGGATGACGATGCCGTCTGGCACCGGATGTGCGAGCAACACATCGACAGGAAATGCACAAAGTGTGGATGGGGTTTGCCTCTACTCGAGCGCAATAGGCTGCGCAATTGGACTCGGCAACGGCGGCTTGCAGCAAGCCAGAAGACAGAGCCGACTGAACGCGTCATGCCTCTGTCGCCACCAACACTGCCCCTCCCAAACACGCCGAAGACGCCCGCGTCACCAAAAAGGAATGCTAGCCCCTCCGAAGAAAACGGGCCCTCAAAGCGCCAATGCGTGTCTAGGGTCGGCTCCAGCGCAGACGCCGTTGAGCACAGACGCCCCTGGAAGGATGTCTACCGGGATCGCTGGCAGATTGGTGTCAATTGGAAACTGATGCGGTACTCTCAGAAGACCTTCAAGGGCCATACGAATGGAGTCACATGCCTGCAAATCTGGGATGACACTACGCTACCGGCTCTTACGACAACACAATCAAGATCTGGAACTTGGAAAGTGGCGAGGAAGTGCGAACATTGAAAGGACATACCAGAGGAATCCGTTCTCTGCAGATGGATGATACCAAACTATTTAGTGCCAGTCTTGACGGAACTCTGAAGGTCTGGAACTGGCGTACAGGCCAGTGTATGCGGACACTTGGCAACTCGGATGGCCTCATCTCCGTGCATTTCCAGGATGAGTTGGTCGCCACTGGCAGCATTGACCACACGATCCGGGTGTACAACTTTTCGAACGGAGAGACCTTTTGCCTGAAGCATCACGAAGACTGGGTCAACAATGTCAAAGTCGACACCAACAGCCGCACCTTGTTGTCCGGGTCGGATGACTGCACTGTCGTCCTCTGGGACCTCGATACTCGCAAGATCATTCGCGAGTTCATTGGCCACGTCGGGCATGTACAACAAGTTCTGGGATTGCCAGCAGATTTTGAACCAGACGAGGATCCTGCCACTGCTGGCCAAGACCCCACCGAGACGATGTCTGTCTCCAGTGGGCACAGCTCGTCGCCGGCGTCTGTGCACCCAGACTCTGGCCGCAGTGATCCCGAGCTGGACCTGCGCGCTTCTTACGGACCAGGATTCGTCGATCAGCCCGATCGTCCTCTGCCTGCTAGGTACATACTATCGGGTGGACTCGACGCCTCTCTGAAGTTGTGGGACAGTTCGACTGGCCGCGTGATCCGTAACCAGTGGGGCCATCTTGAGGGCATCTGGTCTGTGGAGTGTGACAGTCTCCGCATGGTGACCGGGGCGAACGACAGCTTGGTCAAGACATGGGACCCGCGATCCGGCCGGTGCACTGGTACATTCGCCGGGCATACCGGCCCTGTGACATCGGTCGCCGTGTCAGATGCTCTGATGGCGTCGGGGAGTGAAGATGGAGAAGTGAAGTTGTATAATTTCAAGCTCAGTGACGGGTGCCGACGATCCACCAGCCCTGCTGAGCCGTCATCGCAATGACATTGAGGAATATGGGAATAATTTGCTTGAGAATTTCGGGGCGCGCTTATACCACTCTGATTTGGTCGGGAGCTAGCAGGGTAGGACACATGCAGCATAAGACAACGGCGTAAGGGGTTTGCCTACGATATTAATGCCCGACCATCAATTGGCGGTTCAGAAAAAGGTGGTTCGGAAAACAGGCCGGCACGCAAAAAATAGTTTGGGCCCAAGCATTTCCATGGCGTTCGAACATACCGGGATTTTACCATAAAGGCATTCGGGGAACTCTGAGGCACGGCTTGCCTAGGTTGATAGCTTGTTGCAATTCAATAATCTAAACATGAGTCCGCGCTCCCAGACTCTTCAGTGATACCTTGGATGACAAAGAACGGGGAGAAGTCATTCAAGTGCGGCGCCATTCTCGAAGTATTGAATAATACAGAAAGCTCAGAAGTCAAAGTAAGTCTCGACTGTCCGGGAATGCTCCCAAGCCTCCGTCCGGGCCAAGATTAAGAAAGCTTAGGACACCAGATTGAGAGGACCCGAGACGTGACATGTAGTATAGTATGTTAAAGTAAGCTTATTGTTGCCCCTCAACGCCTGTGAAAAAGGGAGGCAGATGCTCGTCTCCGTGGCACTGATGTTTCGTCTGCCTATGCTGCACAAAGGAAATGTTCCCCACCCGCGTACGCATATGCTTGGAAAAAGAAAAAATGACGCTGCCTTGATCAAAAGCCAAAAGACCGCTCGCAATATGCAAAGCTCCCGATGCCTCCAGCAATGCTAAGCAACAGCCTCACTGAGAATAAGCGCGTCCCGCCCAGCCAGATACAGAACCGCCCCATGTCCTCTGAGGTCCAGCTAGATATCACTCTCAAACTCAATCTACCGCCTCTCCCTCTTCGCCCTCCCCGCCCCCCTCCCCGTCCTCGGCTACACCGCCCAGGCGCGTACCACGCGCGGCCTTGCGCCCACCGCCGCGCAGCAGCCCGACGTTGGTGGCCAGGGTCTCGAACCAGAGGTGCAGGATGACGAACGTCAGGGGCAGGATGAGGGTGGCGATGATCCACCACCAGTAGGTCAGGGCGAAGAGCAGGCCGTCCGGGCTGAAGAAGACGGTGCTGAGGAAGGACATGGCCAGCGTCGAGACCGAGGCGCTGTTGCGCTGGATGTGCACCGCCACCTCGATGGTGAAGTTGCTCAGGCGCCGGTTCAGCTGCGGGAGGGAGCCCCGCCGCCGGAGGGGGATGGTCTTGCTCATGCGGTAGGTCTGTGAGTGGATGTATTGTTAGTATAGTGTACAAGGTGGCTGTGCTTCCTCTGCATCTTGCATATGTGCTGTAGGTGATTATCTTACCGAGTTCTTGACGCGATTGTTCGTGCGCTCCAAATACATATTCACACACCTGGCCCAGAAGTCGCAGGTCGAGAGTTGCAGCTGCAGGATCTCGGTGGCGGGTGGCCCGAAGACGTCGCTTGACTTCTGGCGCGTGTGCTTGTGGTAGTTGTCGTGTTGATGTAGCATTGATGCCCTCTCCTGTTTCCGAGACGACCTCGACTCAGCCACGGAACGCAGGTGGTGGATATGAGCCTGCATGTCGTGTATATCCCTCAGGATCGTACGCCACTGTGTGGAAAGCTCTTCCAGCTTTATGGACAGTTCTGTGCTGTTGGAGTCATCATCATTCTGGTGCCAGCTGTCAGTAACGGCAGGGTTATGCTTTGCTACGACGAGCGGTATGGGTCGGAATGAGGCCAAAGCCTGAAACACAGCTGTGGGACTAAAGACTCACAAGGGCCAGGAGCTGAGCCCGGTGTCTTTTGATTGCGTCTCGATAGAACGCTATGACTTCGTCGATTATAAGTGTATCCAGGAAAAGCGGATTCTTGGCCAAGGCCGTCAGACTGTGGATGGTGTCCGATATGCGCTTCTGTAACAGTTTGGGGAAGTTTATGCAGAAGTATGTGGTGGCATCCTGATCTGCTAGGGCCTGCGTGGTGGACCGTATATACCGTGCCTCCCAGATCCAGCTTTGTCTGAAGTCAGCTGCAATAGGTCAGCCGGCTGAGCTTGAGGAGCGCGTGGAGACAGATGACCGACCTCCATGGTCCACGTCTACCGCCTCGGCCTCTTCGTCTATCCTCTCCAGTTCGGTGCGCGCTTTTCTTGAGCAGGCCATCATTGCTGACTGGCGAGGCGAGCTCGACGGTGAGACCCATTCATCATCATCGCTGTCATCAGAGCCGTCTCCAGATTCCAGAGCAAACCCAGCTTTCTCGCATAACAGCTCCGCAAATCCAACCTCAGCTAGTCTCTGGGAGAACGGAGACTTTTCGTCGCCACCATCGCCTGAATAGGGAAGGAAGCTGGCGCCGGATTAGAATGGAATGTCCGAACAACGTGATAGTCAGGTGAGAAAGGTGACGGCTCACAATAGCCTCAGGGACGTAGGTCTTCTCAACACAGGCCCATCCCAGAATGGATCATCGTCTTCCTCGTTGCGCCGGTCCAGGTAGTGCCTCAGTTCCTGTGGGCTCCGGCATCGATATGAATCTAGTCCTCCCCGGTCAGAACGTCGCGCCGAGAACAAGTGCACAGGGGTGTCATGAGTATTCACCAACGGGTCTCCGGCCCCCAACTTCGAGGACGGTCACTTCAGGATCGTGTTCGGGCCAGCCGAGGTCGTTAGGGTCTTGATTCATAGAGCATTGCCGTTGGAATAGCGAGTCGATCAAGTCACCCATTCTCCTTCATGTGGTGGCGGCCCGTGTGTGTGTTGGTTGGTGGACATCTAGCTTCGTTCAACAAAACGCGTGCCAATGGACCGACTGACTGGACGGCAGTTGAGTGGAAGTGAGATGGACGTTTTGGCCCATGGGGCGCTGGAGTCGGTGAGGGAAGTGGAGACGTAATGAGCCTCTCGGGCCAAACACGAAGCTTTCCGGAGTGGGCTCGTGCCTGGGGGTCTGAGACCCCTGCAGGCCAATGACGATCATCGATGGTACCGTCGAGTCGAGCAATCTGCGAGTGCCGAAGACTTAAAGGACCGTGTGTGCAAGTCCACTGCCCAAGTCTTCATAAAGTTGTGGTGAAGAGGCTTCTACTGATGGGCACGGGGCAAGTGTAGAGACTTTCCCGGGCCGCAAGCAGCTTGCCACGGAGCACGCCACACCCACGAGCTCGACGGCTCCGGAGTCTTGGCATGTGCAAGCATCGATTGCATAACGAGCGTGAGACTCCATCAAAATGCAACCCATGTGCACATATAATATCAAATTTCGATGTCCCACTCGTGGATACGCTTCTCTCTCACGTGGCTGAGACGTCAGGGCGGACTTCTATGGTTGCGAAAGCCACCAGGGAAATACAATAATGGAATGGAGGCAACCACACACTAATGTATGCACGGAAATTGCATAGCTCGCTCGAAACCAAGTTGGATCATATGAATGGCATCGAAAGTGGTGTTCCATGATATGACTATCCAGCTGAAACAGCCGACTTGTAATATTGCCGCTGTTGGAGGTCTATAGGCCTAGGATACTCTTGACCAAATCTCTTGGCTCATCCCAAAAGTCGACAACCACAATGCCCATTCTTGTTCCTTCCAAGCTTTGAATTAATGGGAAGATTTGTTGATTGACTCCACCCAGAGGCGTAGATGAGTTACCAACACCCAAAGCCATAATCTGCGGTGTCACCGCGACTGGAACCGCCGTCACATGCTCCGCCGAAGCGAAAGTGATGAACAGACTTCGATCATAGTCGGGAGTGTCCGAAGTGGCCATCTCCAGGTGCGACACCGTTGCATTGACTTTGGCTGCAATGTTGTCCGCTGCCGTGGAATTGTCGCCTAAGTCGTCCGGCTCATAATAGTCCTCGATGTAAGCGGTCAAGTTCAGCACCGTGTTATACGTCAGGGATATGGCCCTGCTGTTGTCTGCCCACGAGCTCGGCGACAGGTGCAGGCCAGGCAGCGCGGCTTCGTACTCATCTGGGAGCTCGTCCAGATCAAAACGTCTGAAGAGCACGACCTTGCCGCGTGCTGCGCCGAGTGTGGGCAGGACACCGTGTGTTTGATCGATGTACTGGACAGTGGTGGTCGAGTTGAGAATGTCAAAGATCATGTGCTGGACGGTAGCATCGAACGTCGCGTTGACGATCGTGGAGCCTTCGTACTGGAACGAAAGGATCACCGTCTCCGAAGGGTGCAGGTCCAGCCAGTAGTAGAAGGCAGTGATGACATCGCCCACCGTCGCCCGTTCGGACATGAGGGCTTGGGAGTGCCAGAACACAAGCTTGGTGCCCGTTGGATCCAAGGCAAAGCGCAGGTCGAAGAACCGCACAGCGCTCAGCGACTCCATGATGCTGGCATTCTGGCATCGGAAGACTTCTGGCGGGTAGGTCGGCTCCCCGTCGCCTGCTGTGATATTGGCCAGGGCATCCTGAGTCGCCTGCGTGTAGTTCCAGGTTGCGGAGTCGTGTGTGCCTGGAATGTTGAGCAGTGCCAGTGGTGTTTCGTCCAAATACTCTGACATCCACGTCGCGAGCGTGCCGTTGTCCTGGATGAACGGGCCAAAGATCTCGGTCGCGTTGGGTGGGAACTCAATGCTGCTGGCCAAACCAACGCTGGCTCCGCAGCTGGCAGCAACGACGAGAGTGGCTCTCATGGTGCAGACTGAGGTGGGCGCTTCTCACCGGCATCAACCGGTAGTCGAGCTGAAGGAACTATCTAATACGGGTTTGACGTTGGCATCTGAGGGGAGATATAGATTCGTCATCTGCCAGGGCCCCTTACCGGGCGAGGATTCTCCATGACCAATGAGCGCAGCCTCTAGGAACACGCATGCACCCCTCAGGTGAGATCAGATCCGTCAGCAGCTGGGTACTGGGCCACCATGTACCAGGGGGGGGGGTGGAACATTCAGGGACCTCATAGTGGCTTCGACAAGCTCCTTGACATCCTGCTCCAGATGGAACTTTTGTCGAGGCTTTGGTCTGAAAGAAGTTCACAACCGTGGTTAAGATAGAGTCGCATAAAACGAGCGCCTCGGCTGGAAATCGGCCCAATGAGCCCCGAGCCCCGATAGACAGTCCCACTTCCCCACCACCGAAGGTGTCGTGTAGTAGTCCAATGTTACAAGACGTCACGGAGGGTGAATCTCAGCCTCAACGGACAGACTTCAACTTTGCCCTCTGAAACTCGTCTTTAACATTAATCCCCTCTGACATCTAGCGCCCTTACCAGCCTTTCTCAACCCTTATTAAAAGCCACTGGCAAAGATGTCTATGACGGTCGAGGAAGTGGCGGCTGCACCCCGCGACCCCAAGCCAGTCCCCAATATCCCATCCAATGTCTTCGAGCAGTTCAGCCTGAAAGGCCGCGTAGTGGCTGTCAATGGCGCCTCAGACGGTATCGGATACGCAGCAACAGAGGCCATGGCAGAGGCAGGCGCCCACGTCGCCCTGTGGTACAATAGCAACGACGCTGCGATATCCAAGGGAGAAGCCCTGGCCAAGACGTTTGGCATCAAAGCCAAGGCCTACAAGGTGGACGTGTCAGACCCAGAAGCAGTGCGGAAAACCGTAGGCGCGGTCGTGGACGACTTTGGGAAGCTGGACGTGTTCGTGGCGAACGCGGGGATGGCCATCTCGAAGCCCCTCACCGAGCAGACGGTCGACGAGTACAAGAAGCAGTACTCGGTCAACGTCGACGGGGTGGTCTACTGCGCCAAGTACGCCGGCGAGGTCTTCAAGAGGCAGGGCTCCGGCAACCTCATCATCACGTCGAGCATCTCGGCACGCATTGTCAACGTGCCGGTTGACCAGCCCGTGTACAATTCTACGAAGGCTGCCGTGACGCAGCTCGGGAAGAGCCTGGCCAGGGAGTGGCGCGAGTTCGCGAGGGTCAACATTGTCTCGCCGGGCTTCTTCGACACCAGGATGGGCGCCTCGCCGCAGGTTTTCAATGAGGGTATTCGTATGACGCCCCTGGGCCGTCAGGGCGACGTCAAGGAGATCAAGGCTCTGTACCTGTATCTCGCGAGTGATGCATCGACTTACATGACAGGAAGCGACATTGTCATTGACGGAGGATACACTTTACCCTAGTCTGAGCCGACTCGTGGGACTGGAGGAGGTACCCAAAGAATAAGATTCTGTCTCTCGATCCTGCTCTAGCACGAGCCCTTCGACGTCACGCACATACAAGGCTCTAACTTTCGTGTCCGTGACAAGTACCAAGCCCTCATTGTGGCGGGTCCGACACTCACCCAAAAGTCAGTCTCATACTGGAGCGTTCGACAGCCTCCCTTGCCCGGCCGTTCAGCTCATTGCAAAGCCGATGCATCCTCTCCGCCTCCTCAGACCGCGAGCATTGCCTCTTCTCACCAGCCAGAATCTCAAGAAGGTGAAGAAAAGGTTCCACAACATGGAGGTCTGACGCCGCCTGTGGGGACTCAGGGTACCGGATCACGTTGTGCAGCAGAACCTCAACGGCAGCGAAGAATGGGTGAAGCAGAATCCTGTGTATCGCTGCTTTAGCTGTCTAGTCAAAATAAAAGGGCACACCTTCGCTTACCATACACATGCGTAGTCACCCGGTGGAGTGACTTGTATAAGACGGATCGCCTTGCGTGACTCAACGACGCAGAGACTTTCTGTAAACATGAACGATCCAGCGAGTGCAGTGTCCAGTGTGTGGGCCGATGTGGAGTCAGGCGGCGGTAAATGACGGTCGACCATGACAAGGCAATTGACATATGTGAAGCGCAGAATGAGCATGTGAATGAACTCGACCGGAAGAGGGGTCTGTGGCGGTACTTCTGCCTCGTCCTCGAAGTCAACCGGCACACTGCCTCTCCAGTACGACAGCACGGAGCTCAGTTCGTGAGCCACAGACGCCTTCTGCGCTTCAGATTGCCTCGCTGCCTGGACGGAGTACAGCCTTTTATAGACTTGCCCCTGAATCACAGCAAGTCCGATCCGGGCGTTGAAGAAGTTAATCTTCCGGAACCCGCCCCCGAGGCTGATGAGCGGTAAGTCGGTTGGGCTTTCTGAGGGCAACTCGGCGTCCATGTCGTCGTCGTCCTGGGCAAAAGGCTGGCCCAGACGGAGACTGATATCCTTATCGAGGAAATAAGCAGCCCAGAAGACACGTTTGCGCTGTTCGACTTGTCTCTCAGGAAGGCCCTTGTCTTGCGCTCTTCTGTGTAAACCCATGGCTTGTGCCAGTCGCACTGCAGCGGCCGTGAGCACCGAGGACACCTGTGGGTTGGGCGATCCTTGGAGGACGATGGCCATGCCTACTAGGGCCTGGATGGCGGGCAAACTCTGACGGAGTATACTGAGCTCGGAAACGACCGCAAGGGCGTTGTGGATGTAACCGCATGACTGAGTGTTCTCATAAGCTGTCTGGAGAGTGCGCATCGCGCGGAATCGATGGGCCAGTGAGAGGACGACATTGATACAGGCCCACCAGGCCGGGTTACTCGGGCTTGATTCTGTGTACTGGTGATGGAACTGGTGGAGAAACTCCTGCTCGTCAAACAGAGGGAAGAAGCGGTTGAAGCTCCTGAAAGCATCTTCGACTAGTTCGAGGGCAACTTGTTTGGTTGGAAGCTCGTGAAGAGAGGGAAGTGAGAATGGCCCTAGCGCCAGACTTCCTTTCCAAGAGGGCCAGGGCTGCCCTGGGATGTTCAATGGTTCATGAGTCAACGCATGACTGTATGATGCCTTGTTGTGATTTGTAATTTGGGCCAGATCCAAGTCTTTTTCGACAAAGCTATTGCCGACGAAAGTGCTTTGTTGCCGTAGCTGACTATCGATGGCTTCTATTGGGATTGGAAGATGAGGACGATCGTCTGACCTCTCGTTGGACTCCAAATCCAATATCATGCCGAACGGCGAGTGATCATACTGTGACGGACCAGCTTTTGGAAGACTTTTCTGTTTGAGAGTCTGCTGCAAGAGACCCTCCAACTTCTTAAGTCTTTCTTCAAGGCTGTTGATGTGTTTATAGCTGAAATCATGTCAGACGAGGAAGGTTGTAAACGATGCTGAGCAGACGCACCCAGCCGGCCTTCGACTGTTTCTCCTCGTCGAGATAGGAGTAAAGTGACAGTGGGTGCGAGACTTGGTACACTGCGCGCACCCCCTTGCTGTTGGCTCGCATCTGATTTTCTTCTTACGACACATGTCGCAAGCCTAAATAGGTAAGAATGAATGCGTCCAAGACCGATTTACCCACGCAACTGACCTTTACAATCACCTGTCGATCGACCGATGCGATGGTTGCTCGGCCTGTGTCGTCTTCCATCTTGATACAACGGGTGAGACAAACGATGTCGCTTGATTGGATGGAACAGACGCAGACAATAAAAGGCTATCCTATGTAAGTTGCGATATTCTGAGCCAGGCTCGAGGATGTGGCCCCTACTGGTCGATATGTTGCAAAGAATCGACAGGTTGTAACCATCCAAGGTAGAGCTGCTTTCACTGGGGGACTGCGAGAATATCGTATTATAAATCAAGGTTAGTGCCTGTGCACTAGCACAGAATTAGACTACCAGTATGCAGCGAAGGAGCGCTGAGCGGTGACATGCGGTCTGGCCCGCCTCAGCCGCTTGATAGTTACTTCAGCAAAGGACCAACATTCGACTGCCAACCTCTGCTGATGTGCACATTCTTTCCCCGTACTTGGACGAGAGAAGCTTGTGCTTGGAGAACAACACATTGCAAGAGTCTTAATATCACTTGTAGTCATATTTCTTTTTGTCGCGGTATGTCTTACCCACGCGTGTGTTCTTCAACAGGGATTCACAATGGGTCACTTTGACGACTGCACACCAGACCAGCGCTTCACCAAGACGGGCCATGATAGTCTTCATAACCAAATCGGCACTAAGAAAATCATTATCGACTGGGATCAACGACGTTTCACAGCCGTCGCGACGCGACAGCGTGGAAGGAGGATGATGAGGAGTTTTTTCTCGATGCCCTCGCCGAGTACGTCGACGATATCCCCTCGGATATCATGCAGATCGAGGTTGGCGAGGAAGGTGAATTGCTAAAGTCCACGGCTGATCCAGACAAGCACCCAACCATTATACCTTTTTATCCCTCCCCGTCAGACTACCCAGCCCAAGTGCGACAGGTCAGGCGCGAGCAGCTCGTGGAGCTCCATCGCATGGGCGTCCAGGTTGACCTGTGCGAGTACGTCGCCGCGGCTGGCACGGCGCCTAAACAAGTCGCCTTCAAGTACCATATCAACGAGGGCAACATGGGAGTCGTATGGGATGAGGCAAACTGTCTTCTTCACATATCCAAGCACCCTAACATCATCCCATTCGACAGCCTCGTCGTCGATCAAGTCGAAGGCCAAGACAAAGTAGTCGGCTTCACGACGCCCTTCGTAGCAGGCGGAACTATCGAAAGGAATGTCTCGAGGCCCTTCAAGTTTAACCACCTTAGGCAACTCACCTCGACCATTGACCACCTCAACCTCACGCTGGGCATCGCCCACGGCGACACCACGCCATACAATCTCCTCATAGATCCGATCACGGACGACCTGATCATCTTCGACTTCAACCTCGCCAGCAGGCTGGGTTGGGAGTCCAAGGACCACAGGAGGCAAAGCTACGAGCCGGCCCGCGACGACGTCAAGTTCGCCGCCTTCACCCTCTACGAGATCATCACCCGTGACACGCACCTGCGCGACGAGAATTACCCCCACGAGCTGGACGCCGCCATGGTCCTCGACACGTCCTCGGGCGGCGCCGCGCCGGCCTGGGACAAGCATGAGGATGTCGTGCTCGACGCCCCCGTTGTCGAGTACAGGCGACACCTTGACGAGTGGATGGCGACTCGCCAGGCCGCCGTGGCTAACCGGGGAAAGGAGGAGCAGGTGCTGACGCGGTGGGACCAGGCCCATGGCGCGTTCGACTGGCCGCCGCTCACCCGAGATACCAGAGGTGCCGTTCTGCGGGGCGATGCTGAAGCGGGCGACGCAGCCGAGGCGGTGGATGGACCGACGCGGCGCCAAGTTCCCGACATGGCAGCGGCCGCCGAGCTGTGCGCTGCCTCTCCCTGAAGGAAAGAAGCTGCTTGCCACGGGGGAGGTGGTGGAAGGGTCGCGGTGACACGTGGTTGTAATGGAGCATCTTGCACGCAGACTCAGGAGCTCGACTTCAACTACTCTGGTATTTAAAATTTGGACAGAGCTTGCTATGACTTTATCTGGCGAGACTATGAAAGCCTACAGCTTCTTGTATCCAACCCCCTTGACAAAGGTCTGCTGCCACGGTCCCTGTGAGGTTCCCTCAGCAAGCTCGGTGTAGAAGTTGGCGTGGGCTGGTCCATCGACGGCGCTGTACACGGCCGAGCCATCGGCGTTTCTTTCATCGGCATAGTAGAATCTGCATTGTGGTTAACGAAACGTATCAGATTATCCGACTGCGCTGGACGTACTTGTAACCCTTGTCTTTGTACGCTTCTGCCGCACACTGGATGATATGGGCCGTGGCGGACTTGCCAGCGCCGCTGCCCATCAGCGCCACGATGGGCGCGACATTGGTGCAGTTGCCCGTGAAGATGAAGGTCCGCGATGCAGACTCGGGCATCTGCTCGAAGGCGAGCACGGCTTGCTGGGCCGCGACGAAAGCACTGGTTGTGTTCACAGAGAAGTCCCGAACAAAATCCTTCAGAGGGAGACCCAGGGGATTCTTCGCATCTTGGCGAGTTGCGGCAGCAGCTTTTTGAACCGGGTCAGTTACACTTTGTCGAATTTCGGATAGATGGAAACCATACCGTTATAAACTACCACCGATGGAGTTCCGAGCTGCGATTTCACCTTTGAGAAGATCTCAGCTATGGAAGCGGGATCAGTGAAATCGCCCCGGATGTGAACCTTGGAGGAGCTGCTGTCTTCTTCTTTCAGGCTCCTGGATACTAAGGCGATTCTGTAGCCTTTGGCTGCGAATGCCCGGCCAACATTCTGCCCGACGTTGGCACCGGCTCCGAAGATGAGCGCAATGGGAGAAGTAGAAGGCATTCTGAAGGCTTGTTGGATTGAGCTTAGTCAAAAGGACAAGGTATTTGATAAACGAAATGGCACAGTGAATCCTGTGGTTCTTGCTGGTCTCAATCGTTATAGACTGAAGGCATTCTCCTCAGCGAGTCGAGCAGGACCTCCATATATAGGTAATTTTCGGTCATTGAAAGTAGAGTAATGCCTCTGCTATATTAATCATGGTACGATATCCTCTTGTGATAATGGACGCCCTTCACTAACATTGGAAGCTGACAAAACTAGTGTCTCATGCAGATCAGTGCCGGCGCGGACCCTTCGAGTGCTCCGGAGGTTAGTGCCGGACCTTGAATGCGTCCTAGGTAAGCAACACCTAGCGATATGATTGGTGAGCTCACCCAGTTCGCTTGGTAATGACCGACATGTGAGGAATTTAGACAGAAGTCATCAACAACGTCTCAGCAACATATATTGCTTGCTGATCGCCGCGGCAGTATACAACCTCCAATGCAGTCCGTTGTCTGCTTGCAGTGCATTTTACGCTACATTGGCCGACGTATTTCTAAGAAATTTCAACATGTCAGCCAAACTTTGCTTCCTTCGTCACGAAATTCTCATGGTTGTTATATGTAGTGGTCCTAGAGTCCTGCATCTTCATATACTCAGCATATCACTGGCGAACTGTTGCATGTGGAGCAGAAATTCAACCTCTTCACCTTTGTGCTGAAAACGTGATTTGACTGTATTGTAGCAGGATGTGTTGTATCAGGTGCTCATGTAGTTACGGAGCATCTGCAGACATAAGATCCTTGCAATCCTCATCTGCAGGCTGAGCCGGGCTGACACTAACCAGAGCGGACAAGTGATTCAGTGGTTTCTTATAAATTCCACTGCTGGCCTCCAGCTGTAGCAGCTGATACCTATGCTCTTCCTTATCCAGCCCTCCATCCTCTTCTCATTCTCTCGAATTGGTTTCACATCGCAAACTCTTGCCAATCTTCGCCTAAATCTTGGCCTCCCTCCGGCCAAATCTCATTCACAATGACCATAATCCGAGTGTCTATGTTCAAGATCCCGAAGGAAGAGGACATCGATTTCCTATTGAGCCGATACAAGACGCTTAGAAGCGAAGCCCGCAAGGTAGGCACTCCAGGAGCAAGAAAAGCCCCGCTCAACTGAAGCAAAATTCCTGATTTTCTTGTCACCTCTTGGTGTTGCGCCCGGTTTCCGTTCTGAGGTCCGCGAATCTAATCTGAGCCCCCGTTAGGACAGCGCCCCGTACATCCTGTCCATCGAGGCCGGGCGTGCCTTGCCGGACCAGCGTTCTCAGGGGTACACGTTGGTGGCCAAGACAATGTTTCGTACGCTTCAGGACATGCATTTTTAAGACTCGGGCTGTGAGGCACACGCGCGCTTCAAGGAGCTTGCGGGGCCGCGGCGTACTGGCGATGTTTTGACAGTCTATTTTGAGGATGCTGTTGGGAACGCTTAGCAGCTCTCCTCATTGAATTCTGGATCTTTGGATTTGCTGCATTTTATGCTGTTCGCGTGCAAAACTTGGGCTGTGAGATTGAATTGATATGAGGTTCCGTCCCTGCTTTGAGTCTGTGCCACCGCTGAGGAACTAACTGGCCTATATAGATATGGTGAAGCCAGATACCTCACCCCAAGCCATCTACGGCTATACCTCCCTGATGGCTCTGGGTATCGGTTTCTTCAACCAAGCCGGCTATAGTGTCCTCCAGGCCAAGGTGAAGCCAGAGGAGATCCCGTGGGCGCTCGGGTTCATGACGGGTTGTAAGTGCTATCGACACTGTAACCTTAGACTGACCCAAAATTCTCACTCCTAGTTCAATAATCGTAATACACCCACTAGTTGCATGTCCTATCAGCCCAACTTGGTGGAATTGTCTTAGCACTGGGCATGGCAGGAGCAATCTTCGTCAACGAAGCAACCGCCGGACTTGTGAACCTCCTTCCGGACATGGATAGGGACGTTGTGGTCAACGCCATTGCTGGAACCAGCAGCGATCTGTTCGAGGCGTTGTCGGAAAAGCAGCAGACAGATGCCCTCGCAATCATCGTTCGGGCAATTGACAACACGTGAGTCGCCAAGACGGCACTGTTTGGACTAGCGACTGTGATCTAGAACCTCAACTGACAGAACACAGCTACATTCTCCTAATCGCGGCTGGTGCCTTGGGAGTTCTCCTTTCCGTGTTCCTGAAGCGGGAGAGACTTTTCATGACGGTCGCAGCAGGAGGTGCCTGAAGAGACGGTACGGTACGCCTGATATGTCCCTGCAATCGCTGCGCCGCAATACTTCGCGATACAATCAGCCGATTTACATACATGTCTGAGATCTTCGGAGTGTGATTGGGTTTTAGGATCAGTGCTGTGGCGTTCAGTTTTGAGGACTCGAACGGTATCCCGTATAAATTAGATGGGCAATTAAAAAGGCATAGAGCATAGGAGGTTATAAGTGGGACAAATAGTGGTACAACATGTAACACTGGCGTTTAGGAAAAATATTAAGTGAATATGTCCTGTGGATGATTGAAACATTTCTTGATAGTACAAGGGCCAGCAGAAATAATGGGTGACAAATTGCTGTCTGAGAAATTACTTCTATTCCTCTCCTACCAGGGGGGAGGGGGGTTTCTGACTGGGTCACGCAATGCACTCATGTTTTGACATTTAATTAAAATTTTGTAATTTTAGCGAAATGCTAGTAAAAGGATATTAAAATATTATTAAAAGTAAATTATATTAAGGCTTTAAATTATATTAATATTAACTTTATATTAATATTAACTTTATATTAATATTAACTTTATATTAATATTAACTTTATATTAATATTAACTTTATATTAATATTAACTTTATATTAATATTAACTTTATATTAATATTAACTTTATTTTAATTAATATCATTATAATTTTATATTAAAAGCTTTAATTTAAACCTTGTTGTAATGGGTGTAACCCATCAAGGTAAGGGTTTTGGGTTTTAGCTTAAAACCTAGGGTTTTTGGCATTTTATTGCCGGAATTTAGGCAATTTAGCTTTTATACCTTTTCTTTCTTTCTCTTTATTTAACTAGGCTTAGCTATAATAATGCTTAGCATTTATAATATATAAATTCGTTATAATTAATTAAATTTTTTTAAAATCTTTTATAATTTTCATTATAAAGAAAATCCTTGCGAAAAAATATTAAGAAAATCATTAAAAAGCGTTAAATTAAAAAGAAATTTTAATAATGCATTAAGCGCTAATGCAAACCCATTGGGATTTAAATTTTTAAATATGGAAATTAACTTTTTATAATATATAGTTTAGAATTTAATATTTAATTTAGCAATATAAGTAGCTATATAAAATTAAGGTTTATTAAATAATATTATATAGTAAGTGGTTAAAAGCGCATTAAGGGTAGCTATTAATATAATAAAGGGAATTATATAAGAATTAAAGGAATTTATTAAATTAATAAGTTAGCTATAAGCACCCCCTTATTTAACATTAATAATGTAATCACACCTTATAATTATCCTTACCTTATTATTTCTTAATTAAACCTTAGCGGTTTTTAATAATAATAAATATATATTTAGCAAATTAAAGATAATATTTAAGATTAATTTTAAAGTTATATTTATAGGTTTTTTATAAAAGGCTTTTTTATAGCTTATATAAAATAATAAATTAAATAAATATATTAATTTTTAAGCTTTTTTAATTTTAAAACTTTTTATTAATAAGTTTATTAAATATATAAATAGGAAGTAAAAGGCTTAGTATAGGATATATTAATGCTTAAAAGGTAATTAAAAGTTTAAGATTTAAGTATTTTAGGAAAATAAAGGTATAAATAAGGATTTTAACTTATAAAAATTAATTGCTTATATAAATTATATATTTTTTATAATTATATATAAGGAAAAGGAGTAAGATAACTTAACTTAATTAAGGTAAAGAGATAACTAGCTTTTTAATAAGTTTTTTATGGATTTTAAAAGTGCTTTAATAAAAGCTAAAGGGTATATATAGAATAATAAATTCTGCATAACATAGTTATATTAAGGAATATTAAAAGTTTTAAAGAATAAATTAATAATTATATTATTTTTTATAATATTTAAAGAATATATAAAGGTAGTTTAATAAATAGCTTAGCGATTTAAATAAATGGAAGAGTTTAAATTGCTTATAAATTAATATTAATAAGGGCGTAAAAATCTTGCCTTAGCTGCTATTGCTTTTAATTTAAATTATAAGGACTTTAATTTATAATTTTTAAAGAATAAAAAAGGATTGGCCTTAAATTTTAAAGAAAATACTTTAATAAGGATAAATTATATAATTAAGAAAAGAAATTATAAGGGGTAAAATGGAAAATGCTTTATAGTAAGCGGCTTTTAAGGGCGTTAATAAGTAAAGTAAGTTTTTAAAGAGGAAAGGAAGGCTTATTTTTAAAGTGAAAGATATAAGAGGTATAAAGCATTAAGTTACTTTTAAAAAAGGTGTTTTTATACTTTATTCTTAAATTTAAATTATAATTTAAGGAATTTAAGTCCTTATCTTAATTTAGCTTAAATAATTAAATTAAATCTTTTTAATAAATAAAAAGATAAAATTAATATATTTAAGTTAAAAAAAATAGCTTTAAAGTAAAGATAAATTATAAGATATATAAAAAATATTTAAGTATAAATAAAAATAAATATATTAAAATTAAAATTTATATTTATTTATATAATTATTAATAATGTAAATTAAAAAATTACCCTTATAAATAAGGGGTATAAGTATTTTATTATAATTAATAAAGAAATGATAGATAGGATAAGTATTCTTATTATACTTATATAATTATAAACTTTAAAGGGTATTATATTAGGAATTATTAAAGTAATTACTAAGGGAATTATAAGATTTATTATGAAAATTAAGAGTTATTAAAAATTAATTTACGCTTATATTATCTTAAATTTAAAATTCCCCTTAATTTTAGAAAAGTTATAATTAATAATAAATAAGGCTTTTTCTATTCCTTATTAAAAGAAAATTTAATATAAAAGGGTAAATTATTAAATTTCTTATATAAGCTAATAATTATATTTAAATAAGTTAAAAGAGCTAAAGGTAGCGACTTAGGTTATTAAGTTAACCTTTATAGCATATTTTTAAAGGATTAAAAAGAACTATAAGAAATTTATAGTAAAACTTATAATATTTATTATTTTCTTAAAGGATATAAATAAGGCCTTATATATAAAAATTCCGCTTATAAAAGAAAAGCTTTAAGCAAGGATTTCTTTGGAATTTTACAATATACTCTTACTTTTTATAAAGAAGGAAGCAAATAAGCTTAACTTTTATAAACTTAAAATAAATTATAAAATTAACCTTAAGATTAATAAAAAGAATTAAGAGGTATTTATTCCTTTTAGGTTAGTTTATAATATATTTTAAAAGGAACTTTTAATTTTTAAAAAGATCTTTAAGAACCTTTTAAATAAGGGCTTTATTAAAGCTAGCAATAATAAAGCAAGGTTTTTAATAATTTTTATTTAAAAATTAAGTAAGGGCTTATAGTTTTATTATAATTATAAAGCGTTAAATTAAATTATAAAGATAAATTAATATTTATTACTTTTAATCTTAAAAATCTTAAGGAATTTAATAAAAGCTTATTAATTTATTAAGATAAATATTATTTAAGCATTTTATAAGATTTAAATAAAGAAAGGCTATAAATAAAAGATAGCTTTTTAAATAAGATATAAGCTTTTTATATAGTTAATTATACCTTTTAGCCTTTAAAATGCCCTTACTATATTTTAATAATATATTAATTTTATTTTATATAATTTATTAAATAAGTATTACTTAGCTTATATAAATAATATTTTAATATATATTAGCGAAACTTATAATTAATATATAAAAACTATATAAAAGGTATTTTAATAATTAATAAAAAATAGGCTTTACTTAAACTTAAATAAGTATGAATTTACTTAAAAGAAGGTTAAATACTTAAAATTTATTATAATAATAAGCATAAGGGTTATATTGGATTTTAAGAAGATATATACAATATTAAAATAAAAGGTACTTACTTTAATTAAAGGGGTATAAAGCTTTTTAGGTTTTATTAACTTTTATTACATATTTATTAAGAATTATTTTATAAAAATCGCGCTATTAATAGCGTTAATTAAGAAGGGCATGCTATTTTAATAAATAAAAAATTATTAAAAAGCTTTTAATAAGCTTAAGAAAGCCTTTATATAAGCCTTAGTCTTAATATAGTGGGATTTAAATAAAAAAATGTTTTTAAAGGCTAATTATAATAATTAGGGATTAAAGGAGGTATTATCTTATAAAATTAATGGCTAGCTAAAACCTATAGCCTTTTACTTAAGGAAGTTAATAATAATTAAGCATAATTATTAAATTATTAATAAAAAAATGCTAATAATTATAAATTATTTTTATTAATAATACGCAAAATTAAAAAGCATAAACTAATTTACTATTCTTTTTAATTATAAAAATTTAAAATATTTATAATAAAATAGCAGCTTTTAGAAAAATAAGCTTAATATATAGAATTCCTTGCAAACTTTTTATTTAACTTAATATATAAGCTAAGTAAGAAAGCATTAATACTTAATACTCTTTCTTAAAGGAATTAAGATTAAATAATATTTATAAATAAGGAAGTAAAAATTATTTAAATAATATTAAAAAATACTTTTAATTATTAATGCTTTAATATTACTTAACTAAAAAATAATATAAAGCTAAAAAATCTTTAGGTTTTTAATAATTTAAATTTATAATAATTATAACTAAAAGTTATATTTAAAGATTAAAAGTATATAGTAATATATAAAGTAATTTTATAAGGGAATTATAAATTAAATTTAAATCTTAAACTTTATATTTAATTAATTAAATATAATATTAATCCCTAAAAATGCTTAAAATATTATAATAAATTATAAATTTTAAGGGTATTAATTATAATAAAGGATAAATATAAAAATGCTAGCTTAAAAGACTTAAAAGCTAACATTTTATATATAAAGATTATTTAAAATGTTTATAATTTTAATATTAATAAGTATTTTAAGAGAAAAAGGATAATTTTTATTATAAGTTAGCATTTTTATTAATTATTATTATAATAAAAAGTAAGGCAGTTCTTAAGGAATTATAATATTTATAAGAATGTAAAGATATAAAAAAAAGCT